CCCTATAGAATGCCAATCTCCGTAGTATTACTCTTGCTCAATTTTAGTCTATTCATGGTTCAGGCTGACGTTTGAAAACTTGTATGTATCGCTGTGACTCGGACTATTCGATAGACTAGCCAACTTAACGAGGTCACTTTCTCACAAACTTCACTTCAACACCACTGGGGTACATCAATATAAAAATATCTCTTGTGATCGACTTCTGAGACGTCTCAGTAAATGATAAGCTGTATCGAGATATGATGTAACCCAAAGTGAGGGTGATCTCCGCAAGAGCGAAGCTGTTTGCAGAATCGAAATGGGTTAGCATTGGTGACAGTCAAGTTAATTTTCTTAGAAATAATTCTTACTTCTGGCCAATGCACATGCGTGATCCTTTGGAGAAAGTGCACATCCACTGCTCAAGACTACTCGCGCTTGGGCCGATGCATCTTTCAGGGTTGAACTTTCTTGCATCGGGACCCCAAGCATCCTCACTTGTATGCATGGTGTACGCCAACATTGATACAACGGTCTAAGTTGAAAACACAAGGTTAGTCTTAGATTAGCTTGTTAGAGATAGAGAAGCGTACGCCTGGGGGGACCAATTTATCCTCCACAATGAAAGGTGGCCCCTCAGGCACCACACGAGGAAGGCGCCCAGTGACTGCCATGCTAAGTCGAATGCATTCTTTCATACCTGCGTGCTGTAAAGTGAGACTAAGTGCGTTTAGTCAAAAAGGTTCCTCTTAAGACAATACGTAAAGCTATCCGATCCAGACTTACCAAATAGGCACATTTCTCGAGATCTTGAAGCGAAAATTCCCCAATCGGATTCTACAATATAGTTTTGATTGCATCCTGGAGTTTAGCATACACAGTCCGATCCCTGAGGATATGAACTAGCCCCGTTGTCAATGTCGATGCAGTGGTGTCGGCCCCTGCGATAAGGATATCCATCGCCACTGTCACTTTGTCCTCGTCAAGACAATGAATCCAAGCTCTCAAAAATAGCAGGATGGCTCGTGTTATTTCCATGGGTCTGCCGGTGCCTCATACATGATGCCGCGTACTGCAAAGTAGTTTGATCAGCAATCATTATGATGAAAAAGATTCATCACATATGAAATTTTTAGAAAAGAGAGCAAACATAAACATGCCAATGGCATACTTCTTGAATATCCAGAATTTTTGCAATCTTGGGGTTCAACTCTTTGAGCAAATTTCGGGGCATTTTCTTGGACAGCTTTCGTAGCAGAGGGCGGTACTGCATTTCTTATATACTTTGCGCTGCAATGTCAAAGCCTCGCAAGAACCACGATTCAAAAGAGTCTGTTTGATCATTGATCATTTCGGCTGACTTCGCAAATGCGAATTTCATGATGATTTCGGTCGTCATCACTCTACACACCGATGTTTCATTAGCGGCTGAAGGAAAAATGAATTGACATATCAATTATTTCGATTCATGTGGGTGGGCCTCTTACCGGAAGGCATCATAGACTTTAATAGGGCCCCGCAGGCAAAGCCGGTCAATCTTCTCGAGCAACAGAGATAGTTTTTTTTTGCATTACTGACTTCAATTTAAAAACTCCTTGGCGTGAGAACATTGGATTCAACAACCGCCGTCGCGCTTTATGTAGCTGAGGATCTGTCTCGGAATATAGAGTGTGAGGGGTGTTGAATCCATCATAGAATGGTGCAAGCTTCAAGAAAGGCTTGGATTGATGGTAGATGACCTTGTATATTTCAACGTCGGTAATATGCAGTTCATTCGGTGCGATGCGAAGGGCCTTGGTTCCTATATTATTCAGTCAGACCCAGTGGTCAGGGAAATCAGACACAATTGGGCGAACCATATTCGCGGTGCAGTCGTTCAAACTCCTCCTCGGGAAACCGTTTCTTGCTCTCTTGGCAAAGCCACTTATCAGACTGAGCGGCCTCCTGAGGCCCGGAAAATTGTTTCAAAGAATCACAACGCTTTCCATAAAGGGCGCGGAGTTAATTCAGCAAAAGGATCGACGCTAGTATGACTTCCCGCATATTGTAGCTAGGGACATCCAAGTTTTGATATCCATTGAAGATATAGCCTGTGACTGAACGAGATGAAAGCTCTGAAGAAGGATAAGAGGATAATAACCTTGGGGTAAATACAGTAAATATGACCGGCAGGATTGGGCTTGATTCTGAATTGATTAGACTCCCCCATCACGTTAGGTGGCATCGGCAGGTGGGGGCGCTTTGCCAAGTAAAGACCAACAATTCTCAATATTGATTTTCAGCTGTGGACGAATGTCTCGCACACAATGACTTTGCAGTGGAGAGCCTTCGAAAATATTGTCATTGAAGAACAAAGAAGCAAGAGGCAAAAAATGACATCGGGTACTCTACATGTAGGGCGAACTTGTTGCGGTAACTTACTCCCGCTCATTGATGCAAAAGATGATCTGGAATATATTCGGGTTAGTGATGATGATGATTACGTTGGCCTGATGTAGCTCACTACTATATTTATGCTGTGCGGGAGTGCTGTCAGGCCTGCCGACAGCTTCAAGGTGGTTGCCAGCCCACACTGAACAGCCGTTGATATGGCTCGCCTAGCGAGCCCCTTGAGTGGCCGTTGCAGAATATTGTTCCCTCCATAAGCACGAAAAAGCAAGGAACTTAAACGAAACTTCGCTTTCGCCCCCCTCCTTCACCCACGATACTCAACGCTGTCCTCAAAGTTCTCTCCTTACGAAGCCATATGGCTGTCGGCTGCTGCTCTTGTGTTCGCTCGCATCGAGTGAGTACAGTGGCCCTAGCACTGCACTCCTGACGGGCGCTATCCTTCTCTTTCCGTCACACTGTTTTTAGGTGTCATTTTTTTTCGTCGCCCTCTTCCACACCGAGAGTCATCGGCTCGGTTGTTTGGAATTATTTGGAAAGATCTACCCGTATTATGAATTCGGCCACAATCACGCGGGTCTCTAGCTGCGCTAGAAGCTTCTCGCTTTGAAGAGCGACTCCGCAGTCGGACAGAGCGTTTCTCATCTAACTATTCTCCTCCTGGGAAATCGGGCACTCAATCAAGGTATGATTAGTGACTGTATTACATTGCTGAATAATTTAATCGCTTCAATAGAAGTGGGGCTTAGTGGGTATCATGTCGTGGTTGCATCGGGATGTGGACAAACAAAGGGAGGAGAGCCGAGCGAACAAGTCCCGTACGCCTTGTTGCGACTTATGTAAGCGGAGCCCACAGCCCAAGAGATAAGGGGTTTGGTAAGATGATATCATCAATTCCAACTGCTCAGCATGCACGTTAAATTCATGTGGTACCGGTTTTACGGGTAGCATAGTCAGAGTCATAAACGCTGATAGGACCTTAAGGGAAAAGTCGATCAATCTTCTCCAGTAACGACGACAGTTTCTTTCGCATGACAGGCTCCGATTTGAAAACATCTTAGCGCGAGAACATAGGGTCCAGCAAGCCTCTTTGCACTTTATATTGGGTATCAGTTTCGGCAAAGAGGGTGTGGGTGGTTGAACCCGTCGTAGAATGGTGCATGCTTTGGGAAACGCTTGGCCTGATGGTAAAACACTTTGTAGGACTGGATATCGGTAATGTGAAGTTCATTTGGCGCAATTCGAAGCGCCTTTGTTCCTATTTTGTAATCAGTGTTTATCGACAGTTCAGGGGAGCGAGCGAAATCGGACGAACTATATTTGCGGTGCAGTCGCTCAAACACCTCCGGGAATATTTTCTTACTCTCTTAGTAGATTCCTTGTCAGGTGCACAAGCCTCTCGTGGACCCGGAAATTCCCTTAAAGGATGGAAGTAAAGCCTGTAGAGCATAGGCACGTATTTTAGCGTATCGCTATGCCTATGAGAGCCGCGGTCCAATGTTGATAACGGGGATATTCCAGAAATTGGGATTCAACAGCGACAACCATGATCCAACGGGGAGCAGTGCTTTTGCGCAGGGTCAGAGAAAGGGACACTGGATCACCACAATATGGCTTTCGGAATAAACATAGCGTATATTAGATCGATTTAGCGTTCTTGCTGCGAAACAAATTAGTTTGGGCTAAGTTGAAGCAAGGATAATATGCGCAATTTCGGCATGTTGGGGCACTTTGCCGACCACGAACCAGAATGTCTGGTAAGCCTACGCTGCACGGATAAGACGGAACGCCAGAAACGTTCACGCTCAATTCGGCAAATAGCTCACGAAGGAGGCATATATATTGCAGAAGGGCTACAGCTAGCTCGGTAGCCAGAACCGCCAGTAAAAGATAGCTAGGTAGTGTCGCATGAGGCGCGGGAATCGGCGCAACAAGCAAATTTACCACGCAAGAGGGCTTCTCCAAGGTGTATTGGGGTGGGAGGTAGGACAGGACATAAGACTAATCGATGTAGTGCGACGACTCTTTAGTCGAAGTATTAAAGTGCATTTCAATAGTTTGGAGTCGCGCATCTGCCACCCCTTCCTATACGCCTTATTTCACTATACTTACATTACCAAAAATCGCTCCGATCGAGCGATGTAGTTATGTATATCTACATTTTCACGACCCAAAACTTTTCTCGAGCTTATAAACTTTTCTCGAGCTTATAAACTTTTCTCGAGCTTATAAAAATATTTAGCACGATATATTTAACCCCGAGATACTCTAAGATATACAATTAGCCTTAAGCGTTGAAGTATGAAGTTATGAAATATTGCATTTAGTATGGTGTTTTGGGGTGACCGGATGCTGGGTGACCGGATGCTGGGTGACCGGATCGGCTAGGAATTACGGTATAGGGCCCCGCTGAGCTAAGTAGCCCGTACGCACGGAACATTCTGAGCGAGCTTCCGCTGAGTAAGATACGGGGCCAGCGGAGGGCAAGTTAGCCAGCTACATTATAGTATGTTGATGATCGATCACTTCCAAGTTTAGGTCCGTCGTGAAAGCTACTTAAATACCGAACTTTTCCAACCTTAGGAGGGAATCATTTCAAAATCAAGTTCTCCTCACGTTACCCAGCCAAAATGTCTACACCCGTTGAGATTGTTTGGAAGTCACTTCCTCACCCAGAGCAACACCCCGGATTTAGGTCCAAGGGATTCCATCCCGGAAAAGTCACCAGCCTTCCCAAAGGTCACGTGAGGCAACCTGGCTTTCAAGCATTTCCAGTTGATGTTACTTGGGAGCAGGACTGTGCCATTCCCATGCGAGACGGCATCAAGATTTATGCCGACGTGTTCCGACCCACCAATGGCGGGAAGGTCCCGGTAATCATACCTTATAGTCCGTACGGTAAGGTGGATACCGGCGTGACCACTTACGATAACATGGGGCCCTACCGGATGGGTATTCCATTCCAACGTCTTAGTGGCTACGAGACCTTTGAAGGCCCTAACCCTGCGGAATGGGCTGAAAGGGGATATGCCGTGGTTGATGTTGATGCTCGGGGGTGTGGTTACTCCGAAGGAGATGTGGTCTTTTGGGGCCTCCAGGTAAAATCACGCAAGCTCATCACATTTGATGCCTTTTTAACAACCACCCTAGGAGGCCGAGGATATATATGATACCATTACTTGGGCATCTGAACAGCCCTGGTGCAGCGGATCTGTTGTTCTGGCGTAAGTTCCACTTATCACTGGGTTACGGTGGCGTTAGTAATTTTTTTTTGGCAGTGGAAACTCCTGGCTCTCCATAGCGCAAACCAATTTTGCGTCTCGCTTCGTTCATCCCGCCCTCAAAGCCATCGCTCCGTGGGAGGGTCTGGCAGACTTCTATTCAGAGCAGATCTGCAGAGGTGGAATTCCCCGCCCTCTCTTCTCTAGCCTGATTCAAAACTCGTTTGCTGGTAAGTTAGAATGTCTATCACTCACTTGCTGCCTATGGCTCACTATATACTAGGCTTAGGAAGAGTCGAAAGCGCAACTGATATGCTTTCGAATCACCTGCTCTATGATTCATACTGGGAGAGCAAAAGGGTCTGCACGAAGAATATTCGTGACCTACCAGTATACTTTACAGCTTCGTACTCGTGAGTTGGGGCTTTTTCCTTTGGGTTTCTAGATTTATTCCTAAACACGTATAGGACGGGACTTCATTCTATCGGATCTTTCGAAGGGTTCAATGCTGCAAGCACTGACAGAAAGTGGCTTCGTGTACACGCATCTCAAGAATGTACCTTATTTACCGCGATTCCATTTGCGGAGATAAACTAACTTTTGTAGGGCATGACCTATATACCCTCGAGGCGAACAATGATCTTCAACGTTTCTTCGATTTCTATGCGAAGGGCATACAAAACGGTTGGGAGCTAGATACCCCCAGAGTTCGATTGACTCTGCTTGGCTACGAGAACAGCCCAGCGAAGACGGTTGTTGAACGGCCTGAGGCTCAGTGGCCACCCGCAAGTCTTCGAACCGAGAAATTTTTCTTGGATGCTGCCACGAAGTCTCTTGCTGCCTTGAATCCGAAGAATGCTGCGGCTGTCTCCCATGAAGGACATTCCTTGACGGATTCATCGGTAAGGCATCTCTTCCTTGATATAAGCCTATCTTCTACTAACTACCACTAGGATTTTAAGTTGGTATTCCCACAGTACACAGAGCTGTGCGGACGGCCTTTTGTAAGGCTTTTTATGTCTTGCCCTTCACACGATGATCTTGATGTGATTGTTCAGATTCGAAAGATCTCCGCATCAGGCGAACCTCTTGAATCTTTGAACTGGAGCCCCATGCCTCAACCCCAGCCAAAAGTGCCCAATGTGAACGTGGCTAAGCATCTCGGCCCACAGGGTATGCTTCGTGCCTCTCATAGAGTAAGTCTACAGCCGCGAGGCAGCGAGGCAGAGCTTCCCTCTTACGATCATCGGACACGAAAAGCCATCACACCTGGGGAAATTGTGGAGCTATTGATTCCTATCGCACCCATTGGTATGGTATTTGAAGAAGGCGAAGGAATGTTGCTTAAGGTTTCGGGCCACGATATGTCCTATCCGGAAGTTGAGGCATTGGCTCCCAGCGAGCCTCAGGACGAAAACATTGGCCAGCATGTTATCCACTCGGGAGGTGACTATGAGAGCTATTTGGCTCTTCCAAGAATTGCATGATGATGTAGCTACAAGCAACTAGAATGTAGGACTTGACAGGCTGTCACAAGTGAGCTATGTAGAGCTCATAAATGAAACCAAATATGAATTTGATCACGTTATCCACAAGTTTCAAGAAAATTGCAGGTGAATTCGGTCTATCTTAATGTAGGAGTTGAGATAACGCCACTTCTATCTATCGGATGCGTCTTTCCATTTTGATGACAGATGATCATAATATGAACAACATCCACCCGTTGTATATGACAGCTCTCATTGTTCTTCCTCCAGTCCCCTCTGAGTAACTCTACATGGGGCTCTCTCAGTCAATTTGAACTGAGACCAGACTTCTTGTGCAGGAAATATGCGTTTCCTTCCAAGAGAGAAACACCTACCAAGTTTCTGAGTTTGAAGTGAAATATTCGAAAGTCTGAATTAATCTGGATACCTTCTTGCTTGCACCCAGAAATCATTGTCCTTACCTGGATCGCTGATCCCAGTAGTACAAGAAGTCAGAAAAAAGCTCATTGTGGACCCGAGATAGCTGCCGAAATAGTTGCCGAATAATCGAGATACTGGCAGAGCCAATGTCACTAGCGGAGGTGTCTCCGACTTAACTCCACTTCCCAGCACCAACTTTTTAATCGACCCAAAATTTGGGGAAGCTGTGGGGGAAATTCATGTCTGGGACTCGTCCCTTTCGGCTCCACATGGTCATCTCAAATCGACCGTAGCGCCTCTTTGAGCTAATCTCCAACGTAACTCCTGCGACACAACCTCTGCACCAAAATCTAAATCATGTTTGATATGGCACTGGGTCTCACCATCGAAAAGGCTGGGTTACGAAGCCCTCAGCAGGGCCTCGCATATATCATCATCCTCTACGTGGAAAGACAGTGGTTAGAATCTTCGCAAGTCCATTGAGACATGTCCCCGGCCCGTTTTGGGCGGGCATAACATCACTTCCAATTTCTGCGGCAACAGTTAAAGGACGACGTGCCCAGGTAGAAGCCCGCCTTTTCCACTGCCTGACATACCCAAATAAGCTGATATATCACTCCCCTGCAGGAATTATATAAACTTCATCAAAAATATGGCTCAATCGTGCGTGTCGGACCCAACGAAGTATCCATTGGAGATCATCAGTACCACCGGCCCATCTACACTGATTCGAAATCAGTTGTGAAAAACCCCCAGTTCTATACCGGGGCAACGTTCGTCGGCCACGACAATATCTTTCAGATGATGTTAGCTTAACCATTCCCTCGACTGCATTCGCCGGCCATGCTAGCTCGGACGCTGACCCAGACAGGAATCTAAACCAGCATTCAGCCAGAAGACGACTCAGCGCCCTACCTTATTCTCTCCAATCAGTCGCAACCCTCAATCCAATGGTCCGCAAAAAAGCAAAAACCTGGTTGCCAAGATGATCCTTGGGGTGAAGACTCGCCTACTAGAACGGTCGATGCTTTTGAGCTCTGCAGCCGTTATAGCCTAGAGGTTATATGTCAGGCTGCATTTTCTATGGACTTGTCAGCAGCCGAGGCTAAGGATGACAAGACAAGAATTCTCATGCAAGCGATCGATGATAGTGCAATGACGCTCCCGATTACATCTATAATGCCGTGGTTGCGCTCAACCTGGCTCGGACGAAAGTTTCCTGGTCCCGTGGGCAATGTCTTCTGCCAACTGGCGTGCTGGCAAGTTCTGTCGCGCGAGATGGTCGATCATCTCATTAGGATGACTGCGAGCAGGTCGGAATCCACGGAGAAGAATCTGCTAGCGCTGTTGTTGAACGAGGTTGATTCATTCATGGGCAGTAGATTGACTAAGGATGAGTTACTCGAGGAGGCAATGGGGATCATATTTGCAGGTAGTGGGACAACATCAACGATACTAATTTATCTTCTTTACGCTATATCGTGCCCGGAGAATACGGCGGTCCAGACCAGGCTACGTGAAGAGGTCCTTAGTCTTCCTCCGTATGACACCCTCGCGCTCCGGAACAGCCTGTATATCAACGCTGTGATCAAGGAGACATTCCGCCTCTACCCTACCACCATCTCCACGCTACCGCGGATCGTGAATGAGGCGTTCCAGGTAGAGAACATCATATTACCTGCTGGCACGGTAGTTGGTATGCAGAACGAAGACGTAACTGTATTGGGCAAAATCTAGCATAGGAAGAGCTGTATCTTGCAGTTGATGCGGTGATGCGAGGCGGGTTTACCTTATTGTTGAGTAAAAAATGAAAGGAGAGGATATTGAGATGGAGGACCGGTTCAATATTGCACCGAAGCCTCGCCGACTGATGCTGGAGGTCATTCTGTACTCATAGTGGTATCCTCTACAACCTATAAATGCAAGCTTTTACATTCTTGATAAAAAAAATATGTGCGTCCCTGTGTAGCACGATTCAACACTTCTAGAACTTGTATTTTTTGATGATATATGTCAGAATGAGCATCCTGACGCTGATTTGTAAGATTGTTGTCTCTTGTGTCCACTTCAAAATATCCCCACCTTGTGCCTGCAAGGAATGATATAATTAATGACCGGGTTTGTCTGATTGAGGCCTAGGATGGCTGCCATGGCCACCTTGCAAGGGTAGCTCAACATCGGACCACAGCCCCTACAATACTTGTTTCAGATCTTCACTGGCGGCACTGTAATAAGCTCAAATCGGTCGCCAACATGCTGAGCACAGATATCTTTAGTCAAAGGAACAGCAGATTATGACCACGGTAAATTTTACCAAAGCCCAAAGAGGATTTGTCAGGATACTTAGAGCCAGCCTTTTGACCCGAAGAAACAACCGGATGCCTCGATCCCCGGGGTAAGGATCGCCTCGACCTCAGCCCGCTTATCGTGGACGCATCCTGGACGCCCACAAGGACACAAGGCTGTCCCCTACACAGGTGATTGATTTTCTGTACCGCGGAAGAGGAGGATTATGTGGCAGGAGAAAGACGCGATTTTCGATAGGGTCTCCAAAACGGCCGGTATCCACGTTGACTAAATTTTGCGGTTAATCTTATGAACCATCACACTACAGGATTCGACAAGTTCAACTTGACCCCACCCTTCTTCACCGGATCAGGAATTCTATCAAATTTCTAGTTTGAAGTTATCAGCCACTACTGAATTTCATCGCAGGGGGGAGGGGGAGACTACTGTTTCAGGTTTGAGTTCGCCCGAGCTGGTGAAAATGAAGTACTAGTTCAACCGCTTTCTCAGCATGGAGGCTATGCGGTGTTTGGCTACTTCGAAAAGTCCCCTGTAAGCTTGATCGTGCCTAGAGACTTTGCTTCGGCGCGCCGTGTGCTCCACGCTCACGCTGATGTACAGCGTTTGTCGACATTGGCCGGACATCGAATGACTGTCTTTTAACTTCGGCTTTACTGTATCGAGAAAACTAGTTTAATATTTAGGTGACGCTGGTGACCTACATCTCAAGGCAGTGGGCGAAACATGGGTCGTCGAATTGGGGGCAGTGTACAGGAACGCATCCCCTAGCTAAAATTTTGCAACCAGCCTTCACAGAAAGCTACATAAATACCGGTAATGATGATCAAAGTTCGAAGCCCATCATCGAGAGTGACCGTATTCCGGTCTTTTGATGTGTCCCTACCGTAAGATGCGTCATGGATTATAGACCTGCCCAAGCTTGGCGTCATGACAGCTGTGCTGGTTTCCAAAATGGAACAGTACTGATCTTGCACTTCAAGCTGGTTGCAAGTCATAGATGCGATGACTGGATGTCGTCGGGTCGTGGGGTCGAGAGAGCTGAAGGTGAATCGTTTATTGTCTTCACGAGGCTGCAGTTCGAGAGTTGCAGGCATCTTTCGATGCTTGCTGCTGCGCAAGACCCAACGCATCACTTTCACACCGTTGTCCGTATGTGAGATGAACTCGTAAGATCCACTCGGAAGAGGCGTCCCTTCCCAGACGGCTCCCGATTTCAAACAAATTTTCGCCTGTCCCTTCATCTGAGAACACCCTCGGAGCAGCTGACAGATTGTAGCCACAACATGGCGCTTGTATTCATTTTCATCTTTCGAGCTTAAGTGGTTTCCCGAGATGGTAGATACCCCCCGGTCGTATCGTTCGTTCATCACGATGATAAGATTGTCGGGACACAATCCATGCTTACCGGGAAACACGGCCAGGAACTTGCGGAATGCTTTCAGTATGTGGATTGATGCCGGCAAGATATCTAAGATGGGCAGGAGTCGAGGGGTTCCAGATATCTGCTGCAGCTGCAGAAGGAGCTTGGAGCCAAGTTTCAATCGCTTATGGCGCGCATAATCAGGAGGATAGGCCAGTTGGTACAAAGTTTTGGACCGTAACGCTTTGCTGGTGCGTTGCGAAGAAGCGGCTCGACTTCTGTCGGGAATACAGGGAAGTGCTGACAACCTCTCTTCGCTCGACACCGGCTCTATCGCACCCATGGCCAGGCTGGAACGCATTCCCGAGGACTGCACCGGACCACCGAGCTGCTTGGGTCGGGCGTAGAAGGCAAGCAGCAACAGCAGGGTGAATAGTGAGAAACCCGAGGGATAAGATATAGTGGCAGATTGCAGTGTTTGTGGTTGAAAGTCAAGGTCATTCGTATAAGAGGCCGCGGAATCCACAATGAGCCTACTTGTCAGAAGCATTCTTCAGCTCCAGCGGAGACACCTTTACCCTCCAGGGACAAAATTGCGGCTCTAGGATTCTATGGGAGCACTACAGGTACAAAATGTAAGCACCAAGCCTAGTGTTCAACGCTTCAGCTGCATCAAATGAAACAATTCTGAGGCAGTGGAGAACCACCAGGTGGAGTGGATAATCAACGCACGGAACAGATCAATAACGAGTGTGAGTTCACGTCTTTCGTAACTGGCTCAATCCCGGTAGTGAGTAGAGTAGTTGAATAGATATGGTGAGGAGGTCAAGTCACTCTGTGCAGAACTCCTAAAGTCTGGAGAATGCAATGGGGAAGCAGGGTAAGGAGGATGTGAGATAGTAAGAAGCAAAATTGAAGGGCACACAGAGCCACGGTCAGCATTGAATTATATAATTCAAGAAGACATGGAGCCTATTAGTGCCACATAAAGGGACCGAGATCGACAAGTGGGTGCTCTGAAGGGTCTTTCGGTCTTGGAGGTTTGGAACCATGTGCGCCGATCAGGTCGATCGGGCCCCAAATATCCCGCTCCGTAGTTGACCATCCGTGACAAGCCGAAAAACGCCTCAATTTGTTTTGTTCGCATTGTTGCCAAGGTAGGAGTTTTTTCGCAACGTGGTTTTCGCAACGTGGTTTTCGCAACGTGGTTTTCGCAACGTGGTTTTCGCAACGTGGTTTTCGCAACGTGGTTGGGGGCTTTACTTCAGGACTGTACATCAACCTATTAGCAGCGTCTCCTTGGAGTGAGGCATGCCAATCCTCGCCAAGGAGCAGGGCTTTCTTGTTGTTGGTCACATTTACTGGGCAATTTTACCGTGATTGATTCGGCCCGGGTTCGGTCCTGTTGTATTCGGGCCGAACTTTGAATGCTCTGACATGTCAAATCGCACTTTCTTTAAAAATTTTATCTCTAGTCAGGATTGCTTAAATGCCCGAGGCGTTTTTCTGATTTTTCGTAAAGCCCATTGATCTTCTCACGCCAGACCGATATGCAAGCCGAAAATAATGTCCTCCACGGACTACATACTGGGTTGGAATCTGATACTGCCAAATGCAATCAGAAAACCTCTCCGATAATACCTCAGTGGGATACAAATGACGCCTCACATCCTTATAACATGAGCCCGTGGAGGAAATGGGTGGCAGTTTCAACTGTATCGTTGGGATCACTTTGCGTGTAAGTAATCATGACTTCCACAAAGGCTGGTTGGTGCCTGACTAGAAAATGTTAAAAGTGCTTGTACTTCTTCCATATATTCAACGACTTATAGCGATGTTATGGCTGAGTTCAATTGCTCCCGGGAAGTCGCAACATTAGGTCTTTCACTTTTTATCTGGGGCATGGGTGAGTCAATCCTCTTACATTTGCCGTTTATAGACTAAGATGATATTTTCTGTCTAGGTACTGGTCCTCTAGTATTCGGCCCTTTATCCGAGGTAATACAAGCACCGATGGCTTTGCTGACTGAATGCTAACTCATCAGCCAGCTTTATGGACGAAGAGTCATCTACATAGCATCATTTGCAACCTTCCTAGTCTTCCTTATACCATGCGCTGTCGCAAAAAACATTCAAACCTTGCTCATTGCTCGGTTTCTAGATGGCTTTGCAGGTAGTGCTTTTCTTAGTGTGGCAGGTGGCACAGTTGGGGACATATTTCCTCGCCATCAGCTGGCCACTCCTATGATGGTTTACACTGCTAGTCCTTTTGTCGGACCAGAGCTTGGGCCTCTGTGAGTGCATTGTTCTCGTATAGAAAATTCAAACTGGGCTGACGATGAATTTGTAGCCTTGGTGGGTTCATAAACCAGTTTGGAATGTGGTATGTACTTGACAACTGAAAAATTGACAACCGAGAGATAAATCGGAGTTAAAAATTACAAGACTGACCTGACCTTGAGCAATACAGGCGTTGGACATTTTATGCAATGTTGTGCTGGGCCGGTGCAATACTTCTTTTGATATGCTTTTTCGTGCCCGAGACCTACCATGCTCTGTTTGTCACCTCTACTACCTTTAATCCGAATGTTGGCTGACAGTTTACTTTAGACTTCTAAGACGAAAGGCACAGGAGCTACAGAAGCAGACGGGAAGTTTACAGCCACTGGCTCCTAGAGAGAAAGTTTCGGAACCTCTGAAGAAATTGATTCTGCGGTCAATATACAGGCCTATGATGCTCCTGACTTTGGAGCCCATGTGCTTGAATCTCTGCGTATACTCTGCTATCTTGTTGGGAATTCTTTATCTTTTTTTCGGGGCTTTTCAGGATGTTTTCCAGGAGGTATATGGATTCGAGTTATGGCAGCGTGGACTTACGTTCCTTGGCCTATTGGTTGGGATGATCCTCGCTGTTCTTTCTGACTCTCTTTGGCGCTCAAACTATCGCCGACTAGAACGAAACCACAGATCTATAAGCGAGGATGGTTCCGATTACTACCCAGAATGGAGACTCCCTCCAGGTACGTCCTTCCGCTCTTGTTCTGTTTTTTCTCTTTCATATTCACAATTACCTAATGATGCCATACGAGTGCACAGCTATAGCTGGTGCTCCCTTGGTCACTGTTGGCCTTTTCATGTTTTCTTGGACAACTTACCCGAGTATACATTGGATTGTTCCAATTATTGGAAGCGCACTTTTCGGAGCTGGGTAAGCAGTCAGAACATGATCAAACAACTGACTTGAGTTTCCGTCGAACGGGAAAAAGAAATGTATTTTTCTTGTAAAGAAGTGGCGACTAACTCTGATCAACTGTGTTTTCATAGAGTCGTTCTTGTGTACTCCGGTATCTTTACATTCCTTGTTGATGCATATCCGGCCTATGCCGCCAGTGCTTTAGCTGCGAATAGTTTCGCTCGATCAAGCTTTGGGGGCATCTTCCCACTTTTCGGTACTCAGAGTGAGTTCGGATCTTGCGACTCGTTTTGGACAGCATAACTAATACCATGGCTTCCAATGGCAGTGTACGATCGATTAGGAATCCATTGGGCATCATGCCTTCTCGCATTCCTCACACTGGCGATGTTGCCATTCCCGTAAGTTCCGACCCCCACTCCCTAAACCCAGCGACAGGGAAATATACTAATATTATGCCATGCTAGGCACCTTTTTTTCAAATATGGCCCCCAGATCCGCAAGAAAAGTCGCTTTGCTGCATAAATTATGATGGGTCTGATCATCAGTGAAAGTCGAAAAAGGGAACAGTAAACTGCATGCACAACAAATAGAAGACACCAGTTAGCGAAGATTTTCAATTTAAATTTTTACATGTTAATCAAATGCAACAGATAATGTCAAGCTAGAGGAGGTGTCTTCCACTAAAAATTGGCTGAATCAGCGACTAACTTAGTTACCTACTCCTCCATGTGTCTTGTGTGGTAAACCGGGTCAACTCGGACTACCTGCGTTCAGGCATTGAGACGCTCTCAACAGCACTCTCCAGGATAGTTCTTCAATCAATGAATTCAATAGGTTTCATGAGTACTAGCATGTACGGAGATCCTACAATCCAATGGATAATTCCCGAGCTATATTAGAGTTCAATTGTCTTAGCCTAGCATGTTTTAAATACATGGTGCTATGCGGTGGTGCTATCAGGCCCTCCCGACAGCTGAACATGTATTCTGCGTGATGGTAAATCAAGGGCCGAAAAAGGCGCCTGCCTTGCTCGTCCAATCGTATCGCTCTGATTGTTCGTCACGTGATCCTGATGGGTCGGTCGATCGACTGGTCCGTGACCGCCCATCAACAAGTTGTGGCCCCATATTGATTGGTGCCTGGTATGTCCGTACAGTAACATTAGTCTACTATCGAGAAATAGCTTCTGGTGTGGTCTGATCTTTTCTCTAAGGGTAAGGAACTTATGCTAAAGATCAGTTTTAACTATATAGACGATCATCATTCTGCTTAATTCACCGGCTGGAAAGGAGAGGAGAGAGGGAAATCCTCCGTCACACAAAGGATGCTTCGCGAGCGAGACATATAGCTAAATACGGAGGAACATACTTTAGGCGAAAGCCGATCTAGTATAGCATCTATAATTTAATACGATACTATTCATCAAATATGTCAGTATAGCCCATATTATCAAGTAGACCTAAAAGGGAAAAATACTATCTAATCAAAGCTCGTCATATAAAACGCCGTATCACTCACGTTGAGAAGCGAGGGGCTTTTGAGGGCCATAAAGACGTGCCAGAAGCGGTCCGCGACGAATTATACAAGGAAGAACAAGAGAGACAAGAAAGACTGGGGAAAGAAAAGTGCAAAGGAGGTCATATCATTAGCAGTGGAGCGCCGTATCCTCATAATATCCTCGATGTCAAGATTGCTGTATGGCGTAGCTGTAACGACTCCCTGCCGGGGTTATCGCGCTTGCTTTCTCTTCCGGAACAATAGGATTTCTCAGTTTCCATTCCCTGTCTTAGACCTTGGATGTTAAAACCTGCACCACCGGCAAGTAACAGGCGTACAATTTCGAGGTCGAGTTTGCAGTTCCCAAGAACTTGGTTGTTTGAAAAGAAGACCAATTTGGAAAATGGGCGTCGGCACTTTGTTTCTGTCACCTAGGAGAGATAGATACATAGCGTCTACGGTGACATGGGTTGTGGTTGAGCGTCTACCCAATCTCTCCTAATTGCTTAGCCATTGGCTGCCCTGTGGGTATTAATACCCTTCTACCCCATAATTTCTAAGAACTAGTATCGCTCCCAGGATGCCATTTTTTACATAAGCAGATCATTGATTTACCAACTCTTTGAGACTTCGACTTTGACCTATATGAGCACTCTGGAGTTCTTGTTTTTGATAGTTCAAATGTCTAGACGATAAGGGACTAATTCAATATACTATTACCATGGTACGCAAATTCGTTTTTTGGAGCAAAGCGACTAATGAAAAACAGGATATTGTGGCTCCCCTGAGGATGATATCTTGTATCCAGTGCTACAAGAACGTTAAAGCTACAATGATGTATTTTGTTGAAGGAATTGCAACAGCGAACAAGACCAAAGTCGGAGAGCGTTTGCCATGGGTATTCAATGGATGGAGCCTGCCTCGATCTATTGAAGTTGATAGCATGCTGGACGAATGGTTGATATGCGGAATCAAAGTCACCTGGAACACAAATAGCAGTCAGACATTAGATGTTTGGCGGGTTTCAGATGTCAAACCGAGTGTGGATGGGGATAATGAGGTTGATCTGCACATTGGCCTCTGGGTCGAACGCGAAGTGCTTGAGAGATGGCTCCTTCCTTGCTTGAATGTAGGTGCTTCGAGAATATTCAAAGCATGGGAAAGCTGATTCAGTTCGAAGATCCTATTACCGATTTTAACAAACTTCCACTGTCCAAGAGAGAGGCTGGCATGAAGAGTGCTGGGCACAAGAAGAAGCAGGCCATGCAGAGTTCTAAGCCGCTACGTCGTTCGGTCAGAATTAAAAAACTTCAAGCACGTAAGTGAAATCGGTTACATGGTGGAGGAATTCTGGAGGCATGTTTAGTTCAATATTCCGATTGTACTACGGCCACTCGCTATCACTCACGTTCCATGGTAATCATGTGTTTCACTTACAGTACCAAACGTGACTCTGCCAAAGTTGCTGTGTATTAATCCTGCTTTGAATCCAGAATACATACCGCCATAGAAACGATTTCGTCATGATACAAGTTAAACGAGACAGTATAGAACTTGTAAATAGAAAATGAATTTATGAAACAGCGCAAGTTAAAGTACTCTTATGCTAAGCCGTCTTCTCTCTGGGGCTCGAAAAGACTAGCACGGTAGATAGAGCCAGCAAACATAGTAAATTCCTCAAAACCTGCTAGGCCGTCATACCAGCTGGAATTTCCTAGGGAAGGAGTAGGATCATCGACACAAAGAACGGGATGCTGTATTATCCTAATGGTTACGCTTCAGGGTGACAGGCATCGCAAGCTGGATGTCGGATCAAGCGGCATCTCTGGTAAAAGTGAAAGGGACAGTGCGTCGGTCTGAAAGAAAATGTGCGGTAGTCGGTGGGGCCACAAGAAAAAAAGGGCCCCCGGGGGATGGGGGAGGGTTGAGTGCAAGATAGAGAGGCAGATTAATAGAAAAGCCAGGAGCAGCGAAGACGGGTCTTTTATGCGGGCGGCGTTAAAGTGACGGCGTATTGAGGAGCTAAACTCGAAAAGGCAAAGCTAACTTGAAAAGGCGATTCACAGGTCCGCCGTTTACAATTCTCGTTACACACAAATTGGCTAACAAAAAAACGCATTTGTTGTGACAAAGCGTAAGAATTCATACCGAACATATAGGAATAGAAACTGTCGTCTCCGGATCCCAATCCGGGTACTCAGAGTCAAATACCAGGCTTTTCGGTTTAGGACGACGGGAACGGTCTTCCACGGCTACCTTTATATCGCCAGAGATGGTAGCCTCAATGTACGGAATTCTGTATCTTGCCTTCCAACAGCTATCTTTCGACATTGAATCCTTAATGTTCCACGCCATGCCAAAGCTCATGCCCGCAAATTCAAGCCTGATGAGATGCGCTGCATAAAGATCATGATCTGTGGACGCGACAAAAAGATTAAAAACTTTGACATCTAGGCACTCTCCGGATACTTTGCTCGGTCGGGCCTTTGTGCTCTTTATCTGTCTGATCAAACCAATTTCAAGAAGCTTTTCTCCGGTAATCAGCGCTGCTGCACGCTCCCTCAAGGAGAATTCAGAGGAAGCAACATAACAGTCACTGAGGCGTTTGATCTTCTCAATGCTTTTTTCAAAGTTGTGGGGAATTGCAAAAATGCACACCTCTAGCGGAGCTTGATGTGGACGCTTCTCCTTGTAGTATTCCTCTGCCTTGAAGATTTGGGTATTCAATCGAACGGTGTCTGGGCCGATGATGAGAACCTGACACTTGTCGTGGAACCAAGGCTCAAACTGTTGCATGGTATGGTCAAAGTCTCGCAGTGGCTGTAAGAACTTTTCTTTGATACGTTGGGTGGGTGTAATACGAAGTGAAGCCAAAAGGGCGCCAACATCAGAGGCCGTCAGTTGGTTCATTACAGTGCATGCAATCTCATAATAGCCATCGTGACGAAAAAACAATGGGATTCCTCTTTGAATCTGAGACATTAGGATAGATGGTGCAGATGCAGTGAGCTGGAGGTTGACAAGAATCAGTATACCTTCACTTCTAAGGAATCAGGGAGATCTTACCAAGAAGTGATCGTGATGATGATTTAATAGGAAAGATTGAATGAAACGGGTTTTGATTCCTGCTGTATGAGGTAGTGGGGACGCAAGCACCTTTATAAGGAATCTGACAAAGTTTGAATGAGCCCGCGGTAAGCGGTTCACTCCTGGAGGAACCACTCCTGCTCCTAGGAGCCAGGGCTTGTTGAGTAGATTTTGAGCCAATCCTTTTCTAAACTTTGGTGAGTCTAGAAGGTACTCGGGACCTGGGAGTGGAAAGCTGGTTCCCAGGGTTCCATTAGGTGTTCCCGGGAGATCCTGGGCTCCTGGGAACACCCGTTTTGCTCCTAGGGGCGTCCATTCGGTTCACAGACGGCACTGTGGTTTGAAGAAGACAGTTACAGATTAGAACAGCATCTTCAGACTTCCATGCATGATATCAGGCTTTGCAAAATGCATCATAACTAATCCAGTTACAGGTCATCCTCAGTATAAGTTCAATTCAATTCCCTCGTATTCGGGTATTACCAATAAGCCAGCCAGCCAGCCATGCAGGTTTCGCCTACGGTTCATACTGCCCTGGCTACCGCACTGCTCATTGTCAGCCTCGTCCGATTTGAATTGTCTCGTCGAGCACTGTGGGGAAGCTCTTCCAATCTGGCTCTGGAACTTGCAGTGTCTGTACCGAAAGATCTCTTATTGAAAGCTTATATGGGACTGAGCTGGGCTGGAACCAATGATCCACCAAGAGAGTTAGTACTCGGGATAGCTAGCATGTTTGCATTCTTACCTGTGGTAGGTGCTAGAGTATAAGGCAATTTTTCGGTTCCGACATTGACCACCAAGACAGTCTCTCCGAATGAGCATCCTGCTGCAAAGCCTCATCAGTACACCATCTCGATTGAGAATCTGTTACTCGGTATATTACGTTCTCTCGTCTTCGGTCAAGATTATATCTACGGTCGTTGGTACTTATGTTTACCCCCCACTCCAGGGTGTTGTGCTCTTTCTTCACTTTGTGGACTATTTGAGCTTGGCTTCTCTCTTATGGTGGCTGCACGGGTATACAACCACCCATTCCCAGACTCGATTACAACTACTTTGTGCTTTACTTTGCACGACCGGGTTGGCAGCGGTGCTTCTTCTCGTCGCGATCTTCGGGGTTGTCCAGAACTGCTGGTTGCTATCTCTAGAGGTAAGTTTGGCTGCGTACGAGGAAATATCACTCTTGGCTGACTTTGACAGCTACAATTATGCGTTCTGATCACCTGGATGATCATTTCATATTACATTGTGCAAAATGCTGGAAGTTCAGTCGCTGAACCATCAACCTGTTCAACAATTGTGGTAATCGCCTAGTCTAGGACACAGTAGGTTTTATTGTCGGGCTGGATTTCTACCATTGTACATTTGATTCCCCTTCACAGCGGCAACGACTAACGTCGGGGAAACCCATCCTCTGGCAGAATTGCCAAGTCCCCAACAGACCGTTCGTTCCAAACTTTGAGCACGCCGATAAGCCTTCCCCGAACTTCATCCAACGCATCATCAATAGCATGCAAGCGAGCCACTTGCTCATCCTGGCAGTGCTTCAACTGGTTTCCATCGTTGCATAGTTGAATATTTCCGGTCCGCAGCTTTTCATTTTCTTCTTCGAGCTGCTGAACATCTGTATGTTTGGATACACAAGAATCCCACAAACTCCGAACGTACGCCACGAGACGTGCAGCCCGACATGCAAGCTCAGAATCTTCCTCTTCGATCTGCTTCAAGACATCAAGTATGGGTCGGAAGGGCTCTACAGTCAATGTCTGCTTCTCTATGGAGTGGTTTGGGGTCTGGCTAGTCAGCGTGGCCCGTTCGGTTCATATCTTATTCTTACCGGCAGCGGGGTATCAACACCAGCAAGCAAAGTCTGGTCGGTTGAACTTGGCTGTGTGTACAGCGGTGCCTCTCTTTGTGTATCACTCATTTCTGGCGTTTTGCTGGGACTATCCATGGCTGATACTGTTTCCATGGCTGATACTGTTTCCTCTGTCATGGGCCTAGTGTTCCTTTATACTATAACTTGGTTCAGTCCGCAGTAGATGGTGGGGCATCATTAGACAAATTTCACTGTGGTACGAAGTTCGCAGTCCTCAGCTTCCTCATTTTCCTCAGCCCCCTCAGCTAATTTCCAAGCTACTTCCAACTAGCGTTCAACGTTCACTCCGTGCTCAATCTATCCAGCAACATTTTCTGGTCCCGCCGCCAAGGCTCGGTGTGGCAGATCTGAACGAGCCGCATCAAATTGAGGCTGCAGTGTTATGTACAACCATATAGAACAGTGACCATTACGGTCTACGGTTCAACGGTCCAAGCCGGCAATGTTGCTCCACGTAGCACGGTATAGGATTGTCCTGAAGCATTTATCGATATCTCCTTTGAGAATCATATCAATGCAAACGAGCACAAATAATACCGTCATTGGCGCAGAATTCCACTCTGGCTAAGATGTGCTGGGAGGAATGTGCGAAGCTAGTGTATTTACGTCTATGATATACCAATCAAAATCCTACCGTCGTTCTCTGTTGAGTCAATAGCCTTCCCTAAGCGGCACTAAAGTCGATCAGCAATGATAAAACTCTCCTAACTCTATGTAGTGATAGATACTGTAGTATTTTAACACCAACTAAAGAGAACACTTTCGGCATTCATTCAATAGTCGATTTGATGACTGACCCTACAGGATGAACTGAATTATCAAAGAGATACAGTAAAGCGACAAAACTGACTTCGAGCGCATCTACATTTATACCATACAGGGAAAATGTATGTCCAATGTGTACTCTGAATCAGATATTTCTTTATTGATTGAGGGCTCGACCTTTCAGAGCATTTTGTGACCCGCAGAAACTATCTAGCTCCTTTTGTGTTGTTTTCCTTGCTTGACTGGAGGGCTTAGACGGTGAGGCATGGGCCGCAGACGTCGCATCCATTCCTGTCGGGTTTCCTCCGTTGCAATGGCTTTCTCGTGTTCCAGCATGTGCGAGATATCATCGTAGGCACCAAAAGCGGTAAGAGATGTCCACCACGTCTCCGGCTTCAAGCATCGCTGTTGAAACCGCAGTCGCAGTGTAGGCTGGTCTCGCTGCAATGCTGATTTAGTCAGACTATTGGTATCCTTAGACTTCCGCGGCCGTCGCTTGCTAGGATTGCGACCAAGTAAAGGCATAGCGTCGAGCTCGTCCACTGAGTAGCGCGTTGGCTGACGAGAGATGACAGGCATAGTTGCAGATGATGAAATCTAATGTTTCGACTGGGGCTGCCGATGCTATTTATCGTCGTCATAGCATACGTTTACAGTACTGGAAAGTGTTCCTTGTCACACTCACTTGTTGCACTCAATACATATCCCCAAATCGTCGTTCCTTACTTAACAGCTTGCAAGATGAAACTTCGGTAGCACAGCTCAGATTTGAGCAATGTCAGAAAGTTGATTGTACGCTCTTCCGAGTTCGCTCCCATAGTGTCATGATCATAGGGGAATTAGTGCGAGAACAATTTTGGTTTCTACGCCATCGAATTAACAGTCGAGTCTGTAAGGGCGGGATTATCTGATGGTTGGAAATGACGGTGCCAGACACAACGAGCGAGACACATCATAAACGCTTGGTTCAATCGCTCGGTCAAAAATGAGACATGACCGGTTAATAATTAGCTTTTTTAAAGTGAGGGGTGGGTTCAAACCAGAAGCTGGAAGACCGCTGGATCTCATATATGGGCTAGAACACAGCGATCACTGGGAAGATCCGTCTATAAAAACCCCAGCCACTCCCCAACTCGGATATCCATGGTACGTCCTCTATGTTCCGACTCCTATGCTTTCTCTGTACTGATGAACCTATAAGCCAGTGACTCTGCTTGCGAGGGCGAGCTGAAGAAAGAAGCGAGCGAGTAACTTCAAGGCGAAATGCAGAGATCCAAACCAACAAAGATGCTCGGTGTTTGGAGCGCCAGATGAGTGTCACACTCACTCTAAAGCCGAATCATGTACAAAAATGAGACCAACATGCTGCATTTTGGGAGTTGTATCAGAACTGGTGAGGTGGATTCAATGATTCTCGGCCACACTCACGTGAGATAGGAAGGATGCTATTTTGGATTCCTACGCCCAATCTCAGTAATCAGAACGACAGAAGAAGAGCAGATCGAGCTGTTCAAGAATGCGAAAGTATGCGCCCCATAATCGACGTTCGCAGGGGCGATACTGAGAGCTGTGCGCGCATGTATAGCTATGTTCAAACACACAAAGCACCTGACGATACGCCTTGTACAAAGCAACATGAGCGATGTCGATTCCTTTTTCGATTTAGAACTGAATACATTGAGCATCAACCGCAAGTTGTTGCACCGGCAATCTTCGTGCAGAGATTCCTGCGATGTGGCAGCACAGGACGCTGTGGTCTTCTGCGATCATATCGTTGACAATGTCCTGGGTTCGTTATCAGCGACGGTCTTCTTGACCGCGCCTGTCTCTTCCTGCAGCAAAATTCAAACGGTATGCTACGTCAAGCACATGCTTCGGTTGATGCCACAGAGAGTTGTTCTGATGCAGTCTGTACCGACACGAGTAAAAGTGCATGGACTTGCGCTCAGAGCTTGTACATGGAAACCGAGGTAAGTTGTCAGCCATTCTGTGAGCCCAATCCAAGCATCTTACTCCCGTTTGTCTAGTCATCTGTCCAGGTGGACACGCTCCATGTGGCTGCGCTCAGCGGCTCATAGGCCAAGGCAGTAAATGGTGGAGTTCACTCACTTGGATTGTTCGTCACAATACTTTCCTATGGTTGCTGAGAACACAGTATCAGCCATCTACCGGCTTCCTCCCAAGCCAGTCCTTCCTGCGGGAGAGAATCCGAATGATGTGGCCGCATTACCCGTTGTTTGGATAGAAGGGCTGCCCAACTCGTCTAACAAGCGGCAGAAGCGAAATTGGACACATCAGCCAAGAGGGTGGACTGCAAAAGATGAGTCGAACGAGACAATTCTTCAGATGGTCATTTGATGCGAATACAATCGTCGTGGTTGAGTCAACGCTGCCCAAACTTCATGGCCAGCTGACAATTTCCACCGGTCAACTGTGGTCATCACTGACCGGTTGGCTCCGCTGGGATGTTTACGATTGACCGATAAGTCGTCAAGAGACACAACCGCTCACGCCTGAGCTGAATATATATCAAGGGTTTGAGCCTTGTTTGACGGATCAGTCATGGTTCTCACGAGCAATGAGAAGCGCGCCTTTCTCAGACAACAGTGCCGTGAGGCACTGGCAGCCCATATATGTATGTGATGATCCTCCGCCTGTTGGGCGAAACTAATTGTCAGATGACCGACTTGGCCTAGTCGTCGCTCCCAGCCAAGTCCGTCTACAGCCATCGGCTGGGGATGGATACGCTTGGTCGGTGACGGAATCCAAGAAGAGCCTGTTGCAGTCAAATCTGGGCAGTGGAAATGTCGGCATGTACAGATCCATTTGCGAAGAACTAGGCCGGTCCCTTGAGGCAGTTACTCCGCAGACGCTGCAGATTGCCCAGCTAGAAAGGGACGGCATCCCAAGAGAAGAGGTGAGCTACGCGATCCCTATAGTTGTCTGAGGCCAACGCGATGCTGAATTTGAAAATAGTCGGGGCCAGTCCGTGGTGAAGAGGAGGACAGCGGCTCTTTCACGGCAAAGATTCGCGAGCTGGATTGCGCCAATCTGAAAATGAAGAACGAGCTCGACCACACCAACATCCGACTCCAAGATTCTCTCGGCGAGAATCGCACTTTACAAGCAAAACTCGGTCGGCTTCAGGACGAGCTCGACCACACCAGCATCCGACTCCAAGAGTCCCTCGACGAGAATCGCACATTACACGCAAAACTTTGTCGGCTTCAGGACGAGATGGATCATAGTTCATCGCGAGCGACTCGCTTCGAAGACGAGCTGGTTCGTGTCACAAGTGGGATTACTAAGGCTATGCAGGTTTTGCAGGACCATCAAACCCAGGAGGAGAGCTGCCGACTTTGCATGGAAACAAATTGTTGTAATTCAAAGGTGTGAATTGTTTGTTTTGCAGAGGGAGACATGTGGCTAGGGATACCGCTACGCGACGAGGCTGCTTGACTGTCATTGGAGTCGCGTGTTCGTGTTATTCTCCGAGCGCTAGGCTCTGACCAATGGATGCTGTTGAGTGGGTCTGGAGTTGAACCCCCGTTTTGGGAAATATCACTATACGCATATCGCAACACAGTGATAACCGTGCATAATCGCGTTTCTACGTGTCAAAGTGCAGTTATTGGTATTATAGCATCTATACAAGACTTATTGAGCGCGAAGGGCCCGGCTCAATCGTGGACAGCCGAGTTCACGGGGTACGTGGTTGAAAGTTCAACTTGCAGTAACCAATATATATATCCTGGTGTCACTCTCAAAATATTTGTTGCATCAATTGTATGCCAAGTACACCTGTATCCGGAACACCCTTTCTGTCCCCACACAGATACTACAGCACTATTGCCTAGACTACCAAGGGGTTTACGATGTAATTGTGCTCGAGCTCGAAGCAATTACTAAAACATTCTGAGCGCCTAACCCATGATGGCCAACACACACGTGACATACCGCCCGCGAGTTGGAATCAAGAGATTACACGTGATTAATTCTACTTTCAACATTCCTATATGTGAAGATTATGATACGGTAATTGTCTCACATATCCAGTGGCTTACCTGAAGTCTGCGAGTCAGGATCAATGTGTGATCACTCGAAACAGAGTAGTAAGTAAGGCGCTTCACGGGGCTGCCTTGACAGAAATCAGACCTGAAGCTTTGTAGTTAGCACCGTAGGCAAGATGATTCAAATCATTTCAGGGCATTATCTGGAGGCCAATTATGAACTGACTATGTAACGTTATCTAGAATGGCTGTATTTATATGACTCCGCAAAAAGGGAGTCGAGATCCTCCGCACTACCGCAGAATCACGCTCATGTGCGCTTGAATGACTCTAGATTGTGATAAGCAGTCTTGTTGGCCGCGCTCACCAGCATCTTCAATTCGCCCTCATCTCCAGATAGCGTGAACAGTTTGCTCTGATTCGTTAGCACGTGACTGAGACAGATGGGCGGTCGGGCTTACGCGTAGTAGCTTCTCCGGTTGATTGCATCTCTTGAGCTCGGCAGGCAGACCCTGAACCTCAGCACTCCATGGGTATTGCGAAGGATTCTTCATGATCAGTCTCTCCACCACCTCCGCCAAGGCAAACAGCTTCATTGTGGCTGCGTCCATCTCGGCTGCATCGATCTGGCAACTTTGCTCCACTCCCGCTGCCACGTGATGAATGTCAATCTCATGTGGTCCATCACTTATGTCCAGATATTTACTCACCAATTTTGACACCACCGGACTCAGTCAGTAAAATGGAATCAGCACTCAAGACGGCAAGTGCTCTTCCCTGGCCGAGTAGATATTGAATTCCTCCAAGGACCTATCGGGCATGAGCATCGTTCAACTTTTCATGTCGACCTTGAGAGTCGCACGTACCGGCCGAACAATCGCAACAATCTCGCCTTCGGTAATAGTGCACCTTGATGCGAGGATGTGACTCACCGAGAGCTCTACTGGCTCCCAGACCAGAAACACCTTTTCCTCCCAACTATAGCACCCTACCATACCTAGAAAGCTGGGATGGGAGAACTGGCTGATTGTGTCCAACAATGGCTTGACGGATGAGAGTTGTTGCTTCAAAAGATGAATATTCACCAGGGTTGCTTTGTTTTTCCTGTTTCGGGCCAGAAAGACAGACTGTCCCTGATAGATCATCACGATGGCCTCGTACGTCAACCATGGGTTCTGGAAGATTGGCTCAACCGTCTGAGCTGTAATCTGATCTTTCAGCGGAACCGGACGCGGAAAGGACAAAGAAGAAGGGGTGACTGCTGGATCGGGTTGGGGCCTAGCAGATGGCGCAGAAGGACGTGATGGGCCTTCAAATGCAGCCAAATCAGGTGTTCCATCACGCCACAATGTCAGAGGCCGAGAGGGCTGCAAAGAATCCATCAAGCAAGAAATGTGCCGAAGAAGCAGTCCTGGTTCTGAAGTACCCAAGCAACGTCGTATTGCTCAATTTGTCTTCACTGAGAAGTGGAAGTCTGTATCCAGAGATTCCAAGACAATCGCTACTAATATAGTGAGGCTGTAGACGTGCAAGACCACGGCTGACTCTGCGGAGCAAGATTGTTTCTAAAATTACGCCCTATGTTGGCTGTTTGTATTTATGTGTGCCCAGTTTAATTTGCGGTTAAGTCTTGAAAGTTGCGGTTAGACAAACTAACCCGCGGTGAAACCGGTCTTGAACCGGCCCAAACATGTCAGACCAAGCACTGCCCGTAAATTCAAACGGGTTGAATGCCCTGCATCCTAAATGGAATATAGAACTCCCTACTGTTTGTTCTCAACTCCGGGAAAATGCAAAGATAGATCCACGATGAATATCAGCGCTAAAGTAAATAGTTTCATTATTCATCATACAGCTGCTAGCTACCCGAATCCTAGGCCTAGGGCCGGAAGCGATCGGGACTCCGTCTCGATCTCAGAGATTGACGAATATGAGATGTGCTTGACGGAACCCGGTCTGAACGCCGGGTAGGTTGGGCCGACCGACGCTGTCGAGGGGCTGTTGGAATACTTGTTTCTTCCACTACTGTGTAGGTTGTATCGAGAGGTGTTTCGGCTATTAATTCGCCAGAAGCCGATGAACGTAAGAGAGCACTGAACGATCCCCGGCATCGGCTGTCTCTATATTAGTGAATGGACTGGGTAACAGAGGGTGATGGGATACGTACTGTTGCAGGCAAGAGGTGTTATTTCCTGGTAATCTATGGGCGAGCCAGCCCTCCATGCACCCCAGATGAACCACCCCCTTACATATATCGCATTGTAATATGACGCATTCATCGCTTTCTCTCTCAAGACAAATGGGGCACATCTCACCATCTAGATAGGAGTCCTGGCGGACGGCGTGAATCTGGAGGGAGTGCAGTCCACCGTGCTCATTGTGAATGGATAGAATGGCTGGATCGTCTGATGAAACATTCCAGGGCACCCGATTCATTGTGAGCATTTCTGATGTGACATCCCTTCCAGGAGGCTGAGATGCATCTAACGATGTAGAGGCAAGAAGCCGTGGAAAAGCCACAGCAACACCCCGTATTGAAGCAAACTCATGTGTCTCTGAAGCAGGAATGGTCGACGCCTGTTGCGGACCGTTGATTTCTTCCCCGATAACTTGTAGAAAAGGCTGGTGCGAGCTCAGTTGTGCAACAGCCTGGTTATCCACCGCTGCATTGAACCATTGCTGTTGAATAACATCGTGCTGACGTGCTCGATGCCACCTTTCGCAGAGGAAGAAGGATACAAGTTCGCTGAGCTTGGATTCCAGAGTAGAAAGGTTAAATGGGCTTCGGGCAAGTTCGTTCAACTTGTGCCGTCCTTCTTTCAGAGTCTCTTTCTTCACAGTCAACTTGCAAGCATCTCCTTTCTTGGTAACACCACAGCAGGTTTTGCTATCCCTGAGAGGTCCCATCTGACATATATTCAAGGGATTCCAAAGCCACTGGGGGTCTGACATCTTGAACGTGGTACGTGGATGAGAGGCGAGAGATGTATCAAGGCGGCGGTGGCGACTGAAAGACACCACTAAGGATTTATTTGAGCATATATAGTGATCCTTCTCTGCTACCATAAAATATTTTGCACGAGGTTGTGAAGTGACTTGGATGGCTCGCGGGGAAGATGTTGGGCTCCCAGAAGCATTCAGTCGCCCAGGAGCTGAATCTGTGCTCCTGGAAACAGAATGGATGCTCCCAGGAATGAAATGAGTATTCCCGGGAGCCCATGCACTCCCAGGAGCCCGTACTCGAGCCCCAGGAACCAGGATGACGTTCCTGGGTACCTAACAGCCTTTGACCGTTGGTTAAAAAGGTTACCTATTGGCCACATAAATGCTTACGCAACATCGGTCTCTATTATCCGTAATGGCAAAATACTCAGAGGGGTCCTCAGATTCCTAGGAATAAGGATTGCGCTCCTAGGAGAAAGAAGCTCGTGCAACGTAGAAGCTGCAATTGTAGGGATGACCAACAAAAGTCGCTAGGTCACTTCAATTTCACTAGAAGCTTGGACCGTTCGGTCAAGCGAGATTTCCATCGAGCCATTTATTGATATAAAAGACGTGCCTCCGAATACCTACGAGTGCCGTCCCTTGCTCTGCTTTGATATCTCTTCTCTTTGATGTGCATTGTACATACTGCACATCGTCTTATCACCAATATGAATTGGAGCTCTGGCTATCTTCAGTCGATCTTCGGCCAAATTATTGGCGACCCTAATCATCATCTGGAGTGCCGATGGGTTGAAGATAATGGAGTTTGTTGCAAAAACCACGTGTCCAAGGAGTCGCGCAGAAATGGAGCGATTTGTCTCAAAATGTTCCAAGATCTCCCCACCGGTCATCCACCCAAAACAAGACTCTCAGAGGCTGCAGCGTACATGCTATGCCCAGAATGCAGGCGTTATTCCTCCAGATCCAAAAAGTGCGCCCAGAGATGGATGGATCGGTTACATGCCCAAGCCAGTCAAATGGAGGAACCCACTCAACCTCAGAATGATGAGAACCAGACCACTTCATTGGCGCATCGCTGGCCGACTAGCCTGTCCTACAGTGTCAATTCAGAAGGATACATTTCAGCGCCTAGATCATGAAGACCGATAACTATACACCGCAAGAAGTGCTGTCGGCCTTTTGATCTGGAAAACATATACTATTTCTCAGCAAGCACCCCCAGCCATGAACCAACTAAAAATACGAAATGTGCTTGTCTGCTAACCTCTATCTTGCCCTTTTGTCCCCATCCTTGCTTCACACCAATAACGGGCCTGTTTGCTGGCTTGCTGAGGACAGCCCCTTCCCCGTCTCATCACCCTCTGCCAGCTCTCTATTATAGTTGATTTAGTATAGATATAAGAAGAGAATATTCCTTTTGGACTTCCATACTCATGGCTATCTTCATATATCTTCAGTTTCTGAAGTTCCTGAGATAACAACTCTGGCGATGGAGCTGCGGATCGTCGAATGCGATCCCATTCGAATGCTGCTTCAAGGGAATGGGAAGAAGGCTCAGCACGTGGTATTGAATTGGCGAGGTTAGACTTGGACAGATCCTCTCCCAGAATATGTTGAAGCTTCCGCGTCAGCTTCTGGACACGACAGAAAATCAGTTGGGCTTCCATAGTCAGATCAAATAAAACAAAAGGTGAATGGGATTGTTTCAAGGAAGTGTTGTAAGCCGAATTACGGGAATTGCAGCACGTATATATAGAAACCAACGCAATTCAAAGCCACTAAAACCTGAATATAATATATACTTATAACTGTAACCATTTGCAAGTAAAGACACATGTACATGAACAAGGAACGGTGCACGGTGAACCATCGTTAAGCCATGGCTTAGTTACACTGTTCCCCAGCCCTTGTGCCATCACTTTCCGAGTCACCGGAGTTCTCACCGCTGTCCCCCATCTCCTGTAGTTCTAATCGTTTCAACAACACGTCAAGCATTACCTTTGTTGACTCCGGCTCTTGGCCGGATTGGTTGGTACTGCGCTCCTTCAACAAATGATCCACCACGCTTCCCAATTTCTGGCTAAGTTCGAAGAAGATATCCGCTAGTCTGGATACATGCTCCAAATCCTCATTCGCCTGCTTCTCAGCGGCCTTGGAAACCTTCAGTTCCTCTTTGAATACGGACTGGGCTCGTTCCGCCTCGACTGCTTGACTGTCGAGCCTCGCAAGAATTCGGAGATATTTCTATCTTGGAATTAGACAGGGCTTAAAAGAGGGCTTTGTAACCTACCGAGGAATCCATTCTATCAAATTAAAGATTGGTACTAAGGAACCGGCAGATGAGTTTGACGCACGCAGCAATAAGCTTGCTCGAGCAACAGAGGATCTGTGCTTATATTTATAGCTCTATGTCAGTAGTAAGCCTCCGGATAGTCTTGGAACTTCAATAGACGTATGTCCGGAGGGCCTTGAAAGGTTCTTTTAAGCTCTGTTTACCACCTACGGTTAACCGGCCCAATTATGAATCGCTGAAGAGAGCCCAAAAATTGCATTGGCCATTCCAACCTCACCGAATCCTTATTCTTTACACCAGATGACGTCTCAGCTTTGGAATAGCGAAGGTTAGTCTGGTAGCATGCATTGCAATACAATACCACAACTTGACCGAGAAGCCATAATGCAATCACACTGACAGCACCCCCACGGCTGATAGCGTGTAATTAATATTGGCCTAGAGAATAAACGAATCGCGGCTTCTGACGCGACAGAAGGAAAAAACAAAAGCTAAGCCCGTTAGGGAAGGTCAACTGGGCCAGTGTCGCGTGTAACAGGGTTAACGCGGGCCACGCGGGCCACGCGGGCCACACGGCCGAGACTGAGCCGAGTCGCCTATTCCGGTATCTGGAATCTAATCACCTCATAACCGAAATTAAGCGACAGGGGTAGTCGATGGTAGCCTACAATACCTTCTTGATATCTGGTTGAGTGGCGGCACTATTGAGTGGCGATCGATTGAGGGTGGGGCAGTTTATAAGTCCCACGAATCAAGACTTTCGGCGCCGCCCCGACTTATATCCACTGATCGCCCAAACCTGTCTTTTTACGAACGTGGATCTGCGCAACTACTGCTGCCGCAAATTTCTTATGGCGTTTATCATACTGTAGATCGGATATCATTAGCACAGTATGTTGGTACGGAATACTGGCTCGGAAAAAAACGAACATCTCGTTACCTTCGGTCCCTGCGCGGCACCGTATGCGTGAGCTGATAGCGCGCTTCGAGCAATCAATAGCGACGAATAGACCCGGGGTATACCGTCCTGGAACTGGCCTAATTCGATTTGGTAAACCCACTTCATGGCGCATTAGGATTTTGCCCATGTTTCAAATTGTCTCGAGTTCCCGTGGCTCAACTTGACCCCGAGACCGCCAACGGATTGATCCGCCAATGCGACATCGGGTGGAATACTAAATATGCAACCGACAAGACAACATAAACAGAATACGAAACAATACGAGTGAACTACTTGGGGAACTTGCACGGGCCTGGAAAGTTTCAACCGTTCAAGCGGGCATGGGGTCAGTATTCGAAGATATTGTTATGGAGGATGTGAATGGGCGCTACATGCTGGTTCGTAGATGAAGAGCTTCGTGTCAAATGGTCAAAGTCTAGCCATAGAATTCTAGTTGACGGAACAAGATCACCGTTAAGGTACTGTACCTTCTGGTCAACCGGTGGTTATCAGTCTCTCTGGAGAACGAGACGAAAAAGCGAACGGTCATCGCCGCACAAATGCAACCATATCTTGAAATTGCAGGATAACCGTTATTGCGGGCCGGTTGTCTCGACATGCACCAATGACTGGGCATTTGAACGGTCAATGTCACAATGCTGCGGCCCACATTGAACGGCTTTGTTATACATCGTTCAGAACTGTTTAGGCTACTGACTAGTACGCTGGATACCTATAAAAGTCCACATTGCCTCCCCGAACGGTCGAACCTGAAAAATCGACAATCCTCCCTGCGAGAGAATCTATCTTAGAGTATTGACGTTCAATATGCCTTCCCGCAGAACCGCGGCCCAAGCCACCGCCAGTACTGGTCAAGGTCGCTCCAAGTCAATTACCGCTGCGAAGCACACTCAACACTCTCCTATCGCTGGTCATGATGGTTCTCTATCAGATACTCAAGATGTAGACCTTTACACACCATTGGTACGTTCTGTCATCACTGTTTCCTGAAAGCAAGTATACTCAACGCAATGAATGATCTAGATTTCCTCGCCAATAGCAAAGACTGCGAAACAAAGGCACTGGAGGATTGTTCATCGACGATGCTTGAAAGGGTTCAAGGAAGCCGATCAAGACCGAGACCAGCTCACACGATCCATACAGCAACTAGAGGAGGACAACGCCCAAGCCCAAGCAGCAATTCGCCAGCTGAGTGACACCAATAACCAGAATCTGGCCAAGGTTCAAACGCTCGAGTTCGAAATATCCACTCTGAAACAGCAACTCGAGTTTGCACAAGCTTGTTGTACGACCGGCGATAATCTGTTACCCATACTATTGGAGGTCAGCGGCAATTTCCAACAAGCGCAGAACCAGCTCGAGAAGAAGATAGAGAAGGAGAGAAATGCTGAGAAAAATAAGTCTGCATTTGCTGGATTGTCTGATTCTGATGTGCTACGAGGCTCATGGACAGCTCATAACGGGCAGGTGGCCTCGTTTGGTACCAACCCGCTCCCAAACTATCCACTGTCGAATACCCTTACGTCGGTCAATCAACAAGCGCCGGTCCAGTTCTGTCAGCCGCCTCTTCAGCAAGCGCCGGTCCAATTCAATCAGCAACCTCTCCAGCAAGCCAGCCAATATATATCGCAATTCTGAAGAGAAAGTGCAAGTAACTTATTGGAGATTTCATGGACTGTAGCCAATTGACATGAATCAGCAATGCTATCATCCACGCCGTGTGCCTGGGTTGTACGTGTTACGTTGAAGAGTCAAGCAAACCGGAGCGTTGAGTGGACGGGTGAAGAGCTGCCCAGGATATGCAAAGCTCAGCGGCGGACAATGAAAACACTACATGGGTATTGGTTGCTACTATAATTTCACGGTCGTACCATCTTCGTCGTAGATCGCGTAGATCAAGCCTGTAAATTTTATTCTTGTTTGATACTGTCTCGTCAACGGCCCTTCACCGGAGGCTATGTTGCACGCCGATTGAGCATTGTGCAAGCGCAGATGACCTGGTTCGCATTTCACGATTGATACCGTAGACGTATCATCCGTTATCCGAAATTGCAGCACTAGTCCGGATTTTTAGCCCATGATACACTCGTCCATGATACCTTTTTTGACTAGCCTAGTTTCAGATATCGTACGACGGCGGTAATGCGATCATTTTGACGCCGGTGGCCTGGTCTTTCGACTTAAGCTAGATTGGGACTAGTGTCTGGACGACACAAACCTTTATTATGGAGCATAATGTATGGCGCACAGTCCGTGTGTCACGATCCCATTACTCTGCCTCTATCTTGCCCGCTATTATGCTAACTTGAATGTACTTTTATGATCATTCAATCTGTCAAGCAGCCTCTGAATAACATAACTTGGTTGTTTATCCAAGTCTGTCATTGCGCTTGAGCAGATTCAGGAGCCGATCGGAGCCGATGATTGGTCAGCATCATTTGCATCGAACACTGGTTGCGCGCGTTGGTCTAGGCTAAATCTGAGGTTAGCGTCAGATCGCGAAAGCGAACAGTCCTCGTGTCCACCTGACACACCCGCAAATCGTCCTTTTGGAGCCAAGAGTGAGACACATGCAACAGTGCGGGATCTTGGGGAATTGTGTGGAGTTTGATGTATGCTACTATGTGAAGCTATAGCCGCGTACTATGCGACAATGCTATGAATGTAGTGATTCTAAATTGCTCCGTTGATTATGAAACATGCAATTTGCAAGATTGATTCTGTCTCAGGATGTCGCTGTCCAACGTAGAACAATTGACGTAGACTTGGCTCCCACGTTCAGGGGAAAGGGTGATTTCAGGAAACCGGGGCTCGATCTGCGGGTGGGGCTATCCCGGGCAAATCGCAACGCTTCTGGCAGTCTAGACGCATCTTTTTCTGAGAGCAGAACCGTACAGAAGAGGTTGGCGGCAACCCGGGATTGAATTGGGGCAATCTGCATCACACTTGATTGAACCACGCTGTTTTATCAGGCCACTTGGCCATCTAGTCTTTGAGTATTCCCATGGATTACTCTCAACATAAGGGGTGAATTTGTATGGCACTAAAGGATTGAAGGACGCCTTCAAGATTGGGTTGATGCAGATAGGCGCGTTGTGCATGGTATAAGGCCTGGTAACCACATTCAGACTAGTGCATCATTGCGCCGAAAATTGCGATCCGAATCGGGCCGCAGACGGCCCCTGTCGGCACGGAACGCGAGCTTCTTACCCCCATGGCATGCATAGCGCACAGTCCATGCGAGGTGATCCCCTGGATCTGCCACTGACACCCTGACGCATTTGAGATCCTTCATCAGGCCTTCCAGCCGTAGCTGTAATTAATGGTCATTGCTGTTGATTGCGCTGAAGTATTTGGAAATGAGCCCGGCCTAGCGCAGGAACCTCGGCATGCACGGCTCAAAAGATGGGTAATTTCTATACTAGGAGTAGTGTGGACAGGGGTACCTACAGGATTTTCTTTGTACAGAATGTAGATCCCTCAGCGAATCAAAAATCCAGGTCAGCAAAATTATATCTCTTGAATCATGTTGCAGACCCCGTAATGGCTAGATGCATTGTAGGCGTAAGCGAGAAAGAGTCAATGGTGCAGATCACTCTTGTAAAAGAAAGGCAATGTGAGCGGAACGTCGCGATATGAAAGAAGGGCGTAAGTGATATTTGTGTCCCCCAAGTGGATATTCATTGACAGACCCGCTCTGATTCGTCGTACCGCGACATTGAGGCTTGGGGGTATGATTGGCTGATTGACGGAAATGATAATCTTACTCGCGCGTGGATCTGTAGGGAACGGTGGATACCCTAAGAAAAGTGGGCCATGTTAGGTCGATTCCGGCACGACAGAGCTTTCCCCGGACAAATCAGAGACCTTTTACCATCTAGATCTGTCCATCAATGACTGAAAAGAGCACTGCTGCTATATTCATCTGCCCGTGATTGTTCGCAGTACAGAAATTACCCTCACGATAGCCATTCGATGGGATGGTACGTCACGAATGGTGATTCTACGGCGGGACCTGGCCGAAGGTGACATGTGACCCTCTGGATACTGCTATGTGATGTTCGAAGAATTACCTCCCATGGAAGCGAAGCTCTGAATGTTCTATTCGGGTATTCTCTCACAGTCTTTGACGCTTTGAACCCACGATCTCTCGATCTTTGACTGCACTACTGCTCGACAAAACCTCCACCTGTTTCTTCAATGCAGCCATCTCTTTCGCCAACGTGCCTTTAGTACCAATCTTTTCTAGAAACTCTCGTTGCATTTCCTGATTCCATAAGCCCTGGCGAGCGAGTGAATCTGCGCTAGATCTGAAGCGGGTCAGTGTGGTGACTCTGGTTTTGCCTTGAAGGGAAACCTACTGTACCCGATCTTCCAATCTATATACCGAGCCGTTAGAATGTGATATCTCACAATAAGACAGCTTCCGACTCACTCTGCCATACATTCGATCATTTCAACCACTAACTCTGCGAGATCCTTAGTGCTCAGGGACTTTACAGATCTGGCTTCCCCCAAGGCTAATTCCTTGATTCGTTTCTTGGTTCGTTGTCCCTGAGCCGCCTCTTCATCACTGCAACCATCCATGGAAGTAGCCTTGTCATCGTCGTCAGATTCATCGTTTTGCTGAGAATAACAATCGTCGTCCTCAGAGCCAATGATTGATGTGGAGGGGCTCCCGGTATTGTTTGGCTCCGGTGAGCCTGACGAAAGCAATCGAGTCATTCGATCTGTGTATCGTTGCGAACCGCTAGCCTGAGTTCTCTGGACGCCCATCGCCACTGTCTTCAAGTAGATCAGGCAGAGTATCGTGGAAGAGACTTGAAGTAGAGAGTGGGAATAGTAAGAAATGCAAGAGTTTGCGCCTTTAAAGAACCAAAGTGAGAAGTGACCAGTACCCAAACAAGCCTAGTAAATGTCATCAGAGCCGAGCATCTCCCAATGTCAAGAGAATAATAATTTAATCCGTTTTCCGAGGGGTCCTCTTTTGCCCAATCTCCGAGTGTACCCCAAAAAAGAGTATGAAAAAAAAAACGTATTTTGAATGGGCGACATGGCCGTTGAAGATGGCCTATGCTTTTCCCAAGTGGCATGCCCCACAAAAAGCAAACTTTAACATTTATTTCATGTTTATTATCTTGATCCTCTTTATTTTGCGCCTGTTTAACTAGACATTATTCATATATCATTGCTCATTGGAATTAATAATACTTTCTCATTTAAACGCTCGTTTATAGGAATATGAATATTATGCGTATTTTATTTTTTATTCCGGCCGCCTTCACTTTCAAGCGCAGGGGTCATCGCGAAAGCCGGTCCAGAAGAGGCTTGTGCCCATGACCGAATTGCAACCAAAACATGACTGGGCTGGTATTGACCGTTTTATCAACCGGTGAAGTATGCGAAAGACCACCACATTGATCTCACAAATCACAGTCCAAGTTGAACAAGCTACGAAACTGCTGGGTAGCAGCATATTGCTCTTGTCGCATTCTCAGACTGTTCCTTTCGGTATCTACACAGATGCCAAAGACCGACCCGAGTACGATTGCATCCAAAGGAGACCCATCGGCTAGGGTCTTGTCCGACAAGCCCATTACCACCGTTGTAACAGAGGACCGCAATTAAACAAGGCCACTGTGGAGCTGTTCCATCCTTGATAAACCTGTGACCACCCCCGACTTCAACCGGAGTCCTTTCACAGTCTCACTGCATCTGATCTTTCAACTCATCTTCACTGCTTTTCTTATTCAGAGGGTTATCTGTCATCAAGATGTCCAGAGTCAAGATTTCTAAGAATGAGAAGATCGCCTGGTCTTCATGGGAAAAAAGAAATCTCCTTTCTTGGTTGCATCTGCACCGAGGGATGTCTTGGAAGCAAAGGTCTAAGGCATACTTCAGGCAGTTCCGCGTGAAACGAACCGGCGAGGCATTGAGATGCAAGCAGAATTATTTGTTGCGGAAGCCTCATTCCATACAGAGAAGTGAGTCTGAGCCTTCCAACTCGGGGACTCCGCCGCCACGAGCCCGACGCGAAGAAGCTCGGGGGTCTTGCTTGCCGTCTCTTCCAATTTTTAGACCCAAAGGTTCCCGCACAAGAACTCGTGATTTGATCCATACACTGGAGCATCTGGTCGTTTCAGAACGTCGACGCTTGATAAATGACTCGAATACAACGGAGAGACTACCAGGTGAGATATGGCGGCGTTCTTGGCAATGAGACAGGAGGGCTGACGATTCACTAGGTTCTACAACCCGACTGCCACCGACTCCGATATCCAAGGCCCCACGACGTGTTTCATACCTCTGGAAGTTTGTGCATCGCATGGCGGCTGCTACGAGAACGCCACGGAATGTTGCAAGCTTGTGATCTTCAACGCCCACCTCATATGTACACAGCTCAATGGACATAATCCTGTCCACCTTGCGGGTTCCAGAGTGTTTGTGTATATATACAGTCGTTCTCGAAATCGGCTTGACAGATGCACTCTTCGTCACTCTTTTCTGGCCCCACCGCTAAGGCCTTAGCGCAGATTAATCATTGAGCGGGCCTCATCAAATTGATGGACATCGAAAAAGGTGCGCAGTATGGTACTGTATTTTGGCATGTAAATTACGAAAGCCTTACGAGATATGGAAAGAATTCCGTAGAAATCTATTGTGGGACTTTGCAAACCATACGGGATGGTCGCCTAGCAACCGGTTCCTGGTCTTCTGCTAGGTGACTTCAGATTTCCTCCATGTGCAGCATGGGTTGATTCCCTTTGCCGGTGATTTTGACAGGTGTTTCTTTGCCGTAGTGAATCTCAGCGATTATCGTGGGCAATACATTCTCTCGACCTGGACCCTGCCGCGGACGAACAACAACCTTTTTGGCAGCCAATGGCGTAGGCCGCAACTAATAGTCACTCACCATAAGTCTTTCGCTACAGTTTGCTCAGAGATATGAGGCGAAGTTCTCTCTTTAGCAATGATGATTGTGACGTCCAACGAGGTGTAACGTTAGATCCCTGGGACAATACATCGCAATATGCACCAACACCTGGCCCCAATACACACTCACAGGTCCTTCGACCGATCTTCCAATTCTCTTAAGTGTCCCTTGTTCGTAATATTCTATTGAATGCCATTTTGAGCTGAGTTGTTCCGGGCGTGGTTAATCGTTGGATGGTTTTCCTCTTGGGCAGAAATGAACGGCCCCTTGTGGTAGGCACGTGGCTCATCGGATCGGGCAAGCGCCAATCAGGGTCCAGTTTTGCTCTCAGCCTCACTTTGACGCCTTCCCCTCAGAGAGGGGCATAAGCTCCATTTTGTCTGTCATCCCTTGCGGCATCTTTTTACTTTTGATATCATTCATACTGTGGAAGGCTTTTTTACCATGGAACCTCTTTCGGGTGCAGCAAGTGTTATCGCAGTTATCCAGTTAACCGGAGCTATTGTGCAAATATGTGGGAAATATCTCAACAACGTCAAGAACGCGACGCAGGATATTCAGCGCTTCCAAGAGAAGATCACCGCCCTTGCCCAAGTGCTTCAATCTCTCGATGGGCTGATCCGTGGATCTAATGGCAATGAACTTACTGCTACGCAAGACCTGGTCGACAATATTGTCAAATGCTCCTCAGCACTTACATATTTGAAAGAGAAAATCAATCCGGAAACGACGCAAAGACGGATGAGGAAATGGGGCCTTCGAGCCTTGAAATGGCCGCTCGTACGGTCGGAGGTAGATTCTGCTATCATGGAGCTTGAGTGGTATAAAACAACATTTGCTTTGTCCTTACAGGTTGATCAAACGTAGGCTGCGGACCATAATCCGGTCTCTTAATTATTCATATCAAGGGCCAACTCTGACGCTGACTCAGGAGATCTACCAATTCGATCCACAAAAAGATAGACCTCAGCAGACTACAGACTGCAAAACAAGCAGCATTCGACTCTTACGACAATCAACACAGTGAATGTCTTCCAGGGACCCGAATTGACCTGCTTCGAGAAATCGAAGAGTGGGCAAAATCGCCACACGGAAAATGTATATTTTGGCTGAGCGGCATGGCAGGGACAGGGAAATCAACAATATCCCAAACAGTTGCAAGCCGTCTTCAAGCGCAGCAGCTTCTCGGGGCGAGCTTCTTCTTTCAGAGAGGCGAAGAGGACAGAGAAACAGCAAAAAAGCTTTTTCCAACATTGACCGAGCAACTGGTCATCGGCATACCTCAAATGCTGCCTCGAGTTCAGAGGGCAATTGAGGATGACCCGAATATTTCGGAAAAGGTGTTGAGGGAACAATTTGAACGGCTTCTACTGGATCCACTATCTGGAATTGAGCAGCGAGAAGAGACCACAAGAAGAGTGATCGTGATTGATGCTCTAGATGAATGCGATTCAGAAGACGATATAGGGATTGTTCTCCGGCTCTTGCCACGAGTTCAAAAGTCAACTTCCGTACAACTACGGTTTTTGTTGACAAGCAGACCTGAGTTGCCGATCAGGCTGGGCTTCGAAGGGATCACCGATGCCCATCAGGATTTGGCCCTACATGAGATCGAAGAGCCAGTGATAGCGCATGACATATCCTTGTATTTTGAGGATCAGTTCCTGCGCCTAAAGCAGAGGCGCTCATTGCCACCAGATTGGCCCGGAGTCCCAGCTACCAAGATATTGGTTGATAGGACCATCCCTTTGTTCATTGCAGCTGCCACTTTATGTCGTTTTATCGGTGATGCAAAATGGAACCCTCAAAAGCGACTGGAAGCGATATTGACAGACCAATCAACCTATGTGTCCAAGATGGACAGCACATATATTCCCGTGCTAAAGCAACTTCTCACTGGACAGAATGAAACAGAGTCACGGGAATTACTTAAAGAGTTCAAGGAGGTAGTTGGTGTGATCATTATTCTTGCCACTCCGCTCTCGATCAACTCCCTAAGCCACCTAATAGACAGAGAGTCAGATGATGTCAAATGTCGATTAGACCAGCTCCACTCGGTGCTCAGTGTACCAAACAATTTCGACACACCAGTCAGGCTCCTCCATCTGTCATTCCGAGATTTTCTTTTGGATCACCACAAAGACAAAAGCAAATTCTGGATCGATGGAAAATATACAAACCAGTGTCTTGCAGAACGATGCCGTCAGATCATGCAGGACAGCCTGGAGAAAAACATCTGCAAACTGCCAAGCGAAGGCACGCAAAGGAATGAAATTAGCGATGATTCGATTCAGCTTTATATACCTCCCCCACTGAAATACGCGTGTCGATACTGGGCGCATCATCTGTTACAATGCACGGACTTGTCTGGCATGATGCACAATGCTTATTTATTTTTCCAGGTACACTTTTTGCACTGGGTGGAAGCAATGAGTCTACTGGGCCTTACGTCAGAAGTATCAGGTATTCTTGATCGCCTCCAAACGTCCACATCGGTAAGTTCCGAAGATAATCATACATGGTATGCACTGACAGCTTTAGGGTAACGGCTCTTCCCTGATTCCGGATTTCCTTCACGATGCAAAGCGCTTTATTCTGAAAAATCACCAGATAGTTGATCAGGCTCCCCTTCAAGTTTATTGTGCAGGACTTATATTTGCACCCCGAACGGGGATAATCCGTAGAGAGTTCAAGCGGTCGCTTCCTACTTGGATATGTCAGTTACCACAGGTTGAAGAAGGATGGAGCGCGCTTACCCAGACCCTCGAAGGCCATTCCCGTTCGGTTCGATCGGTGGCCTTCTCGCCCGACGGCCGCCTGCTGGCGTCCGGCTCTTACGATCAGACAGTGCGGCTCTGGGACCCGGCGACGGGCGCGCTCACCCAGACCCTCAAAGGCCATTCCGATTGGGTTCGATCGGTGGCCTTCTCGCCCGACGGCCGCCTGCTGGCGTCCGGCTCTGACGATCAGACAGTGCGGCTCTGGGACCCGGCGACGGGCGCGCTCACCCAGACCCTCGAAGGCCATTCCGGTTCGGTTCGATCGATGGCCTTCTCGCCCGACGGCCGCCTGCTGGCGTCCGGCTCTTACGATCAGACAGTGCGGCTCTGGGACCCGGCGACGGGCGCGCTCACCCAGACCCTCAAAGGCCATTCCGATTGGGTTGGATCGGTGGCCTTCTCGCCCGACGGCCGCCTGCTGGGGTCCGGCTCTGACGATCAGACAGTGCGGCTCTGGGACCCGGCGACGGGCGCGCTCACCCAGACCCTCGAAGGCCATTCCGATTGGGTTGCTTCGGTGGCCTTCTCGCCCGACGGCCGCCTGCTGGCGTCCGGCTCTGGTGATCACACAGTCCGGCTCTGGGACCCGGCGACGGGCGCGCTCACCCAGACCCTCGAAGGCCATTCCGGTCCGGTTCGATCGGTGGCCTTCTCACCCGACGGCCGCCTGCTGGCGTCCGGCTCTGGTGATCACACAGTCCGGCTCTGGGACCCGGCGACGGGCGCGCTCATCCAGACCCTCAAAGGCCATTCCGATTGGGTTGCTTCGGTGGCCTTCTCGCCCGACGGCCGCCTGCTGGCGTCCGGCTCTGGTGATCACACAGTCCGGCTCTGGGACCCGGCGACGGGCGCGCTCACCCAGACCCTCGAAGGCCATTCCGATTGGGTTGCTTCGGTGGCCTTCTCGCCCGACGGCCGCCTGCTGGCGTCCGGCTCTGGTGATCAGACAGTGCGGCTCTGGGACCCGGCGACGGGCGCGCTCATCCAGACCCTCGAAGGCCATTCCGATTGGGTTGCTTCGGTGGCCTTCTCACCCGACGGCCGCCTGCTGGCGTCCGGCTCTGGTGATCACACAGTCCGGCTCTGGGACCCGGCGACGAGCGCGCTCACCCAGACCCTCGAAGGCCATTCCGGTCCGGTTCGTTCGGTGGCCTTCTCGCCCGACGGCCGCCTGCTGGCGTCCGGCTCTGACGATCAGACAGTGCGGGTCTGGGACCCGGCGACGGGCGCGCTCATCCAGACCCTCGAAGGCCATTCCGATTGGGTTGCTTCGGTGGCCTTCTCGCCCGACGGCCGCCTGCTGGCGTCCGGCTCTGACGATCAGACAGTGCGGCTCTGGGACCCGGCGACGGGCGCGCTCACCCAGACCCTCGAAGGTCATTCCAGTCCGGTTGAATCGGTGGCCTTCTCGCCCGACGGCCGCCTGCTGGCGTCCGGCTCTGGTGATCGGACAGTGCGGCTCTGGGACCCGGCGACGGGTGCGCTCACCCAGACCTTCGAAGTTGAAGGGGTAGTCACTACGCTCGAATTTTCCCATAGCGGTTTGTATCTCCACACCAACTTCGGCGCCCTTTACATCCAATCTAGGTGTGGCATTCCTACGTCTGATCCACGTCATCCAACTCCAGACATCTCTATTGAGCACCGCCAATGGATAGCATTGAATGGTAGAAGGGTCCTGTGGCTTCCGATCGAGTCTCGGCCCAGCTGTTTCAAGATAAACGGTAATGTACTTGCCCTGGGACACTTATCAGGGCGGGTTTCCTTTGTTGGGTTTTGTATGTAGTACTTAATGATTTTTGTTTCCCCTCTTCCTCTATTTTCTAATCCCTTTATAAAAAGAAGGGCCTGGGAGAAGCGGATAATTTATACGGCCCTATCCTGCTTGCGGAATATTCCATAAAGTTCCAGTAGTAACTAACATAGTCGCCAATCCATGTGACTAACTAGCTTTTGCCACAAAGGCTGCTTAGTCAAGATATTGCTACGTGCGGTAACCACAGAAAGACTTCCCTACGCAGCATTCTGATATCATCTAGGTCAATGTCAAGTCTGAATTTGGGCCTAAGGTTTTATATTTTCGGTGATATAGCTCATATTAATCTATCCAATTACAGCCATAGAAATTTTGCCCAATTTTCGACACAATAGCACCCTAGACTTAGTGCAGCTGGATGTCGTTGTAAGGCTAGGTGTTAATATTAGTTATCCGTGAGTAGTATTTACAAGGACATAAGACGAAACGCGCTGGACGGACTAATATGGCAATAACTATACCCTCGTTATCTGCAGTCCGCATAATGCTGTTGCTGCAAGAGCAAGTCCTGTCTGCTCATCCATTTGTAATTGAAGTCCACGTAGCACCAGTCATCTAGCAGATCGTCCAGGAACCAGGTGGGAGGCGGCCACCTCTGGATGATTTCCAGAGGCCCACATCGGCTTCCATGGAATTCCACTGAATTCTCGTACGCATTGTGTAATCTTACGAGCAAAATACAATACCATACTCAGGGCATCTTACGGTATTCCTCAATTTCTTGCGGCCCGCTCAATGATTGATCTGCGCTAAGGCCTTGGCGGTGGGTTCAGAAAGAGTGACGAAGAGTGTATCTGTCAAGCCGATTTCGAGAACGACTGTAAATGATGTTGACACTGAAGGTCTGGCCGTCATTTGGTGGACCTATTTGAGACTGATCTATGGTCAATGAGTCGGCATTGTGTTGCGACGGGATTGACTGCCAGTCCATGTAATATAATGAGACTACTAGTTGCCGCCACGTACAGGGCACAAACAGCTTAAACCCCATATTGGTAGAGCACGACTGTGCTATTGTCTCTCATTCTTCCCGAAGTGATTGAATACCAGGGAAGAACCGCAAGAGACCAGATGGCATTCTTCGGCATCTAGTTGTACCGCCAGTGGTGGCGCTTTTTCTTGGCCTAGGACAAGGCTACAACAATCTTCACTAAAATATATATATACATCTCTAGAGCACGCTATTCTAACGTTCCATTTCTCCGACTTGAATCAAGTGCCAAGGAATGTGATTGAGGCATTGTCCGTTTCTTGCGCGCTGGATGGCCCTGAATAGTGGAAACTTGCCTTTCCTTGCACAGTTCATCTAAACGAGCCTTCATGTTCTCCTGTGTTTTCTCTAATCCTTGGATCCTTTCTCTGAGAGCTGTAGTTTCGCTGAGTAATCTCTGATTTTCGGTCAATACGTCGGCGAGGTCATTCTGTGTACAACTATTGACAAAGTGTTCGATTTTCCTATTCCTTCTGGTCAGCATATTGATTGATCATCTGAAAAAGAGACTTCGACACTAGCAAGGTACCGGAGCAGGGGTCTTCCAAATCAAGAAGGCTATTTACTTACGTGACTCGCTTGTGGAGGCTGTAATCCTGAAAGTCAGCACAATAAAACCAATCACTGCACGTTTGGAGCTCACTCTTGGATTTGCTGGGTTGGCCGCAAAGAGTGCCGTGCTGCTGTGAATGTCGATTCAGTCACCACTCATCTTGTCAGTGGGCCATGACCACGAATGATGGTACCTTCTTCATCCTTGCTACGGATAACTAAGCCAGGGGTTTCTTTGAGACGGGACGAAGTTGTTGTCAGTTTTTGCTCTTCTTCTGGCGACATCAAGCTTGCGAATCGTGCTTCATAAGATCCTGGTTGGCGACTGGATTGTAGAGTTTGCGCGTACGACATTGAAAGAACGTGACAATATTAGACGAGTGTTAAAGAAAGTTCAGAATCAAAGGAGGTAGGGAAAAGGCGAACGAGGGCGGAAGGATGATAGGCAAAGGCAGCAGTGGATAAATTTGAGGGGCCGTTCCTCAACTTCCTTACATTGCCCAGTTTTGGTAAAGGGCGGATCCACATGAATACCAAAAGACCTGGAAGAAGAGGGAATCGGGGCAATACGTCTCTACGAGATAAATCAACATAACGGGCAACATTGAGTAGCAAGCGGCACTGTAATAGCCATTTGACCACAACATTACGATCCACCGAAGATGTTTGTGGAGGCAGTCTGAAGACCGGTTTCGTGCATCGCATTTGATTCACATGCCCGACTTTTGATACATGGATATCCACCGGTCTCCCGATCCACCCATCACGAAGTTGGTTGACCACCGCGAAAATCATTCAACACAATTATGTACATGTACAGTTAGGAGACGTTACCTGAAGTGATCTAACTTGTCTCACCATTGTGAGTATATCGTCATCTTGAGTAATTGCATTTTCGCGAGGCTGGGGCTGCGTTAATGGTACTTGTCAATTCCCGTAGTGGGAGTAGATAAAACGCGATGCGCACCCAGATTGAAGAGTAGGAGCAGGCTTCCTGCCCTCCCTCATTGCCCTGAGCCCCGTGAGGTAAATTTTGTGCTCCCTCATTGCCATGAGCCCCGTGAGGTAAATTTTGTGCTCCCTCATTGCCATGAGCCCCGTGAGGTAAATTTTGTGCTCCCTCATTGCCATGAGCCCCGTGAGGTAAATTTTGTGCTCCCTCATTGCCCTGAGCCCCGTGAGGTAAATTCTGTGCTCCCTCATTGCCCTGAGCCCCGTGAGGTAAATTCTGTGCTCCCTCATTGCCATGAGCCCCGTGAGGTAAATTTTGTGCTCCCTCATTGCCCTGAGCCCCGTGAGGTAAATTCTGTGCTCCCTCATTGCCCTGAGCCCCGTGAGGTAAATTTTGTGCTCCCTCATTGCCCTGAGCCCCGTGAGGTAAATTCTGTGCTCCCTCATTGCCTTGAGCCCCGTGAGGTAAATTCTGTGCTCCCTCATTGCCATGAGCCCCGTGAGGTAAATTCTGTGCTCCCTCATTGCCATGAGCCCCGTGAGGTAAATTCTGTGCTCCCTCATTGCCTTGAGCCCCGTGAGGTAAATTTTGTGCTCCCCCTAGCAATGTGCAGCACCTCTCCGTGGTGCTAGGGACCAGTACTCGATGATCATACGTTGTCGAGGAAGCTAAGACTTGCACAAAATCTATTTACTACAGTATCTCGTTACAGTTGATACGCGCACAACGTATGTTGTCCTTCATTCTGCGTGCGTACCGAGAGGAAGATTGTCTTAAATCCTGGACTTACAGCCTGTAATCTCAATAGAAGATTCCAAGTAATTTTTGATTGTTCGATATCGACTTTCCCAATGTGGCACTTGGCTCTATTTATATCAAGTTCGATACTGTCACCATAAAAAGCTCTTAATTAGATTGTGTTCGCACTAGGTGTAGAGTTTTATATGCCAGCCGATTCAACGCACTGATTACAACTGGTAGGCAGATTGCGGTTTTTGTCCTAGCAAAAGGAAGAGTTAACAGCGTAGCAATGCAAGTAATTAAGCAGAGCGGTTAAGCAAGGTGGTTCAACCAAGTGGTAAATAGGCTAAGTGATGAAAGCAAGTGGTTGCCGAGCGGGTACTAAGCGGTCAAAAAAAGCGGTCAAAAAAAGCGGTCAAAAAAAGCGGTTAAGCAGAGCGGTTAAGCAAGTGGTTCTGTTGGAATATCCCGGTCGCTGAGAGAATGAAAGGCTGGGATCACGTGCATACATTCACCTACCTCAACATTTCACTTGTATCTTAGACAATACACCCAATACAACATACAATCAACTCCCCTCAATAATATGACCACTGAAGCATCACTTAATAAACCAACAGGTTCAACCAAGTGGTAAAGAGGTTAAGTGATGAAAGCAAGTGGTTGCCGAGCGGTTACTAAGCGGTCAAAAAAAGCGGTTAAGCAGAGCGGTTAAGCTGTTGGAATATCCCGGTTGCTGAGATAATGAGGCTAGGGTCACGTGAAGACGTGTATCTCCGTTACTTGGTCTACTTGTATCTAGACGACACACCCAACATAACATACAATTAAGCAGAGCGGTTAGTGATAATAGCAAGTGGTTGCCGAGCCTAAGTGGTCAAACAAAGCGGTCAAGAGGAGTGGTCAAGATCAATGGTTAGCATCAGAACCAATGATGATTCTGAACTGGCTCAGTGATTTGCCTGGTACATGTAGGACTGCTATCATACAGAACGGGTATCATATCGTCTAATTATTCAGGATATTACTAACGTTCTATTCCAGACAGGTTTATTATATGATTCACAGGCAAAGTCAAAGCTGAAGGGGCCGCGGGACTATCCGGCTCTGGTGATCAACCGGACGGGCTTGTCGCGCACGCATGAACCATGGCATAAATGACGGAATTTACCGCCAAGGTGGGGACAAACCGATTCCCCGCCCAATCAGTAACTTCCCATACCCCCTGCATTGGAAGCGAGATTAAAGAAAACAACCCGCAATAAAGTTATGTATTGATAACGGTTTGGTTGCCGGGACGAGTCATAAACTCAGCTTTGAACGGGCCAGGTCCGGAACTCGTGCTTCCCACAGAGTGATATATAGTCCAACAGGCGAATCATAAATTCCCTAGGTGCCTACGCACGTGATGTCAACGGACATATTAATAACTAGCACTGTCGGCACCTCTGATCACTTGAACGTCGCAAACTCCTTTTCATGAAACGGTGTCACATTGCTATACTTGTCCTCGAATATGGCAGTCTTCGGTGATTGTGGTCATCTTACGTGTCCAATGGATTTTAACTAATATTTCGTCAGATCTAGTCAGGCTCGAGATGGACTCCAACACTGCCACTGTTGAAGGCATGCTGAACTGTTTACCAGACATGAAAAGCGTGTTCCTTGAAAATTTCAAGCCTGTTCAAGACAAGCTGGCTTCGATACTTCAGCACTCTCAGTCACATTTCAAGGCACTGGCGGGGCGAGAGAGCTTTGCTGGATTTCTGAACGTTCCCCTCATAAGCGACGCCCTAGTGAAGACAATCGAAGTGATGTTTGAGGCACCAACACCTTGTGTGCTTCAGCTACAGAACGACGAAGCCAGTGCCAATATTACGTGGTTGGACGTTGTCAAGGAAAAGAATTATCAGGCCGAATATAAAGGGAATGGGAACTACCATTTCCATATGCGGGACTGGGGCGTGATTATCGAGTTGTCTGCTTTCCAACACAACATGATTCTTTCAGGATTACCCCGAAAGCTTGTTCAACCATGGTCCTACGAACAAGACGTGCAGACAGAACTAAGCACATTGGCACTGGCAGCTGAAATGACATCACGGGTGAGCCATCTTGCGTCGGAAGGTAAGCCAACCCCAACATTATCCGTATCCTGTCCTATTCACTTGCTTACATCAGCACTCAGTGATCAAAGTCAATAACGCTGTGCTTGAAGAAATACTGAGAAGAGATCGAGTACTCCGCCACAATCCGAGTCAGAGGTCAGCGGGCTCTCCCTTTCCCATGGAATCAGCCGAAGAGCCGGCACAATGTACGCCAGCGCAGGTTGAAGCATATTCGTTCGATGAGATGCCTATCGAGACTCTGGAAACAGACGTGCAAGCTAGTGGCTCAAAAAATGGTACTAGAACGCGGAACTGTAAGTGTCGTATATGACAATATGGCATTGAGAGTGAGAAATTTGGAGAATGTACTGATAACATGGATGCTCCAGATCCCAAGAACAGGGCTTGGCCTGCAGAAATATTGAAGCAGCTTCCTCTATGGTTCGAAGACCAAGTACGCAGGTATCTAACGCAGGAAGGGATTGCCCGAAACTTTGACCGAAAATTCAACCAAAAGCGGACCTTCCACGCTATTGAGGCAAAAGTGTATTTCTTAACGGGCAAAAGTCCTTTTCGGAAGCGCAACAAGAGGACTTTGCGCACAGAACCTGTGTCTTTAACACCTCGCTCCTCACCGCATTTCCAACCGCTCGAATTGGTGGAATCCACCCAGCAATTCATCACGAGGTCGAACATCGAGGTTCACGCTCTAAGTCTATCCTCGAGCCTGCTTCCGCATCTGAATTCGGAAGATTGCGATGATGGAAGCCTCTACGTCGCTCATGGTGTTCAACCGGTTGACCCCGAATCAGAGTCCAGCGACCCTCATGCGGTATCTGAACACGACATTGCGAACCAAACGTTAGAGAGCCAGCGCGCATCTCAGGAGATTGAATGCTCGTTAGATATAAGTCAGAATGAATGGCCAGCTCACCGAATCCTTCGGGCTGAAGTTTCAGATCTGGTGCCCAAAAGTCGGCCAACGACTGAGAAATTAACAAATGACCTCGCCACAACGTCAATGACAGTTGCTGATTCTCTCTTGCAGGGCTCATCCTCGGAGTCCCCTCGAATATCAGAACCTATTCAATTTCCTATCCGGCACCACTCTGAAGGCGATATAACATATGAAGAGCTCGACCAAACACTCATTCATCCAACTGGATCCAGTGCAATGCATGTGGAACAGACAGATACGGCGCATGACAACCAACCACCAGGAAGAAATTGTCCGCAATCTTCACTGGGAACTTCATTGACTGGAGGTTCATCAAATGAGTGTTCTAACAATGAAAGCCACCGAGAAAGCGGAATCGGTGCGTTGACTGTTCCCAGGGCGCCAACGGTCTTCCAAATTCCCGAAGCAAGTTCCACTGACGAATTGACTGAGCACCACTCTCGAAACCGCGGAATGGGTAGGCCAACCCCCGATACCCCTGAGAGAACTTTGGCGGAAGAAGAATTGATCAGAAGATATCTTCGTGAGAAATCTCAAGCTCAAGCGGGGATTTCTCATCGCTCATGGATTGCCAAGGACCTGGACCGTTTACCAGGGTGGCTCATGAAACGGAACAGTCTACCAAGGGACAGACTTGAAGTTGAGTTTCTGAGAGACTTTGGACACTTTCGAACATCTTCTGCCATTCGTGCAGCTTGTCGCAAAAAAAAAAGGCAGATTCCCGTCAAAAAGATGGCCTTCCCGATACTATGCCGGTATCACGACCAACCAACACCATCGTCGACACTCCCAGCTTAGAGCCATCCCATACGATAGCAGGCAATGATAGTACTACCCCCAAGCATCCACCGTCAGTGCAATATCGACCGTCACAATTTGGTCATCCACAGGTTCCAGACAACAGAGAAAGACCATATCGAAGCAGCCCTGCATTTTGTAATGAGAGTGAAGAGGCAAAGGAGTTAAATTCACCGGCTGCATCCGAAGATTCTTCTGACCAGATGGTGCTTTCAACACCTTCTGGAAAGTTCGAACATACCCCCCAGTCTGGTAATCGAGGCCATCGAGCTATCACGCTAAAGTATCGGGCCAGTTTGACAGCAATTAATGGTGATAACCACCACACGGATCCAGATATAAGCGAATTAATTCCGCTTGCCCAGATGGAGTCTAACGAGCGAGAAAATTCATCTGATTGGCAAGGAAGCCGGCGAGCGTCCAAAGGAATTTCCGTCGAGCACAGAAGAAATGACCAACATATGTCCCAGGAGGGGTCACTAAGTAAGTTCTCTAATGCAGTGCTCGCCATCGTCAGGGAGCCCTTGAAGCATGTCAAATCTATGTGTCATTTGGACTTCCTCCCTTTTTCCCTTTTTCCCTTTATCTGTCTCTGCGTTTAACACTGACTGTTTTCGTTCACCCTTGCAGGCAGAGGAGGAAGCCCCGACCAGCCTTCCTCTAAGAACACACCGGCAGATTTGTATCCCTCAAGATTGTCCCCTGAAACACCCAAAGGAGTCCCAAACCAGCAGTCAATATCTACTGGTATTACGAACTGCAATGTTGCACAGCAGACAATGCGTCCAAATGTCCAGAACACGGCGCAGCCTCAAGCGCGAGACGTCAATATCCAATCCACAGGCATCATTCAGCCCAGAAACATCTCTATCACAGGATTCGCAAGCAACTCTACAGATTCAAACTCTCAACCATCCCATTCATACACGCCAGATTCCCAATCTAGAATTTCTCAAATTAGCAGTGTGCCAGGGAGTACCCACACAAGCGGTTGGTCCATACTCCCTCCTCGTGCTCCCACGCAGTTCTGACATGAAGTCCGAAGCCGTTGGTCCAATATCAACCTCATCACCCTTCCTGAGCAACCCTACCAGTCTTCCTCACTATCCTCTTCACGAATTGCAGGGACACAGCACCGAAAGGTACTGGGGCCCTCCGCTCCCATCATTGTCACAGCAAATGTCCCATCATGCAGGGGAGCTTTAAAGATAGCCACATGGCACACCGACGTTGAGACATTTTAATACAAGCGTCAGAGATAACTATGAGTCCGCAAAAGGGGTTGAAAAGAAGTTTCGTGCCCATGCTAAGGCTGGCGGACCATTGGGTACATTAAGGTTGCAAAAAGAGCTAGTTTCAGTTACAGCTCCGGTCCATTAAATCCAATCTGCCGTTTTTTGAGGCTTCGAGAATATATGCCCCACAAGCACAGCTGCACATATAATCCTCAATATTGACTAAATATAGAATTTCTTATACAATGGCCTGAATCTTAGCTAATATATTCATTCATACTGCACACATCACATCACAGGAACAGACTTATAGCTATTCACAAGATTGCTCAGTCTGCAAAAGGCTTTTTTGCTACCAGGGGCCTGTCAGGTCTCATTGGGCGCCTTGGGAACCTGTTTGATATAATGTTCTTCAGAATAGAAGCAAGACCCAAGTGACTCCCATAGATATACTGCTGTCTGACAGCTCTTATGACTCACACAAACCGTTTAGCGAGCGAGCCGGTCTAAGAAAAGATGAAATCACGGTGGTGCAAAAGATAAAGCCGTGCAATAAAACCCTGCCATCAACTCTGGAAGAGAGCTTCAAGGATGCACAGTCTACACCGGCCATCGCGAGAGAGCTAGTGGTATCACAGTTGAGTGCAGTAACACCGACGGTTTTCTCCCGAAGAGAACTCATGTGTGGCCGGTGTGGGTGCTGAATGGTTAGACGGTGGCTGTCTTCATCCGCGTCCCTAGCAGTGCTGGAGGAATTCATCGAGTATGCCAAGCTAATAACGTTACCGTTCGAACTCTCCCGCCATTTAAGAGCTGTGATGCAAAGGTGTGACTACACAGTATTATATGATCGCATAAATTAATCAACGCTATAGACTCTCCGATTATCAAACTACATACATGTAGACGGGAATGTGTCCTTGGTTGAACAAACTCGGTCTTTTCTCCACCAATTCTATCCGGTCGTACTCCATTGTTCAAACAGCTCTTTAAAATGAGACCCAAGGTTTTTACCAATCGGGACAAGGTACCTTTTCACGGAACTTTGCAACTGCAGACTCAAAATGACTTTGAGAGCCTTTCGTGAGTGGTAGACCTCCCAGTGCACCAAGATTGCCATCAAGCCAAATGAAACTTTGATGCTCTTTAGGGTCCAACTTGATGCGAAATTCTTCGCCGCAGAAGGATTCACGAGTCGGCTTGACTGAGAGCAAGAAGTGGACTTGAGCAATCCATCGTTTACTATTCGGCGTACAAAAAACATCGACCTCGGGCACTTCGTCATGGATAACCAGAACTTTCAGCTTGGTTTCTTCCCAGAACTCGCGGATCAAAGCCTCCAGTACTGTTTCCTTTGGATCGCATTTTCCACCAAATGCTTCGTAAAGATTTGGTGACGAGTCATTCTCGGCGCGTTGCCCTAAAAGCACCCGTACTTTCCCTCTCTTCCAGTCGCAAAGCCAGGCCCTCACACTAATGCCGGTTACCTGATGAAGGTTTCCCGGACCATCAGGCCCCTCCCGGAAGTCTTCAAGATACATATCCCATGAAACACTATATTTTCGAAGACTTTCTGCGACTTGACAGGTCCCGTATGGGGTTTCGAGATGAAAGAAACTGTTGGCCATGTTGGTAAACTGCCCAAATAATGATCTAGGCCATTAAATAAGCAACGTTAGATTCATCTGCCAACAAATTTGGTGAGAGTCAAAGAGACAAACCTTGAGCATGCGGTTTGAGCGGAAGTAATCCGTGGGAGAGATTTTCAAAGCTGGATTGACAAAATGTTGGGAATTCGGCCCTTTAAGCCCTAGTAGGTTCCAGCTACCTTAGTGAATTAAAAAAACACGTTGTGAAGAAATAATAATATTACCCACAGCCTATAATTAGAACTTATGTCTCTTGCTCCCACTCCCAGTATCATCAATGAGCTATCACATCGCCTGGCCATAACCGCTCTCCACTGATCCATAGACCGCACCAGACCATGGAAATCACGCTAGAAATGTGAAGCCTGATGTTTTATATTCATTAGTGGTATTTTACAATGGTATTAAGTCACTGAGAATCATAATACAAGCTGTGCTGCTCCATATTTCTCACAGGGGAGGGATGTACAGCAGATCCTCCTTCTCGGCAAGGAATTGTGAGCTACCCAGTTTTTTCTTATTTGGGACCAATAAAATATTTTGATTTAAAAGCCTCAATATGGGTAATAGCTTGAGGGCTTCCTGCTAGATGCCTGAGCCCATGTTCCATTGTAGTGTTTGCTAGAATATGAAATATGAAGCGTAGTAAAGACTCAAGGTCTCGAATTCCGGAATTTGGGGATAAACCTTCGAGCCTTTAGTCTACGCTCAGGTTTGCATGCACATTCACCGACGGCCAGATGGAAACTGCATATGAGGCTGATTTCGGTGATTTGGCGCTCATCAGCTGGAGAAAACCTTTTGAATTGAAGCCGCTATCGTGAGATTGAGATAGCCATCAGGAGGGAGTATTCAATGATATCCTATTGGCTGTTTAAGACCAGGGCTCCAGCAGTCATTTGCGGGCTGGGTACGGGCTTGAGACCGGATTTGATTCCTTGGAGCACAGCCCAAAGGTTTTCAAGTAACATTAACGACCCGGATGCACTAGCATGACTCTCACGGTGGAACTCATAGCTGCCTAGGCGGAATTTGTCTCCCGGGAAAAGTGGTGGCTTATTTCAGGATTCATTTTAGTCATTCACCCAACAGTATATAACCCACTTCCATTACTTGCTCTCTTCTCTTATTTAATTTGAAATCTAACGTTGTGATTTTGATACTAATTTACTGCTCTCTTTCGCCCTTCCCCTTCCAAGTCAACAGATGGAATCAGCTTCACAGAAGATTCCTTCGCAGGTCTTGGTGTCTACCAACCTGTGTACAGAGTCATGAGCATGCCTCATGATGTCAACTCAAACACAGCCCTTTGCTTGGTTAGTCCACAATGTGAGTGCTGTTTACAAAGATGCTTATTCCTACAGCAACATGTCTCTCCTCCATTGATAAGTGCGGGTAGCTTCTCTCAAGCTATCTCCCCTGAAATGGTATGGATGCTCCCCAAACAATAATTGGCTTGCAGGACTGGACATTGACTTGCAAAAAGGTGATGGTATCTAGTCCCCAGATAAATACATCTTCCTCAACGAGCCGCCGTTTACAAGCAGGTAAGGCCGAGAAGGGACTGCGCTACGGGATCCAAAGAACTGATTTGAACATTGAAGAGCCCATCAGCAAGCTCACTGAGCATTATGATCTTTCAATCAAAGATATGGAAACCTGGGTTGCTCGACCTGCTGAAATCCGCAGGAAAGAGGCTCTGGCTAAGGGAAAAGTCGCCCGGCCAATGAACTCCTTCATGCTCTATCGTTCGTTTTACTCGGAACGAATCAAACAGCTCGCTGGAGTGAATAATCATCAGGCAGTCTCCAAGATTGCGGGTCAAGGCTGGAATTCGGAGCCACCTGATGTCCGCAAAAAGTATGCAGACTTGGCCAAGCTTGAGCGTGACGCTCACGCCGCAGCCCATCCGGAATACAAATATTCGCCTGCAAAGCGACGAAGAGGCCCTGTAAAGCGACGAAAAGGCGCTGTCAACCACCGAAACGAGGTGACCTGGTCCGAATCCGAGACTGAAGCTGACTTAACAGTTTCCGGAATGACACCAGTGCCACCATATGTACCCCCCCACAACCTAAGCCTGGAAGAGGGCTACTTCAATGCCAACCAAAGTTTTTCGCCATACGGGACACTCGAGCACGAAATGAGCCATTCTTGGCCTAATGCAATCTATTCCACTGGCCTGCCAATGTATCCCGAATCATCACATAGCTTGAACGGTACGACAAAAGGTCAAGTCTGCACAGCAAGCCACTTGCAGCAGGACATCCATTACAGCTCCTCACTCATTGGATTTCCAGGTGCCTCGCACCAGGAGCTGCTTCAGCAAACCAATTATATCCAAGTGGCTTCCCCTATGGGCCCCGTGCGGCTCGTGCATCCCGATGCTAGTGAGGCTGTCGAATTTCCCAACATAGCTAGAGCCACTTTCACCTCTGGTATCTCCACATACTCAGCGTATCGCGACAATATGGTCACAGCTGCCGTACCACAAGGGGCCCATCTATGACTGGCATTTTCTGACTCGGTGCTAGACTAGGAGCCTGGGTACGAGGCGCTTGGGAATAATTCACCACCAGGCATGAGCTTTTAATCTGACAACGCCATTGCACTCAATGTCAAGAGCATCCGCTCGTTACCTGAGTATTTATATCTCCAAATTAGCACGTTGACGTTGTATTGTGCCATTTGTTTTCTAGTATATTTTCTTTTCATAGATATGACCTTCTATCCGTGTGTCATTAAGATAAAAACCATCCACGCGAATACCACCCAATTATCTTATAGGCCCTTTTCTAGCGATCTTGATGTAAATAACAAGGCAGTTCAGACAGAGCTTGTCTTCAGCCTCGTTAGAGAATCTATAGCATTCAGCTTGCTTGTTTTGTATCCCTCTAAGACAGGGTTGAATGACAATAATTGTTGAATAGCTCACTCGGGCGGTTTGTCTGAATTTTCAACAGAGCTTCCCTATATTTTGACCTTGAGTGCTCAGAAATTAAGTAAAAAAACATTGCCGCTCTATCCCTGACCATGAGGGATTTGGAATGTCTCCACTGTGCCCTAACGCCGTGTTTACTATTCTTTTCCAAAAGATGCAAATACCGACTTTTTGAAAGACCGTGTATGTAGTAAAAGTGGGACGAAGATCGTGTTTCTGATTGGTCAAGCAACCCTTGCTAGTCTTCATGACATAATGAGGGCCCAAGAGCATCTTATCCTATTCTAGCACACAAAAGACGATCAACCCAAGAGTCTGAAATATGCCTTATCATTGATGGTTGTCCCTCCCCCATTTAGAATATTGATTACCTCTTAAAATGACGTGATTCATCACAAAGAAGCCATCGTTCGAACCTTGGAAGACAAAGAAGGTCATGGTAGAAAGGAGATAATAGAAGATATCAGAGTGATGATATGAACAGCAAAGAACTTCCAAGTATCCAGCAAGTCTATTTATGAATAAAGAGCCCGAATATTCAAATTCGCGACTCGAAAAAAAGAGCGAGCCACGTACAAAAGCAAATACAAAGGAGATAACCAGGGCATCACCAATAAGGTAAAGGAACAAAAAGAAGCCAATGTCCAAGTCCTGAACGTGAAAAGAATAATTCAAGATCAAATTAAAGTTTCAGAAAAAGAGAAGATGAAAGAGAAACACAGCCCATTTTTACAGACGACACTCCCAAAGTGAATGGGCAGATGTGAGGATATGCTTCCACCACATCGACAAAAATCGCTGTACCGCGAATCAATCAATCGGTACCAGCCCGGCTATTGAACCCATTAAGACAGGGTCGGAATGAGGTAGGCCATTAGGGTGAGGGTAGCCCAGCGAGTGTGTGCGGAAAGGCTGCGAGCCCTGATCGATATGGGATTGCGACATGTCATATATTCGAGGGGCCATGGTCATGTGATAGCAAGTTGATGGCTGGCTAATTGGTGTTGGTGCGGTATTGTAGTAGTTGAAGGCGGAGACGTCGTGGGGGCTGATCATCTGTGGAGCTACGGGTATGCTGAGCATTGGCTGTGAAGGGAATTTGTCTGGGTATTGAGATGGTGTGGTGTAGCAGAGGCGGTCGCAACAGGGTCCTTCCACTTTGAAGCTGAGGGGCTGTGGCACGGAGAAGCTGCTTGAAAGAGAGCGGGTGGGGGTAAGGGTATCAAGTGGTGTTGTGAGAGCGGCTGTTACGTGCTCGGAGGAGATTGGGGCCATATGGCCTTGCACGCTGGTCTCAGAATCCTCGAACTTTACTGAAAGAGCGTCGTTTGTTTCTTTCCCTTCTTTGCCCTTGGGACAGGGGCCGCGGTCCATTGTGTAGACGATCCTTTCTGCGTCGACTTCACCGTTCTGGAACTGTTCTTCTATCTTGCGGACCTGGAGGATCTCGAAGAGGATCTCGACGTTGGATGGGTGCTGCAAGCTTCGCTTGGTATCCCCAGCGACTTCCTTCAGCTTATCGGCAGTGACACCGTAGCTACCAAGGTGGCAGATAATGTGAAGGAGAAGCTTAATGCGGTCTGTCACTCGGTCAACAAGAAATCTTGGCATATTGACTGAGTATGACATACACTTCTTGCGCAGATGGTCAGGCTCCTTGTGCAGGACATCCGAGGGCCACCACTCGGGTTTCGTCTTCTCGGGATCACCCGTAGTACCGGGTGGAGATCCTGGTGGAGGCTTACCACCGTTGTAGGGGTGTCTAACCTGTTTGCGCGGCTCGATGAATTTGATGAATGCCTTGGCAACCATGCGGCAATTGAGTTGTTGGAAGTGATTAAGAGCATTCTCATAGTAAGACAAAACTTTTTTGGTGTCTCCAATGCGCAGAGGAACCATTTTAGTAGGTCCCTCAGAGAAGTCTTCGCTATCAGAAGCCGGCTCGAGGAGTCGGTCCACGGAGGTGGAGGTATCATTAACCTTGCGACGTCTCACCCGCCGGGGAGATGCATCTACTGGTTCTGTTGCCGAGTGAGTATATATAGATACCTGGTTCTTTGCTTGGATCACCTACTGCCAATGGGGGCGTGGTAGCCAATGCGTTCACCGAGGATCTGAAGGAAGTTTTGGCAGAATTCAGGGTTGAACACGGTTGCGTTTTGCTCTTGAATGGATGAGGATTCGTCAATCTTGAGCTTGCCATCTTGGTCTAGATATATTATGGCGTAGTGAGTATAAGGAGGACGAAATGATGAATGAGAATTTGTCGTGATGGGCTGCAGTTGTCAGTAAGGAGCAATAACATGGTCGTTATCAACATACAGGAGCAGCGTCCCATACTTGAGGTCCTCCAAGGGCTGAAGCGGACCGTTTCATAGCGGCAGTCGTGAGATTTGGTCCCTTGTAAAGCAAGGTATAGATACGGAAAAGATCATTCAACCGTAACGTTGATAAAGTAGCAAGAATGTAGCCGTCTTGGGTGGTAGAATCTTAGCCAAAATGGCGCATCAAGAGGCTGATGGCGGCGAGGGAATTTCAAGAGGCAATGTTTTTCTCTCCAGTGGGAAGTTGCAGTTGAGTCTTATTAAAAAGCTTGACACTAAAATCTGTTGATCCACATCAGTCTACTGCTTTTCACTTTTTCAGGACGACACGCAGGGCTAAATGGATATCCAAACGGCTAGAAAGCCCTCACCGTTCGCGCGCGGGAACTGGTAGGACAAAGCATGCCGAAAAACGGGAATCATGCTTTTGTAGACAAGAAAATTCCTATGGTGATACGCACCAGATTGTACTCACACTCTCGAGATTGCAATGTGCAAGTGTCTCAATGAAGTCATCAGATGGGTGCAGAATGTCAGCAGCAACCGGAATGCAGGAGCGAGAAAGCCACTTTATGCCCCTAAACAAACGATGTTGACACAGGCTGGGTTGAGACGGTTGAGAATAAATGAGTCGTAGAAGAGAGGGTGGGTCAAGTGAGATATTCAATAAATATCCAGGCTGTAGAGTGGAATGTGTACTCTGTAATGAAATGAGGAAAGGAGAAAGGACAGATGGGAATATGCAAGCCTATTTCAATTTTCAGAGAAGTTCCAGGTGATTGTGAAAAGTGACAAAAGACTAGGAGGCCCAGTAGTCTCTCATGGTATGCATGTAGCGAGATTGGCGCAAGCGACATGCAGGTGAGTGCTAGGCCCAGCCCCGTTCCAGTATCTCTGTTGTAGTTCGCATTTATAAATTCAAATTATTTTTCAATAATTTCATTGTAATTTTATTGCGTTTTCGTTTTAGTGTCAAGTCGGACCAAACCGAAGTGGCGCAGGATTATCCACCGACCCCCACAAGGGAACTTGAGGATGCTCTTCCGGGGCGCCATGGAGTTTCGATAGTGATCAGATCCCTCAATATCCTATTGGCTTACAATAGACCTAAAATAAGAGTTTTTGGTCCAGACTTATAAGTTTTACTGATCTTTCATTTTGTTTCTTCTTTTGGGTTTGTCGTGACCCCCCAATTGGTCGGTCCTTCGGAGATCAGCCCCAATCGCTGTAATTTACTGCCAGGCACATGTACTTGGACCACACAGGTGCAGTCATGAAGTTCCATCACAGCTCATGCACCGGGTACCTTTTAAATAATATATACTGAAATTGTATATAGAATTTGCGTCTCAATCAAATCTTACTCCTTGGGCCCCGGCGCGCTAGTTGTTGTGACCCCTCGATCAATCAGCAAATGAACCTACTGATCACCCAGTGTATGCCTGGAACATTTGAAGTACAGTCTCACCGTATAAATTAAGCAGAGGAGATTCCGAAAACTTATACGGACTGGGCTGGCGCTAGTGGCGACCTTTCAGTCGCATTTTGAAACAGATCTGCATCAGTAAGACGTATGTATCTGACCACTAATGCAATTTCCAAGTATCTAGATCCTGGACAAATCAGTTCAGCCGGATACCCCCTAGGAAAGCCCCTTTGAGTGAATGAACGCCGTTATGTTCCTAGGAGTCCCAGGCCGTAAATTACGCTTATAGCAATCATCCGCTTGTAACCAAGGAGCTGTTCAATCATTGGTCCGTATTTGGAACTGAAAGGTCATTAGCTATGATCAGCAGGAACGTCTAGATAGGAGCCTTCGTAGAAATAAATCGTGGATTGATGGTTAAGAGCGTATCCAAGACTTAAAAAATTTGGACACGGTCTGGGAGCCAAATTTTGTTATGTCATCCGGTAAGATGAAGTTTACTCATATAAATCAAACAGTCGAATACCTCATTCTAACTGTTCGTCTGAATGATCCAATAGAGCACCGCGGTATTTTGACCTTAAGCGCTCTGCTCATGAGGAAAAAAAGACGACCGCTCTATCCGCGACACTTCGAAGAGCTTGAAATATTTCCCCACTGACTTTAGTTTAGTTTTCAAAAAGATGCAAATACCGACTTTTTGAAAGACCGTGTATGTAGTAAAAGTGGGACGGAGTTCTTGTTTCTAATTGGCCAAACAACCCCTTGTTGTGATATAATGAGGGCCCGAGAGCATCTAAGCTCATTCCAGTACATAAAAGGCGGCCAGCCCAAGACAATTTTATATACAGATTGAGAACCCCGTCCCTCTTTTTCGTCCCTGTATCAATATCTGTGCCATCACTCTCCACCTTCTGGCTCTTGCTACAAAATCGATACGAAGATGGTATGAGTAAATCTTATTCCATTCCTTTCTTGATGCTTACTCGGACGAACAGACAGAGGAAGCCGACCTCAAAACATCAGCCCAGAAATCATTGACAGCTTTGCATGTATGGTGTTTGGGTATCCAAGATCCAGAAGATGTAAGCAAAGGCCAGCAAAATCTCAGCCCAGAGATTGAGTCGCTCGTTATGTCCTGTCAGAAGCTTCGGAAGAATGGCTACAACAATGGACGAGACCTTTTGGCCACAAACGAAATCTTGAAACATCAAGTGCAAAGCATGATGGAAGACCTTACCTACAACTCTCTCCAAAGTTTTGCTCTTCTCACCGAGCACTTCCACACAGCTTCTCAAGTGCTTTTGCCTCGTCAGCTTCTCCTTTTCTTCGTCGAGCCCTCCAAGGCAATCGACAGTGTGTGCAACTATATTTATTGCAGGCACAGCAAAACCATCAAATCGGAGTCCGTGAAGAAATTCAAGAGAAGATTGATTGAGCTACTGGGGATAGTGGAATACTACGTGGTCAGAGGAAAATGGGCTTTGTATGTATAGATTTTTAATCGTTCTGCTCTCGGTTCTAGCAACAATATATTGTCATCACTATCCTGGAGCCTTATCCATAGCGGATGGTAAATCTGTGCGGTATTAGTGGTTTTTACCGCAATAAGCTAGCTCTTATGAGTATCCCTGTTCATTCAGCAAGACAAGAAGAAGAATATCCACTTACCTCTCCTGCATTACTTACGAGTGAAATAAGCATTGGCCATATTGACGACCCAGATCGCAAGCGGCCCTGTAGTAGCTGCATTTACCCTTGCAACCTGAATCTCCACCGACCAAAGCCAGGGAAGATGAAAATGGGTATGAAGATCGTCTAGTAATCTCGTTTCTATGTTCATACGCTCCGACTTGTTTGTGGAAAATATACGGCTTGCCAATCTTCGCAATCATTTTCCAAATTAGATGAACCCATAGACCTTTGTTTATAACGTATCATTTGTTTTTGTATCTGACGCGCTGTTATCTAAGCTTTCTGCTGGCTTCAACTTTAACACATTAACATGTCTCTGTTGCACGTTTCTGATAATTTGATGATCGTAAGTTTGTCCCCCCTCTCATTCCTAATTTGCCCACTCAGTCTTCCATACCGCGCTTTAGCTCTTTTTTTGAACGAAAGTGTAATATGAGATGCGAAAAAATCATCTAAGCTGTTCAAATGATTCGCTGCTGCGCTGTTACTTTGTTATCTTTCAGCAAGTATTTCCATGATATACATCAGTGACTTACCCAGATTCATAAGCTCTTTATCTAGACTGATCACGGCCAATAACATTGCATTCATCGTCTCTCTACTGGGAACTGAGTCCATGTCAGTAAAAGCTCCCGAAGCCTGTTTTCAAGGGTGAGGGCTCACCACAGTAGTCAAGCACGAAGTCAATTGAGAAGCATTTATCATATGAGCGACGTCCAGGACCATCTCCGAAGGGAAGATCACCTTCAGCTATTTGAAACCCAATAGCCTCGCGATAGCATCGAAGGAATTCGGGGAAGTCTTTCTTCGTGATCAAACCAAGGCCTTTGTGGATATCATCTCCCCCTTCTCCTTCCCCTGCCTGACGAGTATGATGGTAACATGCAGAAATGTTTGAAAAGAGCTGGTAACATCGAGGACAGATATATTCCAAGCCAGATTTCACCAGAGCTTCCAGCAAAATTGCGAGTCGTCTTTCCACATCAGACATGTTGTGGCAGGATGGATACAGGCAATTTAAATTGACAGAGTCCTACAACACGAGAAGTCCTTCTTTTATAACAGGGTGCATCATTCCCAACTCATTTCCAGTGGTGAAAATTATTGGTCGATTTACTTGCCGACTACGATGAGCTAGCGGTATTAATACGGAGTACTTTCTGCATAGCTTTCGAAGCCCATATTTCATACATTCAGCTGCATGTACATTATTCCATGCCCGAGCAACCCCTAAATTAACGCTCTATTGGGTAAAATTGAGCGTCTCCTGAGAACCAAATCCTCCTGAAGTAGTCACTGTGCTTTGCTGGTTTTCCAAATGGGTTTCCGAAAGACTCGATTGAGGAATTAGTATGAAGAGCAGGTAATATGGACTGGAACTGTGAGATTGCCTCTACCAGCTGTCCGAAGGGTTTCATGGGAACGGAGACGCAGCGGCGATGTGTTGGAATGTTTACAGCGTCGAGGCTGCCATCAATACGCAGGCCTATTCCGCTATGTCGATACGATGCATCTATGCTACTCTGACTGTTCTCCAATGCCAGGGCTAGCTGCTGCATGGTTCTTGTTTGCTACATCATATTCATCGGATAGATTGTTATTTTAAGGGGTCGAAGCGAACATCAGATACAAGAGAAAAGGCTAAAGTCTAGATCCTAGAGCAATGATAAAACAAGTCTAGAACGCAGGGTCCGTTAGTTGGTAGGTTGGTTCAGCTTGACAAATACGAGGCGACTTCATTGGCTGCTGTGCCTGATCCTCCCATTTTCTCACCGGTTGTCCCATTTTCTCACCGGTTCTCCCGTTTTCTCACTGATTCTCCCGTTTTCTCACTGATTCTCCCGTTTTCTCACTGATTCTCCCGTTTTCTCACTGATTCTCCTGTTTTTTCATGCGTCATCCATATGCGTCCTCGTTGATTGCCTATCAGCTATTTTGAACCATCTGCCGTCAAGGCTCAACCGTGCAGTGTCTGAATTGGCTAGTCTGAAAGGTCATCCAATCATTATATGCGACGTGGCAGCAAGGCCAGGTCGATGGTCACATGATATGCTTAGACAGCACCCGCCTGCCTCTTCGTCCTTTCTCATCTGCTCTCCTGCTTTCTCATCTGCTCTCCTGCTTTCTCATCTGCTCTCCTGCTTTCTCATCTGCTCTTCTGCTTTTTCACTTGTCTTGTCGCTTTCCCCCCATGCCTCCTCCAATCATGCCCCAAGAGAACAGTAAGATTGATTTTTTGCGGCGAATAGAAGTCACCCATCAAATTCTAGAGTCTGGTATTCCTGCCCTGGATGATGATCAAAACAACAATGTGATGGCATATTGCGACTTGTTCCTAGACACTGCGCTTGTTTCTATTTCAAATGCATCCTATTACAGGATCATGAAAGTGCGAAAGTTTCTACGAAAAGTGAATACTCAGCTTGGCTCAACAATGCTTGTAATTTGCATGCTATCCTACCCTTATTCCAAGCTATGCCGGCTCAATCTGCACTTCATCTTCCCGGAGCTTCAGCAGTGGTCGAAGGAAAATTCGGGTAATGCATTGCTTAGAAATTTCACGCAAGAGCTGTATAGACAGCATGGAATGGGAAAACTAATGGACATTACTTCTTCTGGCAAAAGTATACATTCCATCTTCTATTTGTCTTCGAAGCCCTGCTAAGCATTACAGCTTTATCCCCAAAGAAACGCAAATGTTCTGCAGACAAAATGTCTCGTGGGATTGCATCAAACGCTTCTACTCAATTTGAACGATCAGACCCAGTTACAGAGACAGAGGGTCATGCGCGAGATATCACATCTTCAGTAGCCCCGAGCGGTCCACCACGTACGTGCTCTTGACACTTCTTTGAGCTTGCTCTAACAATTAGAAGATACCGAACAGATCAAGTCAGTCGACGAAATCCACAATGTGACATTCGAAATTGATGATATGCCGGGTTTGCAACTATACATTCTCAAAAATCATCTGCCTCAGTGTATAGTCGACCTTCACATTGCTCAACTCATCAGCTGGGTTCAGCAATATCAATCAACTTCGTCCAGAGCTTTTCAATTTACACACCTCGTGGGTGTTCTCCAAGACTATCAATCAAGGTATCCGAGCTTGCTGTATGTTCAGCTTATCATTCCGTGGTACGGGCCATCACCACCATATATTGACATCAATATTGATTCAAACGTGGGATGGAGCGCGAAAATTCAGTTCTCCCGCACACTAGCATATGATTTGAGTCAATATGTCTCTGGCTTATGGACTTCGACGACGGAAACAGCGAACGGAGGGTTGGCCTAATAGAATGATCTTTTCCTCTGGCGATGCAGCAACAAGTACTATCCCTTTCAGTTTGTCTGTCCTGACATATCTGGAAGACTCTCCTTCCACCCTAGCAACGCCACCCGGCTGGTTTTGTGTGCTTCTTTTGCGTAACAATACGGCGCGTACGTTTTCCGAAAATTGTATCTTCTCGACATCCGTCCACTGCGGATCTAATTCGACGTCTTGTTTGGTCTAGAATCATACTCAGTAAGGACAGCTGCAAATAGTCATGATTGATTTTTAGTCTACCTTCTCTTTCGCTCTTGCTTCGAGTTTGATAGTGTCGTCAATGATGTCATCGACAGATATGCCGAAGTCTTCAGTTTCTGTTTCTCCCATGTCTGAGAGTTGTATCGGGGTATTACTCAAAACAGGGGATCTCGATATGTCGATGAAGTTATTTCTAATCAACTCGAATCAGAGCAATAAGCTATAATGGACCAAGATAACTTCAAAAGCATAGGTGGGAACCGGCTAACTAACTTCAAAATTTGGGGAGTGAATCCAAGAGATAAGACATCAAGAAATAACGTGCTCCTCCGATAGAAACAAAGCAAAGTCTATCTTTCAGGCAGCCAAGTCGAAATTGGGTAGCAGAGAGTGGGGGGTGTTGATGCGTGGCGAAGAATGTGTGAATGGTGAGAACCCTCAGTCATGCGCGCACTGCGAAGGATATCTACACACGAGTTTTGACAGTCAGATGATGATTTGGGTACATGTTCGTAACTTCCGAGTTCGGCTCACAGTCTATTAAAAGTTTGATTGAGCTTCGGACCACAATGACCGGAATATTTTTCAGACAAGGGTGTTGGCGGGGTTGATTGCATCAGCAAATGCGGGCCATTTTCACGTGATAAAGATTTCGGCGAACAATAAAGATCGGGAAAAAACACACAAAAATCAACGTTGTGTGATTACATCACCGAGTCATTCACAAAGCTTACATATCACTGTCGTTGTTGTATCATGTGGAAGGAATAAAGAGCTTCGCTGTAAACTTGGTGTCGTAAGTGAGAAGCTAATCGAGAAAGCTTCAAACAGGGACAATTTGCTTCTGCAGAGAATTCGAACTTAAATAAGATACAAGCTAATAATGGAGCATTTATTTATGAGATCCAGAAGAAATCGATTGCGCGTTATAATTCAAACCAATTGAAATTGCTGTGGGGCTAACATTGAACTTATGAAACGTGCCTTGATAGGGTCCCGAATTAGCTGCCCTTCAGCTGCCCATATACAGTAATAGAGCGGCCTTTCATGGTAAATTTTTGTGAGTGTATGTGCCCGTTCCGTTTTGTCAATGAACTTTTATCAGATACGGACATCAACCCTCAAATAGTTGAGAAATCTGAAGCCTGGACTCCTAGGAACAGAAGTCTAACTATTAGTCCGCATAACAAAGTTTTATGAAGACTCATGTCGATCCAGGCCCTATACCTATAATCCTAGGCGCATTAAATGGGTCCATGAAGCCTCGAAGACAAGGGTAGTGGAATACTGTCAATCCGAAAGGGCCATTCGCAACAGGAAATCAGAAAGAATCGTTAGGCAAAGGTCGGTCAACAACCTAAAGAGCGGCTACCAATGCCGGATGAACTGTTGTACGGTCAACTACAGACGGTCAACTACAGACGGTCAACTACAGACGGTCAACTACAGACGGTCAACTACAGACGGTCAACTACAGACGGTCAACTACAGACGGTCAACTACAGACGGTCAACTACAGACGGTCAACTACAGACGGTCAACTACAGACGGTCAACTACAGACGGTCAACTACAGACGGTCAACTACAGACGGTCAACTACAGACGGTCAACTACAGACGGTCAACTACAGACGGTCAACTACAGACGGTCAACAACAGACGGTCAACAACAGACGGTCAACAACAGACGGTCAACAACAGACGGTCAACTACAGACGGTCAACTACAGACGGTCAACTACAGACGGTCAACAACAGACGGTCAACTACAGACGGTCAACTACAGACGGTCAACAACAGACGGTCAACAACAGACGGTCAACAACAACCTGTTTCATAGACAGCAGACTGCCCGAATCTTAGGCTGCTGATTTGCTTTGCCGCCTTCTCAAAATTGATTATCTGCTATTGCATATACTTGATGGATAATAGGTATGAAATGGAGTAGTCAAGAAATAGTGAAAGATGAGGCTGATTAGGCAATTAGCAGGTCCAGCTTGAATGAGCGTTCAAAATTAATTCTATAAGGATCCTGATCCTCGGCGTTTGTGTACGAATGTGAGACCACTCTCACCGAACGCATGGGCAAATACAGTCCAGTCTTACCCGCACCCCGGGCAACCAAATTTTCAAGAAAAGTAAAATCTTCTGATAGGAATACTGGAACTTCCCAAGTCTTTGCATAAAATTACACCACAATTGAGCCCGTAAGCGTGCAGCTATTCTTCAAGATCTTCAGCAACAATGTATGGAACTTTGAAGCGGCAATACATGTTATCTTTCTTCTCTCGATCAGGTCGCAGATCTCGATCATTGGTAGAGCAACTCCCATCATTATCTTGTGATAAATGCAGCAAAATAAGCCAAGAGCACAGATGTGAGTACGAATGAAATAGTGATATCCTGCTCCATACAGTAATGATACTGATATCCTGAAGTTAAGCTCTGCAACTGTTCCACAGGAACCCTCGGATGCAATGGCCTCACTGTTGCAGGGCTATCGTCCCAAGTTCAAGCCCCATCCTCTGGGTTGGGAGGTAGAGTCTCATATGTCCTTGAGTCCTGCACAACAGATGTGCTATTTCGATGGGAAACTATTTGGCGGATATATTGCCTTCTTAATGGACCGGATTCTTGCAGATTCCTGCAGCAATGCGGTGACAGCCTTCCCGAACACGTGCTACCTCCAATCAGTGCCACCAACAGCGCCGATACTCCTTCGTGCATCGCCCGATAGGGTTGAAGGTCGCAAGATCTAGGATCTCTACAAATCCCAGGAAAGACTTCACGAGCCTGGGTTGACGCGATCAAAATGGAAGCTTTGTTTATAAGGCCAAAAAAACTGGGAAAAATGACCACCAACTCATTTGTATGATAACTTCGGCTTATTTGGTTGAATTCTCTCCAAATTTACCACTTCCTCATCATTATAACTACCCTTGCTTCAATCAAGGTAGCGTGAGCCCAAGCTCTTTGTACGGCTGGCACCCTGCTCTGGAATACGGCTCATTAGCGCTGGCTTTGTTAATTGATTGATCCTAGATAACGATGAGCAGTGGCCGAGATGACGCAACAACGATCTTAATACATGTATTACCGCATTGCACGAAGAGAACCATACTGCTGTGGATTTCAATAACTAAGTGAAGACTAAGGGCTTCGGATATGAAACCTGACATTAAAATGGTTGCGTTCCTTGGCGATGGCATATGCCGTCTGTCCATTCGAATCTTCCAGTCGCTTAATGATGCCACGTTGATTGGTTAACAACTTAACAATCTCATAATGCCCACCTGCTGCAGCCCACCAGAGAGATGTCCTCCCCACGTCGTCCACCGCATTCACATTTACGTCGGGATGCTCCAATATAATTTCGACAACTGCAAACCAGCCATTAGCTGACGCAAACATGAGCGGAGTAAAGGAGTCATGGCCATGGTCATTGATCAACAAAGATTCTTCGCTGAGGAGGAGGCGGACAATGTCGAGATGCTGGTTTACGATTGCGATTTGAAGTGGCGACGTCCCTGATGGGCTTTTTTGGTTAATATCGGCCGAATTTTGGAGGAGAAATTCCACCATTGAGGTTTGTCCTGCGCGACATGCCGACCAAAATGGTGGTAATGCATGGCCAGATTGAGGACTTCTATGAAGCCCTGGATGTTGAAGGAGAATTTTCACCAAGGCTAAGGAGCCCTTTGCAGCAGCGTTTGCCAAAGGTGTTTGGCCTAATCTGTCGGCGCGATTTGGGTTCAGGCTCGGTTGTTGCAAGAGCAGTTCAGTCAGCTTTGCATCGGAGTTTTCCACCGCATACCACAGTGGGGTACGACCATTCTCATCTTGATGGTTCAAGTCAGTGTATGAATTGAGAAGCAAGGATTCAACGATGACCAGCTTTTTCTTGATGGGGAGGAATCGACCGGTGTATCCTTTGACAGCCAGAAGTAACGGGGTTTCATTGCGGTGGTTGAGACAGTTGATATCAACTCGCGGGTGTCGCATAAGCATTTGAATTGCTCCATAGTCGCCAATTTCCACCGCTATATGTAGCGGGGTTTGGCTATGGTGATCGCGAATATTGACATTTGTTCGCCTATCGGACAAGAGAAGTTGGAAGATATACGGTTGGCGACAAGTCAGCGCGATTGTACAAGGTGCATTTCCATCAAAGGATGGGGTATTGAGATCAATGTTCTTTACATTGATGAGTAGTTCGACAATTTTGACAATTCCAAGCGAAATCGTAATCGAGAGGGCACTTTGCCCCAGTAGGTCACGCTGTGTGACTCTCACGGAATGATGGCGTAATAGCAAGTTAACAGCATCTGCGTATCGCAACTTTGTAGCCAGCATGAGGGGTGTAAGGCCGGAGGAATATTCGTTGATGTCTGCCTTTTTCGAACACAAAGAGAGCTGGAGGATGCCCAAGCTTCTATGTTCGACTGCCCAATGGATTGGCGGAGAACCTTGAAAGTCTATGCAATCAAAAAGGCTCTTTCTGAAGATGAAGTTGGATTTTCGAGACGCAAGACATAGACATCGAATGTCCTTCTTGTCGATGATCTTGCCAACCCAGAGAAGGATTTCCGGTGGAAGTTCCAAAAGCGACATTTTTGACTTGTAACCAGCCGGATCGTAGTAAAAATTGGTTTCAAAATTGAAATTGTGACATGATTTGAAAAGGGAGACTCTTTTTAAAATACTCAGCAGCGCGAATGGGGATATCCGTTGCCGGCATCAAGCCACCTGACTCCTAGGAACTTCAGTGCCAGTGCTAGGACCACGCTTTGGGTACGAAATAGTGAACTGCTCGGTGCGTTGTTGTCTCTGACAAAAAGTACCTGGGAATGGAGATCTGATTCCTGGGGCTCAAATATGGGTTCCTGGGAGCGTACGAACCCCTAGGAATCCCCGTACAGTTCCCGAGACCTTCACAGAATGCTCCTGGGAGACCTGATGGCGATCCTAGATACCATTGATCTCCTCAGAACCTTCTAGTTTTCCATGGATTAATTTGATGAGACCAGGGCTCTACGCTAGACAAGTATTTCTACCAAATGCAAGTGGATTATGCTCTACTTTAGATCAGGCAAAGTTACTACACAAGGCCTATGAAAAGGTAGGTCACGTTCTGCCACATTTTGCTTTGCCAATGCCTGATTTTTCTCGATGAGTCTTTACATATCATGAACTTAAGATCTCGAACATCAGAACTCATGACGCCCGGATACATAGATCGCTGGTGTCTGTGATGTTCGGCTCCTCTGTGTCATCTGAATTGGAGAGGTTGGTTTTGACAACGGTATCACGTTTCTCGTATTGCCTCGCGAGTTCATCCGTCGTTTTTCGGATTGGTAGTGGGTGGGTCAAATCCTGCCTCGGTCAGTGTTGTCAGTAAAAATGCACTGGAAGCAACAGAGAGATTAACACACCAGCTGTTTTGCAGATAGCGGCCACCCTTCCGACTTGGAAGTCAAAGTAAAGATCTTGCCAGTCTTCCTTATCCGCACAACAAGCTGGACATCAGCGTCGCATTGCGTTGAGTATTCGAATGCTTTTTTGAAAAGTGTCTCTTTTCTGCGCTGCCCTTTTTGATACGCCTTTCTCGCATGGCTCTTTTCTTGGGCGTGTTGAAAGGTCGGTTTCGACGAAGTAGGACTTATTGACACGAGATTACTCATTAGCAGCCTTTTGACTTGGACTCTGAGATTATTGTACAGTCTAGGGCGAACTTCACTGAGCTGATGCGCTGGATTTTATGGGACTATGCAGCATTCCTTCGAAAGAAACTAAGACCAGGCAGGCACTGATAAGCGTCGACCGCATTTCATTCGGTCGCTACGTGTGGTAGTGTAAATGGCCTTGTTCATAGGTAATAGCCTCTAAAATGAGGGCGGTCATGTGGTTGATGCGTTTTTCGTTTTCCTTTTGTTATCGTTTACTCCCCCGACCGCTTTTGAGCACGTTGCGGTCGAACGCAAGTGTGTTTTTGCGGATGTCTAGGTCACTAGAGCTGAAGTCGTATTCCCAGGAGCAAGCGGCAAGCAGCATCAGCGATAATCCGTCGAAGGTTAATAGGTGAAAAAGAACCAGAATAAAGCACCAGATTGGATTACAAACCATTTGATTGAGAGATTCTTAGATATTCTTGGATATTGCAAATCCAAAATTGAGGGTGGGATATTTTACGCAACCAAGTAGAGACGGTATCGGGGATGGGAAATTCGACGAGTTGGATAGTAGCTTAGTCGCAAGATAGTAATGCCAATGACTGTGGTCCACTGTGCTATTGGAGAAGAAACAGCCAGGATCGACCGCCATGCCATCCTTTCGTTGAGGGGACAATGGTCAAGTGGGTTGGTCAAAGACTGCATTGGATGAGGCTAGCGTGGTGCATTTTATTGAGGTGAGCTGCTGACTTAGCTCTCCCGCTTTGCTCAGGTCGCTCAGTGAGCAAGTCAGAGCGGTCAGGTCCGCTCAGTGAGTAGGATCGGGATGCTCAGTGAGCAAATCAGAGCGCTCAGGTTACGCTCAGTGAGTGGGACCGGATTGCTCAGTGAGCAGGCATATGGTTTACGTAAGCGGCAGGTGATGCTCACTGAGCGAGAATAATGCTTATGTAATTACTCAGGGGTGTGCTCAGTTTTACTCAGTGAGCAAAAAGCGGCAAGGGGTGAGCACGAAAACGGAAAGGGAAAGCCAAGACTTGTCAGACATTATCCTGTCTATATGTACTCTACTTGCAGGGCGATTTTACTTTTGCCACATTCCCCAGGCGAAAATAGACTGAGGAGGAATATTTCTCCGCTCACCGATCCTATCATCAGGAGAGACCTGGCCGCTGAGCAATCCAATTCAAAATTCTTGAGTCAGATACAAGACGTAGCGTGACACACTGGAGAGTAGGGACAATCGCTGACGCAGTTACAGTAAACAGAGCTCCGTATATGGAAAATCCGGGTATATCGACTACACTAGGAATCCGAAGTAGAGTTGATACTTATTTCCGTTCCGCTGATAGGGTCTTCAAGTTTGGCATCCCGCTTATTGACCTTGAACCCATCTAGCGTTGATCTTACTTCTTGAAGTAGGTCAGCTCCGAAGATGGGGTACTCCTGGGTTTTCTTGCACAAATTTGTAGTTCTTGCCTCGAAGATAACCTTCAACCGACGCTGCCGGGATGGAACCACAAATGGCTCAGTTTATCAAGGCTATACTTGTTGCCAATCCTGATCGTCGAGGCAGCGACTTCCTCGAATGACACATCGATACAGGGAGGATCGAAATTAGTTTCACCACTTGCACACTAAGAGACAAAATGCGAAGTAAGAATTCCTAGAATCACTCATCTGGTCATCGTATCGGAGATATTAACCAGTGAGTCGGTTGATGGATTGGTTGGCCTGGATGACGCGGAAGACGTGGTACTTGTAAGCTATCCTCATGGAGTGATTTCAAACTTATGATTACTCTCTCCTGCTCAAAATAGAAACAACCCATTAAGAGCCTTTGAAAATACTCAACCTTTCGTCGTATGGAATCATAAAACTACTATTTCATAAACATCTCGAACACAAACGGTCAAAAGACTGCCTCAAAGCCACAAGTTGGCATTCCTCCCTCGGAGCCCGAATGATGGCGACCACCCGGGTTGTATGTATGCCATCTTGGGTATCCCACGACGAAATGCATCATATGCTGCTCTCAGGAAATACGACTAACCGAGGGAAAGAGGCATATAATTTAGCCGCGTCAAGCCACAGCCGCAGTTGGAGGACATGTAACCCTTCGGCTCCGACCTCGCCTGAGACTTCCAATTCCTCGGTCCTTGAGCTTCGTACTATAGCGAACCTGAAGAGCACCCTTCGTCCTCCCTGGAAAATGCGTCACGATCTGATTCCATGGGAGACTTCGCTTTTCCTTCAGTTCGATCAAGAGTTTGTCCTCATCGGGTGAGAAACGAGTCGCACGAGGTGATGGCTCTTTGTTGCTGGGCGGCGTGGTGTGCCCTGTCTTGTCTGAGCTTTCCTCGTATACGGGAGCTTTTGTTAGCCCATGCGGACAAGAACGCTGCCTATCTTCCTCGAAGGTACAGGAGTAGATGACTCTTGATAGAACAATTTGCCGCGTGAGAAAGCCTCTGATGGGAATGGTTTGCATGTCCTGCAAACTTGTGCCGGGACGTGGATCTGCAATTTCCTCTTCTGGAGCCGGCGAGGAAAACACGCGCTGCAGGCTTTCACGTCGAGTCTGAGCGGGCTGGATCTTCGCTGCAGCAGTTCGTCTCTGCCTCTTTCTTAGACGTGGCAATCTGGCGACGACACCAACACCAGAATCGTTCCCGTCTGTATAGTCACTGTCGTCAGGATCATCGCTTTCAATGTTCCAGGCGGGCTTTGCTCGATTTTTCCTTTTCCGTGTACAGCGTGTGGAACCGGCTCGAGTGGACACTGTTCTTGGTATCCCACGGGGTCGGGTCACAGGCACAACAACGGATACGGAGCACGACCTAGATAAATCTCTTGGTGAATCCTTTCCCTCTGATCTGGAGACTTCCTGCTTTCTTTTTTGCAGCACAGGCGAGATAGGGCTTGATACCGCTTCGCCGTCAAGACAACAATCTGTTGAGTGGATGTCGTTGCCGTCGCTCCGCACTTCCAGGTGGCTGTCGCGAGTTGCTGAAAGGTCCCTCGGGTCTAACTGGATGGCATGTACCTCCGGAGCCGGTAGAGGACTTGATTTTCTGGACTCTGCACCAGTTTCAGGGCTCCACTGATTCGCAGGTTCTGGTTCATCCCCAGCTGGAACAGGTGTGCTAGGATTAGGTGATGGGGCCTGATCACTTAAAACATTACCAGCCGCCACGCTGTTGACCTCTGTCTCACAGCCAGAAACGGAAAGCTGGGATTCATTGCGCTCAGTGGGTGAAAAATCTGTAGTCGTATGATGAGAAGCGACCTAAGAAAACCCTACCACCAGATACACGACTAACCTTGAACGGGACACGGTTCGTTCGGTGAAACAGAACCATCAGCTTCTACAGGATAAGTGGGTGCACTGGCTGATGAAAGGTCGGTCTCGGCAGAGTCTGATGAGGCGGCAGTATCTTGCGGCGTAGCAGGGCCGTCTGAGAGGACCCTTAAATCGTCCGCAAAACGATCGTCGCTGTGTGATGCTCCTTTCAAAATAAGAAGTCAGCACATTTCTCTTATCTTCGCCTAAACAATTGATGCCACCCTATGGGGACCTGAGAAGCTAGAGGAGCCAGCAGATGAGCAGATCACTTACCACTGTGTTCATCATGCGGCTCCTTTCTATGGATGCCGTTGATGTCCTCTGCTTGAGTCCCTTCCCTGCTCCCAAAGCATAATGCTAGAGTCTCCTGGCTCCCGAATTCGGCTATTTCCAAGTTGCCTAATTCTTTATCAAACTCGTTCAGATGGGCGTCGCGATCACAAGTCACAGATAACACAGCAGGAAAGGGACTCTGTCGACGAGGATGAAAAGTTTGCGGGGACTCATGAGAAAGGCACGGGGGTCGCGAAGGTAGAGGATGGATCAGGACGGGCTGGTTTGAAGGAGGGTGGGAAAGAGAAGTAGTCAGGTGTGGCTGTTTGCAAGGGGGCTTCGGGATGGGGGGAGGGTGGTAATGAATGATATTGTCCAGGTCGATAGAGGCCATAGTTTTCACGAGAGGCAGAAGAGAATGAACCAGTCGGGGTGAACAATAGGAAATGTGTAGTATAATCTAAAAAACAAAACAATTCCAAGGTGCCCTTTAGACTGAATTGAATTGAATTGACGGAAAGCGAGCAACACATGTCTAGCATCCCTCGCCGCAGCGGGAATCCCAAGACTCTTTATATGCACTTCCCGAGTCCCCGTCTCACTTCATTTCACCTCGACTTCCCATCTGGGGCGGCTGGGGAAATTGGATGGGACTGATTATCGCCACCGGGCGAAGTGCTGCCTGTCAGCGGGGAGACGTGATACACTAACAACATTCAGAGCAAGAATGACCAAGGTGCAACGCGCTACAGCATGCGGTATTTTCCCCATTGGATAACACCGTAGCGTCGCATTATCAATTTTGGCCTGATCAGCCGTGCATGCATCTAGCAGCCTTGCTGCGCCTTGCTAAAAGAGGGCCAGAGTCGAAGGATCGCCTTTGGGAAATAGCATGTCGCGGCCAAAGGCCTCCTTTCAAGTCAGCGGCCAATACAATCACAGTGTTTGAGTTTCCAATTGCGGAGTTCTCCGAGGCCGTTGTACGAGGCAAAGGGGTCCGCGAACAAGTGCTAGTCCGCTCATTCTGCGCCACGGCTTCAAGGCGAGGGATCGGCGAGAGAAGACCAGCCAATGGCACACATGTAGGCAAATTAGACAGCGCACAAAAGAGCGAAATTCGGGTTACGTCGTATCGTAGGCGCATTTGTGCAAAGACGAGAGTTATTCAGTCACCCGGCCAACAATCGGGCACTGTTGATTCCTATGTTAGAGCAACCGAGACATACGGACGAGCCAGCACGCGCGGATCCAGAAGCCCAGTCCTCTGTAGCAAAGATTGCGGACTGGCAACTGTAGCTGACAAAAACACCAGGGCGATGGACCAGCAGACCGTGACGCCGGCGCTCCAGCCGGTGGAGAAGGAGCACTGCTCCGTGTGCGAGGCAACCAGCTGAAACAGGGCGTCCGGTGCCGTGTGATCCGGAAATACGGTATCATTTCACGGAAGCCCGATCGCTGGGACGGGGCAGGCGAGAGGGAACTGCAGCACGACGAGCGCGAGGACGTTGAGCGACGCACCGAGTTATATACTCGTGGGTGTTGGGGCCGATCGGCGGTGGAGGACGGCAGATGCCTGTTCGGGGAAGGCGTGGGCCGCTAGACGGCATCTGGACGAGCTAAACCCAAAGTAGACGGGATGGGTCGGGATGCCATCTTGAGGCTAGCGCCGCGCCAAACCGCTTCTGGACAGGCTAAACCCGAACAGGGCACCTGGGGGCCCACGCCAAACCGGATCGAGGGGGGCGCCGAATCCGGCCGCGCCGGCACAAATGGTATTTGTACTATCCGCCTATTAGACGTAATTAGTAGATGATTTTAGGGGCTCAATTTTAAGCTTATCTCTAGGTTTAGGGGCGATTTACTGAGACCTATATATATATTTAATAGCTTTTTTATTAGCGTCTGATTCCCGTTCCCTAGGTCTTTACCTAGGGTCGGAACTAGGGTTTATCGGTATTAAATCCCTAGATTTAGCCTTATTTTCGAGAGAATTAAGGCGTTCTATAAGCTCCGCGAGGGTTGATTCATTGATTTAAACGATATTCGTAGAGATATTACGGGTCTAATTACCGTTAGATCCCGTATTTAGGTTATATTACCTTATAAAGGTATTAGAAGCGCCTTTGTAAGGGTCTAAATAACCTCTTTAGTCTTAAGATAGACTATATTACTCTCTTAGAGCCGACTATTTCTTACCGAATAAGTCGTTAAAGGGTCTTTTCCCCTTATCTATAAATAATTTGGGCTTATTGTAGGCTAAATTATTATAGGGTTAAGTGCTAGTTGCTTCTAGTATCGAGAGATACGTATTATAACGTATTGTACGGTCGGGGTCGTCTAATAGAAAACTATTGTCTTTATCCTCGGACTAATCGGGTACGGAGATAATAGACTCGGTATCGCTATTAGGCTCCGATTGATCGGTATCGGGCCTAGTAGACCGGGATCGGTTTCTAGTTTAAACTAGCATCGTGTTCGGAGGGCTCGGAGGGAGGTAGGTATTCTTGAATAGACAAAAATAAAGCTATTCCCGGCTTAATTGAGGCAAGCCGGGCTTATAACCTATTGAAAGGCTACGATATAAGTAGGAATAATAACTGGTACGACCGTACAATATAGATAATCTAACAATAGATTACCGAGGTGTTTAAGTCTAGAGATTCTCATTTGTGTGAGAATCTCCTTATATACCAGAAAACTCTGCCTTAAGCTAGTCCTGATTAGATTTCCCAGGTGATAAATCACTGCGGTTGCCGTCATGGCTCATTCATGGCATAAACCATGGCCGGCCACCATAAATCTCAACAATGTATAGGAAGTATATCAAGTTCAAAAGTTTAAACGAAGTGGCCAATTGAATTCGTCACTATATATCTTAAGGTCGTTCCGCTTAAATTTTCATGCAATTTCATGAGACCCAAGATTTGGTAGGTTGAAACACAGTTTATGTTCGAAGACAAGTATCTATGTGGCTCAGTGCTAGATGCTGGGCTTAAGGAGCAACCAGTATACCTCCCAAGAGGCTCTATTTGGGCTCAGTTGATGATTGGTGAGGAGACCGACCGTATGGAGGTGAGTTTCAGGGTGGAGAAACGATCACGGCGAAACCCGGTTGCTGTGATATGGGAATGAGATCCTGTCAGTCGCATGGTGTTGAGATAGATCAAACGAAAATACAATCAGCCTGATACACCTTTGTAGAGTTGCCGATGCCAAACTTAGTAGAGCCAAGCGGACTATGGGGCGCTTTCCCTTGATCAATGTGTGTTTACATTTCAAATCTTAGACTCAGATACGGTGTTCTCCGTCCACGTTTCCTGATGCTCGCCTTTTAGCGCAAGGCATCTTTCGTAATTACTACATCAAGCCTTTGCCAAACTCTTTCCCCTGGATGTAGTTTGGCTTGGCGTTCAGCATCGCGGAACGCAACGGGAGGAGGAGCCACGCCAGGATCCTCTAGAGCTGCAAGGTACAATAACTTTGTTAGTGGATATCAATACTATGTCCCTACGGGCTGTCGATTTACTGTTGTGGAGTAGACAAATGGTTCATGGGCCGCCCACGGGCCGCCCCCCTTGTGCGCCAAGGCCAAAGGTCTTGGCATAAAGGCTGTGCGTTCTATCTTTAGATCTATTTTTAGTTAGTCGTTAGATGTCTTCACTTATAGAGATTTTGGGATCGTCAGTAAACAATCTAATTCCCGTCTGATCCTGGCAGACATATTTCTCCATATAGACCAATATCGCATACTATCATCTCAGCCGCCTGGGGGCGAAGGCTACCGTTTCAGGAATGAGCCCAGACTAAGCTAGGACCCTGACCTTGCGAAGACCCTGGAATCCATCAGGATTCACATTTCAGCATGAAATTTCTTGCTGGTTATGATATCAACCAGCTCTACTAGATTGAACAAAATTACAACAGAAGAAAGAATCACTAATACAAGGTCTTGTAGCACAGACACCACTCCCGTAAGAAATAAGATCAGTGCACACATCAGTAAGAACCTTATAGATATAATTCTATCGAATGCAAAACTCTCCAGATACTGGCGTGTAAACAGTGGAGGCCCCCATGTTGTAAATGCGGCTCAGCCGCTTGGCCCGTGCGCCAGGGTCCCTTGTGGAGAAGCTTAAGCTGTGACCCTGAGTCTGGACGGGATTGTATAGCCTATACATAGCATTGCCAAGATATTCACTATTTCCGTATGTCGACGGTGGAGTCAGTTTCCAACATTAGGAAGGGGCCAAAAGGGAAGCGTAGTATACTTTCATTATCGAGCAGTTGAACGATGAACACTTGGCTTTCGCCGAAAAAGCTATAAAGGTCTGCTTCTTGCCCTGGGTAAATCAATTCATCCAAACAGTTCTTCTTTCTCTATCAAAGAATAGACCGAAAATCCCGGCATTCAAATTTGAAAACCATCAATCACACCTGATTTACCTCAAAGCTTTCTCAATTTCCATCATGCGCAATACATTGCTTCTTGCACTGTTCGGTAAGTATTCTTTTGCAAAAATTGCTATTTTCTATCATAGCTAACGAGCGACTGAAGCCGTGGGAGCTCTCGGTGTTCCAGCTGTGCCCGCCTATATCGAAGCCGAAAAGGATGACATGTGGGTCTGCGATGACAACATGAACAAGAAAGGCTGGGACAAGCTCCATATGGACGACTGGGTGGAACTATTGTGAGTGAGCCCGCATGAGAGCCCAAAAGGACCTTGATCTAACGGTATAATCAGTGGAAACGCCTACCCGCACAGCATGGGTGGCAGAGATGCGGACGAGAAGAAGCCTTACATGAGATATGTAGCGGACCAGACCCGGAACTACGGATCGATCGACTGCGAAGTTGGACTCACCTATTCGTGCGATATTGCGGCCAGCCGTAGCGACTGCCGGGGTAAGGGGAATGGAATCACTCCCGTTGCCTACTTCCATTTGATGGCAATGAAGCGCTTCTCCTACTTTGTGCAATCCCTCGGCGATGCGATCGATAGCGCCGGATCAACCGTGATTAGCAATGCTGCCAGTATCGCGGCCAAGTTCACCGACCACGATATTAGCACGGATGATCCTAGCACTGTCTTCGGTATTGCCGGTGGTGTCCTTGGAGTCCTTGGTGGCATTCCTGGAGTTGGGACAGTTGCAGGCAGTCTTGGTGGTGTGCTCAGTGTGGAAGGGACTATTATGGCTCCTTCACAAAGCGAGGCGGCTTTGATCGTTCAAAATGAAGTCCACGACATTGCGAAGCTACAAGCTAGTCTGGAGAAGATCAAGCACACCGCAAGAGACGCTGTCTGGAAGTGGGGTAACCATATCATTAACGATCCCTTGAAGAAGAGGCCTATTGATGAATCGAATGGCTGGATGAAGTTGCTGAAGGGAGGTGCTTTCGCCGACAACATTCAACAAAATTGGAGAAAGAACTTTAAGAGCCTGCACACTATCACCAAGCAGTTCTATGTGTTTGCTGTCAGCGGTAGCTGGCAGTTGGATCAAATCTTCGTTGTCAAGGCACAGAATATCGCGGGTGATCTCACTAAGAACTATTCCAAGGAAAAGTTGGATCAGTTTGATGGTGTCTGCGAGGATGGTGATTGCTACTTTTTCGTCAAGGCCCAGTCCTTCCAGAACCTTCTTGATGGCAAATGGAAGACTGTCAAAGGTCTGGGTAGCTTGGATGATTACGGTCTGAAAGCTATCGACATGGCGAAGGGTGCCGAGTGGTACAAGAAGATGCATGGCGGAGAAATAACTGCTAAGTCGACGGAGGCCAAGGACCTCCTGAGCAATCTGCAGAAACAGGGGAAGTCTGCAGGTAAGCTTTGGGTAAACTTGCCTTTCATCGACTATGAGGACATCCCATCCACCAGCAAGATTTACCACGAGGGTATTGGAGCCACGACCGATCACTCGCATTTTATCTCGACTCTGGCAGCTCACATTCCTTCTATTAAGGGCTGGCCATACGACAACGATCTGTCTACAAAATAGAGGGAGGACGAAGAATTGTATATTTACCTAACAACACATGTTTGATTGCTTTTTTTCTGTACTTAGATGGATCTAGGAATGCTTTCTTTTGAATAACCTTATCACTGTCGGAAGTCCTCTTCATTATCATGTCCAGATGTCAGAATTGGCCTTGAGCACGCTCATTTCTTATACTAACCTGATAATCCACCCCTGAAAAAAGGCACCATGGTAGTTAACTGACATGTCTAGTACTAAAGATTGAATAACAATAGGTAACTATACAGCTTCCCCATTTCCATATGGTTATCATTGAAACCTGGATCGATATTATATTTTACCTCATATTCTACCTCATATTTTACCTCATATTTTACCTCATGTTTTCCCTAATGTTTCACTTTGTTCTTGGCATTTTATTGAATACGATCAACCCTCAATCCTCGCATGTTATCTTGAACCATTCTTGAAGTCCTTCCGTTCATCGTCATCACGGTTGACCAAAGCCTGCTTGAGTATGCTTACCGCGACGCTATCATCTCCCGTGTGCTTGGTGCAAGTGCGAAACAGAAGGGTTCCAAGTTTGATCAATCTGTGTTTAAAAAGAAAATTTATGCGTACTATGGTCTCAATGAGCATTGCCAACCTGGCTTTGTGTGGTGTCATGTGTTGGGCACTGTACTTCCCTAAAAGAACATCAAAGCTGCCCATATTGTACCCAAATCTATGACATCCAAGGAGGATTCCCACCTATTCGAAGTCAGCGATGGAGTTCTTGATGAACCCCGAAATGACTGACTCATGAAAATTAGGCATCACACTGGCAGACAATATTGGGCTATTTTTCGACCATGGTACCATCGCGATTATACCCATGCCCGGCGCAATGAAAAGTTCAACTCAATGGAGGTGTATTGTCTTAGACGAATTAAGGAAGAAGAACACCATCGGTACTGTGAGTGGATGCTATATGAAACTGAAGGTCAGTATTGCAAAAGCTAGAGTTGAGTATTATGTTAATGATATAACAGGAGATTGATAACAAGCCGTTGACGTTTGCTTCCGACAACCGTCCTCGCCGACGGTATCTATACTTCTGCTTCATCATTGCGTACATGAATGCAAAGAGCCGAGGGACCAGTGACGCCGTTGCAAAAAAGGTTGAAGCCACGCGATTTTGGTCCTCCGCCGGCTCGTACCTTACTCGGTCAACACTGGTGATATCGGCTCGCTGTGTTTCAGGATCAGAACTACCTAAGTCCCTTGTCCAAGACAAGACGTTTGAATCTGGTGATAGCTCCACTCGCGACACTGATGCTGGAACAGTACTTGGAGCTGATGTTCGTGACGCAATTCTTGCTATGCAGAGTCTTTAAATCATTGCTAAGCTGCAACCCTGAAGGACAACATACGGATGAGTCAAATTTGCTTTTATTCAACACTGCCCATGGTTATTTTATTCTTATTCGTCTATGAACGGATGTTCACACTTGCTATCAAAAGCTACATCTAGAAATATCGCTTTCACCGTGTGGCCTTCTTGAAGTCTGTATTAACGTGATTATCAATTTTTACTCAGTTAATGAATTTTTTTATTTAAACTGGAATAGGAATGGGTGAATGATTAAATACAGCCGAGGAGCGCGGAGACGTTGCGAATGAAATCTGTCCGTTCCATTTTCTGATCATCCATGAGGCTTTGGTAATGCTTGACCTTGTTATGAACTTCTTCATAGGTCACGAGATGGAGTGACTTGGTAGCAATAAATGTCTTCGCTTGCTCCGTATCCCAATACTTATTCACTTGCTCATCCCACCAGTCTTCGCCTTTGTGCGTTCGTAACTGAATAAAAGGAAAGATCAGAGAGTCAAAAAAGCCAGCCAAGAGAAGCATATGAAGCCACATAGCACCGGTGTCCTCGGACCACTCCACGAGCTCGAAAAGCTTCTCAGTTCCTGACATCTTCAGTTCTTCTTCCATTAACACACGCTGAAAAATCTCCAGACACTTGAAATAGCGTTCAGTGGCTTTCGGGGCTTTGCCATCTTCAAAGTCCCATGCTTTGTTTACTGGGCGATCTAAAAGAAGCCACCAAGGAGCCGAGCCAAATAACTGAGCTGGCCCAGCATACACCCACTCAAGATCAACCACCCCGATGATTGTGAGATCCTCCTTGCTTCGGACAATCATATTTGCTGGCCCGAAATCATCGCAGATGAGCTTGAAAGGGCCCTGTTCGTATGCAGAATGAGTCAATTCCGGTATCAGGGACTCCAAGATCTTCAATGATGCGTATACCGATATACCGCTCCAAGGGCCAGAAATTGAGTTGGGTTGAAGCCGTAGTTGTTGCCAATCTTGTCCGTTGATGTATTGAAAGTACTCGCCGCTGGTAGAAAAGGCTTCTTTGTGGTCATCTACAATCATCAGCAGAATTCTTGAAATCAAAACTACAACAAACCAAACGTATTTACGCCTCCTCCGCGCAGAATTTCGTGTGCCTTCCAGGTAAGGGGACGACGAGGTGTTCTATATTTAATCTTTGGGGTTGGTAAATTGCCAATTTGGTCGAAATCGATGTTGAAAATTTGTACCATAAATTGTGCTATTTGTTTGTAGATGAGTTCAATCTCAGTATCGGAGATTTCCTCGTTGAGCAATCTCGAGTCGCCTCCTCTCAGAATGTCAGAAAGACAGACACCGTCGATTGAATTCATGTAAATGAAAGGTCCAAGGCCGAGGGGACTTTCCTGAGCAAGGCCCCAAGCATATACCTTTGGGACCGGTACTGACGTCCTTTCTAAGAGGAGATGAAGAGCCTCAACTTCCATCGCCACCTTTTCGTCTGCATGTTCCGGTGAAATGCTGCTTGCGCGGGGCAAGCGGAGGAACCAAAATTTTTCGTCTTCGAAAACAAACTTTTGGCCAAGGTTATACGCCCCATTGAGAAAGCCCCCAATGAGACGACAGGGGAGCTTTTCGGGATGGAGGCTCGTAGCCCAGTCGCAAAGACGACCGTCAACACGAGCCATATTTACTTTGTCAACCCAATCAGCTTCTTGTGCTGTGTGAAGCAGGCCAAGGGGTTCGTTGTGATCCATTGTCGTCGGATATATCCAACGTAGAAAAGTAATCACGAAATGATATCGTCGCTATTAGGATGGGTGAGAGCGTCTGCTTTTGAAAGTGCTAATGTGGTAACGCGATTTTGTTGCAGACCGCTGTTTCTGCACTTTGACTCCCACCTTCGCCAAATCAATCATTGATATCATCCATTTCCTATAATTTGAAAACATTCACGCTTCGTAGGCCACAATCTGTAACTAATAGTTTTGGGGGCTACTAAGCTGATCACGGATGAGGCCGGTGGACGTTAGCCTCACGTTACCCTTCGTTGACTAACTAGATCTAGATGCTGAACATCCTTCCTACTTCAAAACTTCGGTAGCTCCCTTGGATATGGCTCAAGATTGTTTTTCTCTGGGCAATCCATACGCCCTTACTATGTTAGAATATGACTCGCGGACGCCAGCGCAAGAATTGGTCAACAACCTTCGAGGATCGGTGATCATACGTTCCTAAGCAGAAATTTCAACTAGAAGAGGCTCGGACAGTAGCCGGTATTCTCATTAAATTGCCCATCCATGATCTGCTTCCGCCGAAGGCCTGTTAACGCGATAAGGGCGCTGCGTTTTATACAATAACACCTTAATAAATGAGAGCAATCAAAAGCCCCTTCTATTGTAAATCAGGAAGCATTGTACAACTTCCTAGATTAGTTCGTGAGATATGCGCCAAGTTGAGGCATATGAGTTAATTTGTTGACCTTTTGTAAGCAAGATCGCTGGTGGACACATTTCCGATTTAAATGTGCTTTACGGGTTGATTGTTGAAAGGGTCCTCCGTGGAGAGTCATAACCAAATGACCGAGAAGGCTATTATTTCGCATTAGCTCATGATATTCACTTAAGTGAATTTGGTGACCATTTGACAAGTGAGTTTCGGGATCGTAGCGTGACTACTGATTTGGAGACACGCGCATACTCGGATAAACAGGCTCCGGCTGGATCGCCGGGATTTCCTTTACAATTTGTGCAGATGCTATGGGGCTCTGGGTATGTCTTGTCTCATATTTTAATAGACTCAGGATCTGATTTCAGCCAGTACCAATATTATTGCAGAAATTCTGCAGAGCATTGGATGCAAACCGGCGTGGGATAAGGAGCGGTTCTTGCAGCACATTGAGGATGATGTTCAAGCTGTAGTCGCCCTTGGAACACCGAGGAGTAGTCTTGTTGGGTTAATTTTGGCAGAAGTGCTGAGTTGATCGATGAATGTGTGTCTTCCTACTAGGTTCAATATATTGAGTGGTTGAAATCCAGATTATCGTTACCCTTGATGGGTCTGTAGCTTTTGCATCCTCATGTTTCTATAGACTTGGAGCTTGAAAATTGCCATAGCAAGAAAGCAAAAGAAACAGCGATGGAGAGCAGCAAGTTAGATTTGGCTTTGTCAATAACTAGGGAGTTACTCTAACTAAGTGAGTGTAATAGTAAGCCCTTCATCATGCAGGATCCGTGATAAGTCAGTAGGCTAAGACCCTAGTGGGGGTCAAAGCCACATGTAGTACTTAAGTCTTCTCCCAAGCCCTGGATTATTCCTGCTTTTCTTTTCACTCCTTCCTAGATTGCCAACTGGTGAGATATATGGTTGTCGCTTTGTATCTCATCCCTTCTTTTCTCCCGCTTCTCAGCTGAGCCAATCTCATTATCAGTTCACCATGTGCAATCCCCCGACAGACCAGGAGGATCATGAATCATACAGTCTTCGAATGACTGCGCATTTGGTAGAAAGTTCATCGGTTACCAGTTTCACAGCAACCCGTCTGAACCAAACCACTTTCCGTCTTGTAGAAGATGACCGCCACATTGAGCGACCTCTGATTTACGTGAAACAATACCCAACTGGGATCGTCGTTATCGACACTGGGTGCAATAATCCAAGAAATGCAGGGCTACCTGTCACAAGCCTGCGGAAATTTATTGAGACCGTTCCTATTGAACAAAATGAGGGAATGCCGTTGAATCCCGACGGTCGCTTGCCTTACTATATTCTGATCTCTCATTGTCATTACGACCACATTGGTATGGCTATTTCTCTGCAAATCTGCTATCTTTATTCTCGTTAACTCAACTGACAAACTATCAATAGGAGGACTGGAAAGCTTCGAAGGCAGCTCCTATCACATCTACTGCAGTCAGATTTTGTTGACTGAAATAATTGCAAACTCCCGACTAAACCACGATTCACTTCGAGAATCGTGCTCTTTACCGCCCTTGAAAATTGATCTGGAAAAATTGACCGGTGTGCCAGACGGCCACTTTCTTGTTGATGCAAATGGCGTTGAACTAAATCTCCAGCTACTACATGCCCCTGGCCATTCGCCTGAGCATATGGTGGTATTGGATCTTGATGAGAGTACCATATTTTTAGGAGATTCGGCGTATGAGCAAAGTCCTCTGTTCTACGCATATGGCGGAGACTTGACTCTACACATTCAAACTTTGGCCAGGTTAGAGGCTCTCCTTACAACTTACGAAAAGCCCGAGGGTGCTCGTATTTGGACAGCAGCGTGTGGACATTACAGCTCCGGACTCAACGCAGTCTCACTTTTAAAGCGAACGAAAGCCTTCATTTTGGATGTTATAGAAGACAAAGTACCTTCCCAGAGTCGAGAGGCCAATCCCTACCAAGCTGGAGGCATCTTGGAGCTTTTCACCCGTGACGAATTGGCGATGGCGTGTCCAGATCACCTTTTGCAAGATGCAAAGAGTTCATCAAAGGCTTTCCCCTCATCTTGATTTGATATGTGGCGCAATATCAAGATGTTTCATCTAGCAATCAAATATCAGGCTGATATGGGGACGAATACCACCTCCGCCATAGCATAGTGTCCTTCCCAGGGTCTTCTCGGCCCATGCTCATTCGTCAGAGTAGTTTCGAATTTCGAGTATATAGAGAAGAGAGTGTTCTTGAGAACTTGAGACCACGATAGGTTAGTTATAAGGACTGAAATCGTCGATATGGGTTAATTCGAACCTGAGATTGCCAGATCTCTTCCAATGCAACCTCGCTGTCCACTTCCAAAGGTCCAGAAGTTCCGTAACAAAACTCGAGCCCGCTCTTCATCAACCAGCCATCTTTCTGGCTTGAATTCGTCGGGATCAGGGAAGATATCATCCTGTCGATGAACGAGATATGCTTGCGATCCGACAACAGTCTAAAATTGGCACAGAAAAGAAAAATTCAGTCAGCAGATATTCTCAGCCGCGCTAGCGAGGAGTAACCCGTACCCCTTCCGGAAGGTATATATTCTCTATAGTGCAACCGCCTTTTGGTACCACGCGGGGTTGGTAGAAGTTGATTGTGTAAACAAGGCGCAAACCTTCCATGACAACAGCGTGCAGATACGGGAATTTGTCAAGTTCAGCATATGTCTCGAATTTGCCTCCATTTTGAACGCAAAGCTCCTCACGAAGCTTGGTTTGAACATCAGGCGATAAACTGATCTGTCGCGTTAGATATTCCAGAGAGGCAGACATAGTGTCATGACCAGCGCCTTGATGACAAGTTAGTTGACATAAATTATAACTTCAAACTCGGCTTACCAATGTGATCCAGCATCTCACTGGCCCGGTCCTCAAATGACAATGGTTCTCCCTCTGAGTTCCGCCATGCGTACAACTTCCCATATACCCCTTGACGAACGAGCCCATCTCGGTCAGAACTCTCATCTAGGATAGTTTCAAATCGGCGAAACAGCCCAGCTGCCCACGATTGTGCATTCTGCTGCTCTGGTGGGCCATTGGGGACAAGCATTTGGTTCAGATACAGAAACGGGGGTTCGCTTTCCCAAAAGAAAGTGGCTTCTCTCAGTTCTTGATGGAAAAAGTCCATGACATGCATCCCGGTGTGTTTGCTTTCGTTTACCCGTCCATTCAGTTTGTCCAGCCAGTCTGTGCCATAGAAATTCGAAAAGGCGAACCGAGTTGAGATATCCGACTGCATGGCCCGGTAGATATTGCGCACAACAATAGGCTGAGTCTTCTTGGAGTCTTCCTCTACTGCAGATTCAATAAAGCCTACCAGTTTCTGAATCCGAGACTGGATAATCTGCTGAACATAGGAGGTTGAGACATTCGACTTGAGGTAATTGGAGGAAAAGATACGGCGTCTCGCTGCGTGATCGGCATTTCCCGTAAACGAGAACATGTTGTTTTTTCTTTGACATATGTAAGCTTATTGGCTACAATGACTTCAAATAGAGAATATATGATTGGAAGGAGATGCGGACGAACCCATAGTTTGAGAATACCTCGTACCAAGCGGCCTTTTCAAAGTTCCCACCGTAAACTGTGCGCACACCCGCTGCAGTCATCAAACTAACTTCATTGGGGCCGACCCTCACCACTGGGCGGAATTTTCTCTTTCCAGGAATTTCTTTGTGCGCTTCATAATTGGCGAAATGGCGATCATGATAGTAGGTTGTGTAGAGCTGGTTTAATCGTGACAAAGGAGTGGACCAGTGTAGTGTGGGAACGTGAGACAATGGGTCTCGGGCCAAAACATATCCAAAATACAGAATCACACTGCATATGAAAAATGTCCCTATTACCTGGGGACTGCTCGTTTTGAAATTGCATATTGTCGTTTCTTGGAACTGCAACAAGTCCACGGAATGGATAGAGAATGAGGGCCAAGTGGTGGCATTCAATAGATCCGATTGCCAATACTTGAACATCTTCAACCACGTGCAGTTCAGCTTTAATGTTGAAACTTTGGAAAGGTGGAAATGATGTTGAGATGAATGCAGATAGACACGTATATATATTTCAACTCTAGAAATTGCGTCGGGCTACCTACCGTACTACCAAGGCACGGACTTGCACTCTGCATATCCAAGGAAGCCCCGATAAGCGGGTCCTTCCTAAGTCGTATTTCCGAGGCAATTGAAGTATTCAAGTTCTCTCTGATGCTATACAGACCGCTTCCACTAGTTAAGTATATATAGCGGTCCCCTCCAAGGTTGTAATCATTCCAAAGTCGATCGATACATATTTGAATTTGTATACTCGTTTGACAGTCTATCTTTTTGAAGCTTCCATCAATCACCAAACGCGAGTGAGATCCTCCGATCAATGTTGAACATGATTTCTTCAAAGCCTAAATTGGCCCCTAAAGCACAAAAAAACCTGAACAGATTGGGATTTCAGAAATGGTCTACCTTTTGGCTATGTAAGTTGATCGAAATATCTCCTCTCTTTTGTTACCTTTTCAAGGATTGAATGTTGATTTTGAAACCCAAGGGGCCGTTATTGGAGGTTATTTTGCCGCCTTTAACATTTGGAATATGAGAAAGCTGGATTTTGAAGGCTCATTCCAAGTCAATGCTCTACCAGGCGAATATTCGTGGATGACCCGAATAGCCGGATATAAAAGTAAAACCTCAATTGCTCTTGTTTTATCTTGACTCTTGAAATTTCGCAGTTTCTGACGGCCACTCCACAGCATTATTTCGTGCGCATCTCGCATGTGTTCTGCGTAGGTCTAAGTACAGATCTTGTTGATGATCTTGGCTGACTTTGTCGGCCTACAGCTTGCTCGGTAATTGCACTCTTGCAATTCATCCCTCAATTTCGCAATGTATGTGTGACTTATGGGTCCGTCCCCGGAAATGCAGAATCGAGTCCACAGAAGTGGAACATTAACTTCTTCTTCAGAACTACATGTCAATCCACCGGAGCCTTGGCGAGGCATTTTTCATCATGATGGGATTTGGGGCACCAAGCGGCATCATGGTCGCTGTGCATGCATTTGGCGCAGCTGAAAACCCCTCAGTTCGCTTATCTATCATGCTAACAGGCGTGCTGACCATCTGTTTCCTTGCCACCTCATTTTTCTGCATCGCGACTAACGTCACTCTATCACGTCTCCGCCTCAAGCTCCACGGGGCATCCAATCCCGATGCTCGAGATCTCTCACGATACAGAGCGATCGACATTCGGCGCCACCGAGAGTTTATCCTTCGAACACTAGCTGTAATGTCGACCGGATCATTCTCCTCAGTGTATCTAATTATACCAGAGGTTATGGGCTGGACCCTCGGCTACGTGGCATTCTCTTGTGGTACCTTGATCGACGATCTTGCTGTTTCCCCTGAGCCATCGCATTTATGGAAGACTTACCCCGCTTGCATGGCGGAGAATGGCGGTCATGCAGGTACTATTGTCGCCGTGAAGGCTGATCTAAGTGGATCCCTCGAGGAACTCACTGCTTGGGGCCGTGCGGGAATCGGCATGGCCTTCTGGGCTGCCCTAGTTCTGCACTTAATCTTGGCAGAGATATACGTGAGATCCTTGACCGCTGTTTGCCTCTTACCGAGATCCGTGAACTAAGACTGTGGCTGCAGATTCGAATGAAATCCAACGATGATGATAGCCGGATGGTCTCTAAGCCCATGCACATCGGACCTAGTCACATTGCATAGCCGAGGTCAAAGCGGATGTATGTTCCAGGTAGGTAGTTTAACACTATCACAATCTGTGAGCAAAGAGGGGTTGGATAGACTCGATGTGTAGAGTGCAACATGATTACGGGCGCCTCTTACACCCGTGGGCGTGTACGGGCCGGGCCTAGGTGGAGACAAAACATATGGTACAGATACGTTACTTGAATACAAAAAGTACAACACTGAAAAGTTGACATACAACGATACCATACTCGTAATTGTGTAATATTCCAAAATCTCAATACCTAGGTATTGTATTCAGATGTCGGTAAGTATTACTGTACTCTACACCTCGGCAACCTTGAAAGTATTGACGGCGCGAGGACGTGAGAGGCAAAATGAGAACTATTGGAAGGAAAGAACATCACTTTGAAGGTGAAAAGCAATGTACGTATATTGTATCCAAGTAGCCCTAATTTCGCATGCACCTACACCTGGGAACCTTCTCCTATATTGATCACAGAATTCTTAACACCATGTGCGATACAAAATTTCTAAGTGATATTCATTCCAAGTTACTCAAAGTCTCTTGGAAAGACAGAGATGAATGTTTTTTGACCCGGCAGTAGGGAATTACCAAACCAACTGCTTTCTTCTGGCTTCTCATCCCATTTTATCTCAAATCGTAGAGTCATCTCGGCAAGTATAAGTTTAAGGATATCGGCTGCAAGGAATCTTCCAGGACTTGAGGATTCATTAGACTGTCAATCATTCAAAAATGTAAAGATATCAACACTCACCATCCATGCTTGCCATGGCCAAACTGAAGGAAAGTGTTGCTAGTGGCAGTCAACAATGATCCTCGTGCTGTATTCATATCATGGCTCTCTCGGAGCTTCAGGAAGCGTAAACCGTCGAACAACTTCGCTTCAGGATAAAATTGATCATCGTTGTGTATGGCGTTAGAAGGAAGCCCTACCGTTGTGCCGAACGGTAAATGGGTGCCATCTGAAAGGTTGATGCCACTCGGAGTCATAACCTGAGCCAAGGAGGAGAGAACAATTAGCACTGTATTGGACTTGATTGCACGTATATTGTCCAATCTTTATTTTGTCTCTTCTTGTTTTCGTTCCTCACCTTTCGTCGCATTTCAAAGCAAGCGTCCCCGACAAAGCGCATGCTCTCTTTCACAAAACTTTCCGTTTTCCAGAGATTATCGACCTTTTGCTTGTTCCATTCACTCTGATCGACATGTAGTATGTTGCGGGCTTCAGTATAAATCACCGACCAATAATTGGCCTCAGGCAGTCGCTCCATTATTGAGACGGCATTGAAGAGTGCCACGTTAACGAGAAAGACCGAGACAAAGTAGGACATTAAGATGCGGGTAACTATCATTCTCGGCTCAAGCTCGATTGATCGCTCTTTAGAGTCTTTCAAAGATGCTTGACAGTCAATAAGCCATTGTAGTAGATCGTCCTGCCAAACGAGAGTTAGTCATGTACTTGTTGCATCGAAGAATCACATACTGGCTTATCTTGACTCTTATTATTTCCTTCCCTCAGCTGCCTCAACCGCTCAGTAATTATAGGCATGAGCTTTTTCTCAACTTCAGTCCTGTACTTGTCTTGAGATCGACGGATGATTGGACAAAGCCAGCTTTTTAGCTTTCGAGGCACAAACCTGAGTACAGACATTGTAAAAAAGACTTGCTCTGTATGTTTGGTGATACTAGTCTGAAATTCTTCATCATTGGCTACACAGAGGAGATTAGCTACAAAGATCGGAATACAAGTGAAAGGGTCAAGAAGGCCCATCTTACCCAAGTCATTTCCAACGAATACCACGCTCACCATGTTATTAACCACGTTGAGTAATGAATCAAAGAGATTGACAGATTTCCACTGTTTCGTTTTTGCGGGACCCCATTCTCGATCCAGAGTATTTCTGAGTTGGTCAATCATCTCGGGCATGAAACGCTGAGCACCAGATCCCAAATGGCGCCTCATGATGGTGGTTTGCAACGGAAGAGATAATATACGAGGAGAGTAAAAAGCATGTTCAGAGAAAACGATGTCATCAAGGGCATGCCAGAATGATAGATCGGTTTCTTTGGCCAGGATGAGCTCTGAGGTCATAGATGGAGGCAGTACGACCAAAGATGGCTCTTCTAAAAGACTAGATACCATGAATGGTCGATTTTCACGTGAATACTGTGATAAATTAGAAGATAATCTCCGACATGTTGTAAGCAATTTGCACAAACTAATTGATAGCCTCTGTCAATCCAGGTTTTGCTTTTGAAGACACTGGCTATCCGGGAGAGAAGGTTTGACATCGGATGCGATGGCCCAATACCGACCATAGGGAGTGATAAATTGGGAGATAGCCATTTGTAAAGTGTGAGCGTTGCGAGGAACGCTAAACTGCAAAGCAGCAAGTGAAGTGACATGCCGAAATGAGACTGTTAACAGTTTTCAGAGTTATACTGTTGTCTAAGAAGGTATGTTATGACGGTGCTCCAAACTTCGATATGCTAGAAAGTGTTGAAATACCTAGTCACATTGATAAAAAAGATAAAAAATGCAGAACAAGGAATGGAGACGCGAAGTTGGAGACTCAAGCTGCAGTATTCTGTGCGCAACCCCAAAATTACGCGATCTGTATTCAAACGCAAAAAGAACGGTAAAGTACACAGTACATAACACACACCGTTACCTAAAGGTTGTTGAATCTCTTCGCCGTTTCTCTTTCATTTGATTGTCATTCTTTTCCTTTCTCAATGCTATTTACCTTCACCTCTGGCGCCAGCATGGAAACACAACTGTTCACCGCCGTGGTGGGAGCCCTGCTGCTGCTCCTTACACTACGATGGATCATTTACCAACGTTTTCCCCTATGGGCATTACCACATACATCGTTTTCAGCTAGATTCAAGTCAGCAATTGACACTCCACCGGGTGTTCTTTCTCAACAAATATCTTCCACTGTGTCAAAGAGAGGCCCAGTGGTGCGAATTGGACAAAACGAGGTTGTCGTTACGGACGCCTCACTAGTCAGAACACTCTATGCCAGCTTCTTGAAATGGCCAGAGTGGTATGAGAGTCCAGAAAAGAAGCTGTTCTATGGGTATATTACGTTTTATATTAGATCAACATGATTGACTGGGTGCTGATTTGAATCAAAGGAAATCGTCGCTTTTTGGCATGACACGTCCGAAAGATCATAGTGCGCGACGACGAATTCTCAGCAACGTCTTTTCAAAGTCTTTGAGAGACTCCTCTCATGTTAGAGATGTGACTCGTGAAATATTAGTAGAGCGAATGATACGGCAAGCGGAAATTCCTCATGCGTCCTCCGTGGTTCGAGACGTACGACCTGTGCATGAAGCCTTTGATATGGATTTCTTGACTGCATTTGCTTTTACACCTAAGTTCTCAACTATATTTTTGAATGACAAAAACAAATTTATCCAGTTCTGCTCATGGCTGAAAGACTTTCGTGTTGGCTCTCCAGATGCAGCGAAAATTGCCAAGTGCAAGCTGGAAAACTGGTGTCTGGAAATGTGCCGTGCATATCGAGCGGCAAACCTAGCACCTACTCATCGAAGAGTTAGTCATTGCACTGCAGATGCACTCTACAGTGCTGGATTACAAGAGGAAGAGGTCGCTGCGGAGCTGCTGGACCACTTCAGTAAGAGTTTGGTCCAACCGTCCATTCACGACGCTAATTGATGTTGTAGTAACTGCAAAGAAGAACTTGGCTGTCGTGCATACGTACAGTGTCTATATATTATCTATCTACACTGATATTCAAGAGCGGCTTAGATCGGAGTTGAAACCGTTTTCCCTCGATACTCTTTCTATCGATGATCTTGATTCACTGCCATTTTTCAATGCCGTCGTTTGTGAACTGATGAGAACACACACGGAAGTCAAAGCTCTCACACCTCGCCTGATTCCAGATGGGGGTTATTGGATCCCTCGACATATCACAGGACAATCTATCTTCCTTCCAGCCGGTACTGTTGTGAGCTCCACGCGAGAAGCCTTGCATTTGAATGAAGAGATTTTCCCTCAGTCATTATGCTTTTGGCCAGAAAGATGGCTGGATAACAAGGAATTCGTTGACCCCAGGTTGTCTGGTAGAATCCAGCCTCAGGAGATGAGGAATCACCTATGGTATTTTGGGAGTGGGACACACGGATGTGTCGCGCGAGAATACGCTCTTTATGGTTAGATATACTAAGCTTCCTATTTTGTTTTGAGGGTACTGACGCTCCAGAAATCAAAATGCTCCTCGCAGCAACCTATATGGAATTTTCAACTTCCATTGTCGATTGCCCAGAGGGTATTGCCTATGACCAGTACGTTTATTGTCAAGCCTAGTCATATCTTGTTAACGATCATATGTTTAGGAGACCGGTACTGTTTCCGCCTGTTGAGGTTCCCGTGCGATTCCAAAAGGTGGTCTGAGTAACGAAAAATACGGATCGATTCAATACCATTGAATACGAGTGGAAAGTAGTACACATGAAACCGTCGGTATCAGTAGCAGTTGACTTGAATCCACAATTTGATGCACGTCCCTGTGCTGATACTAGTATGGTATTGTTTCACTGTTGTCGTGTATGTTACAGCCTAACTAAGGTGCTACATAAATGAGCCTGTACTCCCGGTTCTCATGCAAATTGGTAGCTCTGCATTTCTTCATACAATTTCTTTACACGATGACTTCTAAAAGGGGCCCCGAAAATGAGATAGAGCCACTTCTCACCAAGTCCTCTGATCCCACTGAAAAGCAACCTAGATTCAAATCCTTATGGATTCAATGCCGGAAGCCATCTGTATGTTAAGCCTAATGTGTTCGGCCAAAGATGTGTCTCAAAATGTGTCGAGATGCTAACTCTCATACCAGGCGATGTGGCTACTGCCTATGTATACTCTGTATTCAATCACTGCTGGCAGCTTGATTATCCCAGAATTCAATGCCACATTGGGACTGATTTGCCATCAGCGACACTCCCCAGACAAAACCAATTTCCAGTTTGACATGGAGCGATGTGACGGAAATACACAAGTGCAATCCGACTTGTCACAATTTTACATTTATGGTCAAGTGATTTCTGGTATTCTGGGGGCCATTGCAGGCCCCAATATCATGGGGTTCTCTGATAAGATCGGCCGCAAACCCATTCTAGTATTCAGTGTACTTGGACCATTGCTAGCCGACATTATTGTTCTTGCTGCCTTGTATTATCCCAATGAAGTCGATGTGAAATGGCTTCTCGTTGGATACGCCATGGATGGTCTCAGTGGTTCGATTATCACTGCGACGACTGCTTCGCAGGCTTACATATCGGATATCAGTACGCCAGAGGCTCGAGTATCAAGTTTCAGTTTCATACAAGCAGCATTTATGAGCGCCCTTGCACTCGGTCCTTTGATAGCAGGTGGCTTACTCACGATTTCTGATTCTCTGATTCAGGCGTATTGGATAGCATTTACAATCCATCTGTCGCTGATAGTGCTTTTCGCTCTGGTGCTCCCTGAGTCTCTTGGATCAACGTCAGAGCCTCGAAGTACAGAGCAAAATGCAGCAAAACAAGGCAAATCAGAAGCTGAGCCGGGTTTCTTTGGGGTTATCTCTTCTGCTCGCGCTCTCATTCCGTCGGATCGATCCTCTCAAACGAACATGTTCATTCTCGCGTTCACAGAGGCAGCTGTATTCGGAGTGATCATGGGACTCACTCCCTTGCAACTGGCCTACTCCGCATATATGTTCCATTGGAGATCTTCTGCTCAAAGCGCATTCCTCACCGGTGTGAATCTATGGAGTATATTGGTTCTTGTTGCTATTTTCCCGCTATTTGCGTCACTCTTTCAACGGCGTCAAGAGTCCGAGAGTCAATCTGAAGGCCAAGCCCAAACGACATTTGGTCCTGGGGAGCTGGGCACAATACGTACCTGTCTTCTCTTGCAAACGGCAGGATACATTACAATTGGGTTGTTCCCCTCGTCTCTCGGAGCCATTGCTGGATCACTCATTGCAGGATCTAGTGCTCCTCTTTCGCCTATCATGTCATCTTGTTTGACTAAGATGGTTCCCGAGGAGCGCCAGGGAGCGCTGCTGGGCGCGCTAAACTTTCTTCATGCGATCTTCCGAATTCTTATTCCTGCTGGCATGAACTACGCATATGGAATCATAGTTAAGACGCAGCCTTATGCTATCTTTACCCTCCTGGGCGTTGGATCCGGTACTTTGCTGGTAGCCAGTATGTTTCTTCGACACAAGAGTGAGTTTTCTGATATCTTCCGATGTCTACGTGTCCCCCATCTAATCACCAAGTGACGCATAGCTCTCATTCCTCCCAGTGCTCCGGCATCCAAGTAACAAACTCATATTCGGATAGTCAGAGTAGCATTTAGCATCCCCTGCACATCCATTCAGGCGGGAGAAAAGTACCGAAGAAAGGAGTCTGACCAGGAAGTTGCTTCAATCATCTCGAAAATGTTCTATGACAACATGAGAATAGAGTTAATCAGCTTGAGCTTGCTAGTTCTAGATAGACCAAGATACTATACACTGTCTTGAGAGAATTTGACACTAAGTCCATAAATAGTAGCTTTGCCATTTCCGGATTAGAGAGGGGCAATAGCTCACTCGTCAATTCAGAGAAGTAACCTGTTCTCCTCTGCAGAGAATCAATTTACTTTCTACATCATCGACCGAAGCGTTTGATCAGTGTGTTCACACACGGTTCGCTATGATGGCTGAACAATATCAACACATGAATGGGGTTCCTTATCTCTTCTCTAATGATTCGACGGCCTATCACACTGTCGACATTTGCGAAGTGAACACATCGCTCAAAGATTCAATTCCCCGCTTTTGGTTAATGTGAGTAATATGGAACCTTTGACGAAGCAAGGGCTAACCTCATGCTAGCTACATTCATGGAGGGGGCTGGAGCGACCCCAATATACAATCCAACAGTTTCCGCGATATACAAAGCGAGCTTTTGAAAGAAGAAAAAGTTCTGACTCATATCGCTGGTTTCGCCGCTGTCAACTACCGTTTGTCTGGTGATCCGTCGGAGGGGCGCAACGCGCGACACCCTGACCATCTTGAGGATGTGCAGCGGGCTATTGAGTTCCTCAATTCTCGATACGGATTTGAAGACCGGTATATTCTTTTCGGGCACAGTGCAGGAGCTACATTGGCATTTCAATTTGCCGCCGAGCCCGAATCTTCATCAACTCCAAAGAAGCCGCTGGCAATCTTGGGGGCTAGCGGTATTTACGACTTTCGAAAACTGCTGAGCTCCATATGGCCGGTCGTTGAGTATAGAGAAGAATATTTGCATATGTTGGAAAGCGCCTTTGGACCAGGGGGCTATAATTATTCGGAAAACAACGAAGGTCCCGATGGTTGCACTTGGGACCTTGCATCCCCTGCGAAAGCAACGACATATGGATCATCGTGGTCCAATGCACAATTCGTGATGTTGGTGCATTCTCCTCACGATGAACTCGTTCCTTTGGATCAGTCTACGCAGTTTGAAACTGTGATGGAATGTTCTCTTCCCCCCGGAGCGGTATGTCATACTCGGTTTGACTTGGCTGGTTCGCATGATGATGTTTGGAGAAAGCCAGAAGAGATAACCCCTCTCATTTCGGAACTGGTCATGTTGCTGGTAGAAAAACAATATGTTTAGTTTTTAGGATGAGAAACGTCCTCGTGGAAATTTTCACTATCTTTAAGGAATTGGTACGCCCAAGTAGTCTTCATATTGGGTCTAGAAATCTACCTTCGCTTCGTCTTCCACTCCTCTACAATTCCACGGTACGCCTTTGGCGTATAGACACTTGTAAGCTCATTGAAAAACCCGCCACCCATCCGATACGGACAGAGACCCAGATCTCGGAGAAGCATGTCATTGTACTGGTATATGGTCAGTGTATGTCTGAAAATGGGGCAAGGCAGAAAACTAACAGTGAGGGTATCCACACCAGGGCCAACCCCAGTCAAACCTCCCCAGACCACATCTTCTGAGATATCTCTGTCTATTTCATTGCGAGTCAGCCCATTGAAATTGAGGGCATCGTGATTTTCATCGGCACTTTTGGAACACTTGGTATTATCTAGACCACCCGTGAGAAAGGCAGCTGCCCATAGCGCCTGAACTTCCGCCACAACAGCAGTGGTAGCTGTGAGAACAAAGCCCAGAGCAACAAAAGATCGGTCGCCTTCTTCAACAAGTTCTGGAGCTACCATGCGACGGAATAGTCGATATGGGCTGTTTTCAAAATCATCTGTTGGCGCCGTGTCATTGAAGACCACATCCTTTGGCGGTTTACTGTTCGGCCCGAAAACCCGCCGGATGCGAGATGCAGACACTGAATCAATATTTTCCCAGTATTCAATCAGCCTTTTTATTTCGGCGTCAATCTTGATATCTTGGCCGACATCCGTGTTCGTAAGGATAGTTCTCGGAACTGGACATGAGAGTCCCAATTGAAGGATCAGTGACGGAGGCGAAAACTCTATAGGAACAGTGGGCTTCCATCCCGTGGCTTGAATAAGAAGATTAGTCAAAGGGATAGTTGTACCATCAGCTAGAGTGATGACGACTCCATCGTTTGAAGACAAATCCCCAGAGACCGACTCGATCACGGAACGGTGAATGTGTACATTTGGTGCACGTACAGCGTCCCAGAAGCCACGCTGGTTGGCAATTCCCAATGGGGCTCCACAGTAGATTATACTTGATATGTCAGTAATCCCATCAGAAAGAGAGGCGAAATTGAGGAGCTTACCTGTTCGTTGGACGGAGCCGCTCCATCTTCCCGTCATCAAGAGCACTGCTGTATCCAGCGAACTCTGCCCACGACTTATCAAGTGCCTTCCAGAATCTTCGCACAAAATATCGGCCTATCGGATTCCCGTGAAGAATACGGGCTAGCCATGAGCCCTCCGTTGTAAGCTTCCAACCCAAGAAATTAGACGAGCGACGAAGGGTAAGACGTTTCGGTACCAATGGTGTACACGGGCTGAGGACGCCCACAAAACGCGTACTGGCGACTTTGTCACTGGCTATACTCTGGCCATTGGGCATATTGGAGCGAGGCGGGGACATCCAAGCAGGTCCGGAACCCCCATCACGAATGATCCAGTGCACCTGCACCGGCTCAATCGCATCAGTTTCGTCTAATCCCCTCAAATGAAAACTAGGGTCTTTTGAGTGAAGCGTTGCAAACATGTGGACAAGATCAAAGGAAGATTTTGCACCGCCGTAGATTGCAACCCGCCGGGGTACACGGCTTGGTCTCGCGCTATCATTTGATGAACCTGCCTCCCCCGATTGAGCATCTTGTTCCGGTATCGGCTGGTAGCCCAAATTATCACGGCACCATTGACCGACTTCTTTGGCATGGATGACATGGTCTGCAGAGGCAGAGGGCTGGCCACTTGCAGGTGAGAAATTCAAGATATTCGGCACGGATGTCAGTCCTGGTGACAGGATAAGTTTGTCGCAGATGATAGTTATAGATCTTGTCTGCGAAGGTTGTTCTGGGTGAATGACTATTCCCAACTCCCATTCCTTAGTTGGCAGGCGGCTGATTTTGGTCACCTGTTTGTTGTCCTCTGGTTAGATCGTATAATTTTCTTTCTCCTTGAGGTGACTAACCTGCCAATTGAACCGCATGTACTGAGGCAGGTGCCACTTATGACTCCAGGCTGTGAGATATCGACTCAACTTCCACCCTGGAATGAAGCGATCCTCCACCGGAGTGTCTTGATTTGTCTGCTCTTCGCCCTCGACTTGTTCCATGGCCTGCTCCGACAGAGGCATGTCGCTGAACTCGTACAGACCCTCCGAGTTTTGGCTCAGTAGATTTGGATAAAGCCGCTCCTCGGCCCATGTTCCCCCAAGGCTTGACCCAGATTCTAGGAGAAGAAGCTCAGTTTCATCTTGTGTTGATTGAGAATATTTCGGTTTCTGGAAGGATTCGGGGACCTCGTCGGTATTTTGGCATTGCTGGTGGTTGTTTGGATAATTAGGGTCCACCACTTGGAGGTATGTTTTGGCAGCAATGAGGCCGTATAGTCCTGGAATGAAGAGATTGTCAAACTTATCGATCTCAATAACTTGAACGTATTAATTTTGCATACCAGCACCAACAATAACTACACGCGGCATTTTGAGAGGCCCTAAGCGTAGCCTATGTGAATGCTTCGGCCGATTGACCACGATGATGAGACAAGAGTACTGGGAGCTTCCAAAGAAACAAAAAGTAAAGCTTTCACCCACAGCTCCCCATATCAAGGACCTAGGTATGGGCACTTCCGGAATTACCTTTAATTTACAAGCGTAAAGTACACCAAGGTGCAGCTTACCCCGAAAAGCGTACAGTGGAACAAGGCTCTCAAATTACCGTATAAATACCATACCATACGTTGATTATTGTAATTCAAATACAGAGCCATGAATATTTCTATACCGAGATATGGGCCTCGGGGAACCTCGAAATACAGTTGCCTGGGTGGTAATGTATGGATGGATACCAGGTAAGGTTAGTGATTTCCCAAAAATATTTCAGTTGGTACCTGAGGTACGGCAAACTCCAGAGGGTAAATGAATCGTTGTGATGTATCGAGCGCCTCGTGGGGCCGTGGTTGCAGATGTGCAGGGGCGAATATACGCAGGTGGCGTCAAACAATCTCACGTGCAGTACGTAGCTAATCACTAGTTGCATATGCATCATAGAAAATTTATATTTACCTCACTTTTGGTTTACTGTATGCAGCGCGGCTTGCCCCTCCAGCCACTAAACTTACTTTGTTTTGTTATCTTCAGGAGGAGCTATTGAGCTTTGCATATACATGTGTCATTTTGAGATGCCCAATGCATTTCTAGAGTATCATCGGGTACCTAGTAGCCAAGGATGCAGGAGGGTCATCTTAGAAGAGCCGAATATTCAGGTACAGCTAAGGTACAGCTATTGAGGTCTACAGGTTCTTGTCTGTTGCCCGCGGGGTTAGATAATAACCCACTGGTTGGAATTCTAGCGGATATCCAATTTCTCACAAACCACAATAACATGTAAAATTTTCATAATAATATAGCTTGAAAATGTTGAAACTGAGGATCTAATCTAGTTCTACTCAATCTGTAGTAGACAAACCACGTTTCTTGGTCAGTCGCACGAGTGTCTCCTGGATTTCTCTTCCATAGACCTGACCAATGACATCCAATGGACCCACAACAGATGATCCCTTCTCCCCATCACTAGATGGAGAACAAATCTGCGAAATCTTGAGACCAGGGTCATGAAGGAACAGGGTAGAGCGTCCTTGGTCCTCACTCGTAAAGATTCGCGGTGAGGGAAACACGCCAACCAAAAGGGCATCAAGACCATGCCGTCGCTCTTTCAGGCGCTTGAGAAGCTTGTCTGCGCGGTCAAAGATTCTCCATTCAGCGATATCATCTACCTGAATCAGTAAAGGGCGACCACTCTGCTCGCCCTGCCCATGTCGAGACTTGGTAGTTGCCTGATGCAATGCAGGATACATCACCTCAAAGACATAAGCCATTAGTGCAAGACTGCGAAGATCTTTGGGCCTTTGGCTATCACCAGAGAGTTCCAAGAATTCTCGCCATGCTGCCTGATAGGGACCAATCCACTCCAGCACAAATAGCATGTCGTTCACATTCGGTAACTCTCTTCGATCAAGCACACATAGACGCAAAAGCTGAGTTGCGGCTATAGTGCCTGAGGTGACTTCTACCTGAACATGACCGCCCCGTCGACCGACTTCCTCAATGATGGTTTCTTTCAACAAGGTTGCGACCTGCCGATGCCGGCGATCAACCAGTCTGAACCACTCTTCCACGTATTCGAAGCTCACAAGTCCTGCTTCAAGAAGCTCCAATGGGTAGCAGTAATACTGGAGAGAAGGCACATCCAGTCTCACAACAATTGGTCGAGAGCCAGCTACGCCCCCTGTGCTAGCTGTAAGGGCCAGGCCTGCAATAGTCATCGCCATCCGTGCGCATGTTTCAAGCTCGTAGAAAGTTGGAGCCGTACTGTATGGCAGTGGGGGGATGACTGTCTTTGCAGTGTCATTGGACGTGGATAGTCCATTTGTAGGGATGAATCCTAGCAGGCGAGATGAGAACAGGCATATGCCTGTACTGATTGTGATAGGGCGATAAAGACCGTTGGCGGAGTCCTTCAAATCATTTGCTTTGATATTGGATGAACGGCAATTGACGAATTGATCCAAAGAGGGGCCAATTGGTGTCTGTAAATTGACTTGAGCGAACACAGTATTCACTGTAGTTGACTTCGTGTTTGGAGGCGGTTCCAGTCGCTCCATGAAAGCACATCTCTTGTCATGAAGAACAACCGAGGAGATTTGGTGCTCTCGGGCCTTTGTGTACGAGCCTATCGTACTGAATTTGGTTGTCGGAGTAAGCAGAGAGTGAATCTTTGAGTAGGCTTGTATCACTCGGGCGTGAAGTTTGCCGGAGGATTGCTTGTTCCCCTGGTCTATAACATCTTGAAGATAAGAATATCCCAAGACATCTGGGATCAGTCTATCATCGTCGAGCTTGTGGTAGGTCACACTAGACTGATATTGGTTTTCACGCAGGACGGCTACCAGTGTTGAGTTGTTTGAATGAAAGATCGGTTGGATAGTGGCATCCTGATGAAGACATGGGTCTGCCTCAACGATACAGTGTAAGATAGGCGCCATTTGTCACAGATGAAAACAAAATTCGAAGATGTAAATTTTGCTCAAACGATCACAATTGACGACCTGGAGAGTTTGGAAAGTTTCAGTCTGCATGTACAGACACTGTAGATCTCTCCAACTCGAAGGTCAAGGTACGGTATGAAGATTTTGATATTTTGATACCTCCTCTGGGGCTTTACGTACAACTTAGCATCAAATTATATCTCGCATGTGGCCACTCTCCTCACACCTGATATGATGGGCCTTGAAATTTGACTGCAGGTCTGCAATACCCAAAAAGACTTCCAATTGTCTCTCATTCAACATCCACACGCTGCGGATACGTTAATGCATTGGGTGCACTACCCAAACATTGGGCTCCACATACGAACCGATCTTGGAGACGGGGTCATATCGGACAGGGACCAGGGCACGGGGAATAGGCACTTCGACATAGGTCTCCGACGAGGTCGCCGTGGACGACGCAGCTAAGACAGCCAAGTCACACCCTGTCCAGTCTTTCCATTGATCTTCATGCGCCGCAATTGTCATACTGCGGGGAGCAATTCGAACAATTTGGCCACCATAGGCGAGGTGTTTCCGCAGCCATGGATCATACGGGATACGACCCTGAGGATGCGCTTGATCATCAATTTCCCAATGCACGTACTCCTCCAAAGGCACCATGGGATGCTCGCTCTTCCTGGTTGGCCGCAATGGGACGACCAAGGCTTGGAAGTGGGCCCGACTAGCGAGCGATCTCAAAGCCTGGATCAAGATATCAGCCAGCCTGTGCTGTCGATGAGCAGGGACTACTGTGACACCGAGCGCGGACAGCAAATTGGGGGGCTGTCTATGGCCGGCATGGTAGTTTTCAATGCCACTCTGCAGGACAGCTTCCCATCCACCATCGGGCAAGTCGTTGAGTGGACAATATACTGGTATCGAATTTCCACAAGCCACCACAGATTCGTGTTTGTTCCCCACATCTTTGTGGAGTATCATCAGCTGGTAAGATGCGAAAAACGGAATCGCTGTCAATTGTGACCAGTATTTTTCTGAAATAGGCGTCGATGTAATGAATTGGGGCCAGAGAGAGCTCATTGGGTGAGAGGGATCAAAGAGGGAGTTGTACATGTCTGGCCGAGCTGCTGCGGTTTCGAGGAAGAATCCCGGAGGCAGGCTGATGCCCAGAGACTGCTGTAGATCAACACCTGCCATCTCTAGCTGTATAATAGAAGCCGGCGAGAAAACTCAATTTTGTCAAGGCAGATTATCTATTAACCAGAGCTCACAAGCGGCTTTTTGGTCACCTAGTCTGGCCTCTTTGTGATGCGTATGATTGACAGTAAGAGCAGGACAGTCCCGGTGGATAAACTGTCCCCAGAAGTACATGCAGACAGCTTCTGGTAGCCTATCCCGCCAACTTCCCCAATTTTCCGAACGTGACAAAGTCACTGATACCAGCATATTCCCAGTGCGTTGGCGGCAGCGGAGTTGTTCGGTGTCTGAAAGCTAGTGTACTGTAAGCGCTCGGGCGTGAAATCGGACATTATGCAGCAGCATCTCGCTTTGCATGACCCCGCAGAGATAAAGGTCGATCCCTTAGTATTTACATACCAGGCGGTATGGATGACGGTATCCGTGGTTTTAACGGAAAGATAGTAGAAGTAAGTATGGTATGTAACGGCTGTAATTATCACGGTATTGTTACGCCTTCGAATAACCCGTATCAATGGCTCACAAGGATCTAACTCAAAGAATGAGCTGAGAGGTGAGAGGTCGAATATCTAGAAATGCTGGCTGAGTCGCATTGTCCCTTACCAGACCACACCGCTCATAGATAGATAGCTGGACATCCAACTGGAGAATTCGAGCCCTATCATCAATCATGATTGATTGGAGCGAGGTGAATAACAATATTCAAACCAATGGGTTGCTGGGGTCATCGATTCAGAGTAAAAGCTTGATTCTCCGAATGCCATTCTATATTTCTATAAATGTTCAAATGCTCACTAGCAGCAACCAGGTGCCTATACATCTGATTCCAATAAAGGACGCTCGGCCTCGTCTAAGTTACGGTCTTGTATCCGAATTGAGGTTACTGCCAGCAGAACCGTTATAAAGAAAAGTCCTGCCGCAATATATGGCATGCTCAACCACCCAGATCCTAGCTCAAAGCCAATTTGCATTAAACGGGCAAACAGTGGACCGGCAACGAGCCCTCCGATCGATTTGGCTGTCGCTGCCACGGAATGCAGGGATGCGATCTGATCCGGCTGCACCAGGGATGTTGCGAAGCTACTCATCGCGGTGTCAAACCCAGATCCCAATGATAAGAATGCCAATGCCAGCATGTATAGCACTGGACTGCCCGCTGTAGCAATAGAGAAGTATCCGAAGACATTGAAAAGACCACTCGCTTGGCAAAGTTGTTTCGCTTGGGCTGTGACGCTGTCGCGGCTAATGCGGCGAATGAAAGTTGAGGCTGCCGGCATCAGGATGAGATACGTTATCAAGCTTGAACCTTCACGTATCATGAGAACAAGGCTTGCCAGTGAGTAAGACCATCCATATTTCGTGGAAGAATACTGTAGCAAAAAGTAGCTCGAGGATTTCGTGATACTAGCTGCCAAATTGACAACTATAATTGGGACCATGTTTCGATTCTGAACAATGAATCGTGTACATTGGGCGAATCTTTGTACAAAATTGCCTTTTTCTTGTGTGATACGTTTTCTGGTGTTGTTATCATCGGATTCTCGTGGTTCTGCATAGCCCAGAGTTTCGGGTAGTAAAAATGATAGAGCCTGAGCTACGGATATCATCCCAATACTGAGCAAGAATGGAGTCCAGGGAGAGCTCAATGCTACCAAGGCTGCACTGGCAGGCACAGCAAGTAGCTTGGCGACAATGAAAACTGAATGTAAGCGGAGCAGGGCAACTGCGCTGAAGAAGAATAATGTCAACAACGGAACAGATTTCGGTATCAAATCCCCATACGGAAGTGAGGTGTTGATGAAAACTGACCGGTCGCGTTCTTCAAAGACATCCATCACCATCACACACATGATGGAATCAATAACCGGCTCCCCGCCACCAATGGATCGCAACAAACCGGATAACCAGACAAGGCGCAGCGGAAAGACGTCTGACCATACACCTACATATTTGAATGACAGAATTAGCCCTGGCGGTTGATATGTGATATCCTACGGCAAGAACCTGAGTCCAACTTACACACAACACGGGTCCAGACCTCACTGAGGAGCATCCCCAGTGTGCAGAGTTGTAAACAAGGCTTGCGTCCCACCCGATCTGCAAGGGTACCGTAGGCTACAGATAGTAGTATGCCTGCTCGAAAATTTGATGAGCGAGTAGCTCAAAATAATGATTCAGTACATTCAACGTACTCGGAAGCGCCTCAAATGTTGTTTTCCATCCATTAATGCGAGCGAGCTCACTCTGAACCAAGGCGCCTCGACATCTACCGTCCTCTACTGGATCCAGATGCAAGGCACTGTCCCAGTTCATTTTGCGGCATATTATGTCTTCAAAGATTTTGGTCTGCGGTGGGACCGATAAAAAGATGGCGAAATTGATGAAGAGAATCAGCAGTGAATTCAGTACCATCACTTCCCACTGCTTCGTAGTCCTATCCATGACGGTCGGCCTGCTGTCTGTCATTTTGGACTACGTGTAGGTGGTTCTCAGGAGAGTGAAGAAGACACATTCCGGAAATGTGGAAACAGCTCTGACTTTGAGGGATCAGATCACTGAGTATGTGACTATTATCAACACATGCCTGGAGGGGGGGGGTGCGGGGGCGGAATGCACCAGTGATATGCTCGTGTCAAATCAAATGACCAATAGTCAGTTGACTCTCACCGGCCGCTATGCCGAATTCAGTGCGCTGTTGTTAGCGCCCGTTTAACGGCCTGACGCAAAGGCGGGATAAGATCGTCACCATCAGCCAATGGACATCAGATAGGATAGATTGTCTGTGTTGGACGAGGCTTGGTTCACATGAAACAGACTCAACACAGTCCCATCTTCGATGATGAACGTGTTTTTCAGGGCAGACTTCACAACTCCGGAGGCAGAACGGAAATTCAGGCATCTGCGTGAACGGATGCGCTAGCCCAGCGGTGAAGATGCGAAGAATCTTGCAGGTGAGTTTGCAACGTGGGTCGTCGCACATAAGACAAGGTGATCCCGGGACCCCCACATGGGCAGTCTTCGACAAGGACACATAGGTGCACCTGCACCCTCCTGTGCTTCTTTCAGGGGCAGTTAGTCATGCGTGCATCCCATGGGACAACACACAGTTGTACCGTCACAAAATGTGAAGGCGGTGTAGAGTCATGTGAGCGGTCAAATAAGTTGTCCAGGGAGTAATCGAATCGAAGAGAGTTGGTTCAATACATAACTATATGTATGTAGCTGGTACGTTTCGCTGGGTCAATGACTACGGGCGGCCCACGGACTAATTCGCCCCATGTACTTTTGGGGCAACCTTGCGGGGTAAAAAACAGATACAACTTTACAGCGTAACGTTAATACACAGCCCGGGGCACACATGTGTATCGTGGTAATACATTCCGTATACTTGCATTTGTTCACGGCTCTAGCAAGGTACTGTATTGAGGATATAAACTAACACGAAAACTCAATCTCTGATTCCAATCCATCACCTCATCCTTGCATCTGTGTTAATTGTGTTAATCCATTGTTCCAATAATGATTTTTCTTCTCGCTGCCACTGTGGCAGTCGGAGTTCTCTTCTCGACATGGCGGATCTATCTGTGCCCATGGTCTCGTTTTCCAGGCCCGAAACTTGCAGCCCTCAGTTATTGGTGCCTACCTTCACACTGGACTATTCTATCATCAGCTAACTTGGGTGTGGCTAGGTACGAATGGTACTGGGAAGTTTATCGGCAAGGAAAGCTCACCAGCCACCTGGAGGATCTTCATAAGTTATACGGTGCGCAGCTTGCTACTTTGAATGGATCTAGAAGAGGCTTGAAAGGTTCTTGGCTAATTCAAAGATTCTCTTGTAGGCCCAATCGTTCGATACGGACCAAAACATATCCATTTCAATGATCCAGCCCTCTACAAAGAGATATATCGTCGAAACCCTACTTATGCCAAAGACCCTGGGTTTTATGGTACACCTCAATATTCCTCTGCCTTCCGAGAGACTAATATCGAAAAACATTCTATTCGGCGGCATACACTATCCCAAAGCTTCAGCCCAGCTGCCGTCCAAAAACGCATGCCGATGATCTTACATCACTACAATAACGTCATGAAAAAGCTCACCGGTCTCACTGAGGCGGGACATACCACGATCAATGTCTTCAATCTGAGCCGCTCGTTCTCTGCAGATGTGCTGTCAAATTTTGTCTCAGGTTCCGCCTTCGGGTGCATCAATGAGGATGAGAAGGGATTTGACAGTGGCTTTGTTCGTGCAATCCAATATAGCAGTGACACCTACTTTGAAAACCGTAACCCGTTCTTGCTATGGTGGAGGCAGCTAGCCAAACTGTTGGGCAAGAGTATACCATCTGCGGGTGGGAATGAGAAATTGGACGAATTATCTGTGAGTACTGATCGTCCCGTAAAATCTCTTGTGTACTGTGCAAATCCTGACTGGCTCGTTCCCGGTAGTTTTCAGATGATTTAGTGGAGAACTATCTCTCAAGAAGAGACGGATTGAAACAGGGCGAAGACAATTCAGTGCTTTCTACCCTCCTGAGCTGCAACGCTGGAAATAAAACCCAACCCCTTTCAAAACGCGAGCTTATGGCGGAAGGGAGAAGTCTTCTTGCTGCAGGTGTGAACACTATTGGATTTGCTCTATCAAGCACACTGTTCTATATTGCGCGGGATGAGGAAGTTCAGCTTTTTCTGCAAGCGGAGCTTGATGTTTACGAGTCTCATTTCAGGCAAAATGCGTCTCAGCAGAAAATTGCAGAGCTGCCTTACTTGGTAAGATTCCTCATACTTCTCTTGCTGTAAGATGACTTTTACTAACAGTACTTTGCACCGAAGACCAGCTGTATTAAGGAAGGGCATCGGCTTTCAGGAACTGTGAATGGTCGCCTACCAAGAGTTGCTGGGCCGCAAGGAGTAAATATTGGAGAACATTTTCTTCCAGAAGGAGTACGTGCCTACCTTGATTCCTAGTCAAGCTCACAATCAAACTAACTATGTCAAAAATTACCAGACGGTATTTGGAATGAGTAATAAGGCATGCCATATGTTGCCAGAGGTGTTTGAAAATCCCGAGAAGTTTATGCCCATGCGATGGATTAACAATGATGAGTCCAAGATCCAACTGATGACTGCCAACCTTCACCCATACGGTCGGGGACAGAGACAATGCTTAGGGGAAAGGTGGGATATTAATATTTTCTAAGAAATGATCAACAAGCTAATAGTTTTATTTTTAGTGTCGCACACAACATCATACTTCTTTTGATTGCCGGAATACTGAAGAAGAACACCCTGACGATTGTTGAACCAGAGGCATTTGTTCGGATCTCTACTTTCGAATCATTGCCACAAGGAGGCCGTATCAACATTCATATGCGACCTCGGCGAACTGTTGCCCTGGATTCCTCAAATTTAAACTAGACCACATGATATAGACTAAATCGCTATCTGTTCATGTTTGGCGTGATGATTGAGGATTTCAAAGCCTCGTGCCAATGTGCTGTGCAATGCGTAAATGGTCTTGACTATTGAAGACTTGAAATATTGTGCATTTCAACAGTCTGAGTCTATTAGTACATAGAATGTTCCAAGACAATCTCAACTTGTTGTATATATATTTGCTTCAATATCTCACAGGTATCACATTGTTGAGATTTATGGTGGCCGGCCATGGTTTATGCCATGAATGAGCCATGACGGCAACCGCAGTGATTCATCACCTGGGAAATCTAATCAGGACTAGCTTAAGGCAGAGTTTTCTGGTATATAAGGAGATTCTCACACAAATGAGAATCGCCAGACTTAAACACCTCGGTAATCTATTGTTAGATTATCTATATTGTATGGTCGTACCAGTCATCATTCCTACTTGCATCGTAGCCTTTCAACACACATCTCTTTCCGTGATTTACTGATATAGTATGATCATTGTGCTTGTCTCCTACATGGCTCTTCGCCTTAGATCATTGCAATACGATATGTTTATTTCGTGATCTATATGGCCTCTATCCAACAGACGTAAACGAAATCGTATCGAATTTTCGTTTTCGTACATGCTCTCAGCGATGGAACACCACTTGAGTAATAGCCCTCAGAACTAATCACCTCACTCAGAATTTTCTCTTTCTAATGGTCAAGCCAGCCGCCATGTTTGGCATATGGCTTGAGCCATACCACTCATCGTCTGGGCGGCTCACAGGCTGAACCTCGTAGTTCAACAGAATGAAAGCCATCAACAATTTCAAATGCTGCGATGCAAAGAACCTTCCAGGACTAAAATGCGATAATTAGTATCCATTGAACTAGGACTGTGAACAGCTCACTCACCATGCATGTTTCCCCACACCAAAGGCAAGGAAATACTCGCTCGTCGTCTGCATGCTGACCTTCCTAGCCTGCGTCCCGTCATTTCCCTGGTAGAAGCGACGTGCATCGAAGTCATCTGGCTGGGGATAGAGATCTGGGTCATGATGAATTTGCCAAATCGGCACCGCACTGACTGTGCCATGCTTGAGATGCACGCCATTCTTAAATCGATATCCCGCGGGGTCCATTATCATTCGCTTGCATTCCAAATTGGTATCAGTATTATACCGCAGGCTCTCTTTGAGGAAACTTTCAATTAGGCCCATCTGTTCCGTGTGGCCTTTATTCCACCGCATCCATCGAGCGCCCTGGGCCTGATAATGCTTTTTCGACTGAGTAACCTCGATGGACTCATCGGAAGTAAATATTTTCTCGACTTCCTTCTGCATGGCACTCCAGTACCCAAGTTGCTGGGACTCACAGTGTAGCAGTGACCAGATAGCGTGGGTAAATGCAACTGAAGAGGTGCGGTTGCCGACAAAGTTTAGCGCCAAAAGCCTTGTTACTAGCATTTTGGGATCCAACTCAGCGGCCGCTTGGGGGCTTTTGTTTGCCTCGACTATAAGAGCTTGAAGAAGGTCGGTCTGATAAATGGTATTATGTCAATGATAAGGCATCGCGTACTCGCAATAATGAAGTTTCTCTTACCGGTTTGCTTGAATCTGGCTTGGGTCCAATCATTGACTTCCTCCTCTTGATATCATCCTTCAATATAGAGTAGATTTTGTCGCGACGAGCTCGATTGTGGCGAAGGACATAAGGGGCAAAAATTCTGCAATTATGTCTGGAATTAATGGTCTTTTCACATATCCAGGCGGGGAAACTCCAGTTTTCTAACTACTCACGGACGAAGAAACCGAGGGATCATCCGCAGGATGGTGCGGCATCTCACTACCTCGGGGGTGAAGTTAATGATGGTCTCAATATAATCACGATTTCTGCCTGTTTCTTAAGCGTTTAGCAAACTCATATCAAGATCGAGAGTCAAGGTTAAAACTTACAAAATTCCGGTCCCACATAAGCGCGATTCACATCGCGAGTGATGATATCCAAAAGGCTATAGTAAAGGTTTGGAATTGTCGTCCATTGAGTAGGGAATTTCCAAGACGTCGCAAAAGACGTGGCGACCTCATCTGCCAAAATTTCTACCTCTCTTCCTCCACTCAGTGTACTTCGCAGAGCGCCGAGATGAAGGGGGTTCTTTGTAAAGCGATGCTCGAGAAGAGTATAGGGTGTAAGATCAAGATGCTCAAGACCAGACGTAAAGGACACTCGCTCCTCTGGGGCTGCATTGTATTGGGGGATGAGTGGGCTTGGAATGACATAAACAAAAGAAAACGAATCCATCAAAGAGGGCACTCGAAAGATTTGACCGAGTTTGTTGTGCTGCCATTGCCAAATTCGATGTTATTTTCAACCACTGGTATTGGAAAAGTCCATGACTTACCCTTTGATAACCTTCTCTTATTGGAACATCGCCATGAGCTATAGAGTCGTAGATAGCTCTTGCCCGGCCAAGAAGACCTTTTGGAACTCCCACAACCGGAATGTCTCGATCGAAAGGGACATGAAGAAGCGACCAAACAACGTAGGAGGCGGATAAAATGCAGACCAGCGCGCACGATACTGCTATTGAGGTCCAAGAGGAATGTGTCTCGAAAAACGAAATAAGGCTGGAAGCTAGCATAGTGCCGAATATGTATATTCAAAAATGTGAATGCTATTTCCAAAGTTGCGAAACTGGTCGAGTCTCTGGTTGTTGAATTGAGCACCTGCCCATTGTTGAGTAATAGGACAAAGAGATCCCCAGGTGTGCATCCCAACCTTCGAACCGCATTTCAATATTGTAATACCGAGAGTTTCCGGACATTGTAATATTGGGTCATCAGTACCAAGGTATTGTAATAAAATACATGTATGCACTGGTATTATACGACCGACTACTACGTACACGACTCCTCCCCAGTCCTTAGGTAGAAAGAATACGAGCAGCAATCAAACAGCAGCAAAAAGACAAAGCAATGATCAGACGCAAGTCTGTAGAGATTTAAGCAGCTGGTGGTGTCATTTCTATCTCAATTCAGACCATCTATTGCTATATTGCTCCATTGCTTGATAAAGGCGATACGCCTCCCACCGTCTTCCCTTCCCTTCCCTTCCCTATCTCTTCCCCTTCTCCATCCAAGTAATCATTCCCACCCATATTCCAGGACAAGTTTGGTCTGTTTCCCATCAATGGGCTCACCAAAGGACCATGGTCATCAATATCAATCAAGCAAATGGTTCTAGTCAATGGAGCAGCCGCTCACAAGCCCACCACTGCTTCTTTCATTCAGCTTGTATCGCGGCTCCAGACACATAGTAAGGCAACTAGCCAAGCATGCCGCCTGACCGAATGTACCAGATCCCTCCCAGAGGGAGTGCTACCAATCCGACGATTTTGACACCATTTTTAATCACTCGCCGCCATCTGTTCCAGTACATCAAGTTATGTGTTTGAACGTTGCTTTCGCCTGTACAAACGTGCGGGAATTCCTTAGCTGGAACAGGCAAGTCCAAAAACTCACATAGAGGGTCCCAGCTTTGGGATGGATGCCACTCTAGCAGCCTGTCTTTTGGAACCACGCGGCGGACCAAGGCATAATGTTCATCAAAGAATTGAAGGAATGAGGGGGAAGAAGACGCTTTCCAAGGGACATTCCCTTTCGACATGACACGCATTATACGGTTGAAAAGCGGCCAGTAAAAGGCAGAATGTTCGTAATCGACAAATGAAAGAACGGTCCATGATCTCCAGGATATAACCTTGATGAGAGTGTTCTGCATTGACCGTAGCCATGATTCGGGACTTCGGACTGTAAGAATCACTTTGGAATTGGGATAGGCTTCAAGAAGCTCCTCCACAAAAAAGCAGGCAGGGGTATCAGCGACAGACTGAAAAGTTAGTACGTACTCAACTCTTCAAATAAAATAACTGACATCATATTCTCCGAGCATCTGGTCGAAGTCTTTCCCCTGGAAAGGTTTTCCAACCCCGTCAAACTTGGCTTTCAGAGCCTTGAGCCATAATTCCATATGTTCAGTGTTGAACACTATGTCTCGAAAGTGGTACGGCTTCAACCCAAGCTCCTTTTGTGCCACATAAAGGGCTAATTGAGTCAGTAAGCGATGTACAGATAGCTGGTCTGTGACTTACAACTCGTTCCCGTGCGACACAGTCCGAGAACTAGAATCTTCGCTGGTCTTGAATCCGGAAGAACTGATTTGCTCTCATCAAGAAGTGACATTTTGGGCGATTTCAAGAGGTAAGGAAGCATACAACACTTACTATTGAATCAATTGTTCAAATACAATGGGTAGCACGGGCAGAAAGAACAATACCGCCTGACGACCATCATCAGAAATCTTTGTTTTCTTTTTACAAACTTGAAAACAATCTGGTTCACTCAACACTCAGATATCCTCATACTAGCGTGTACAGGTCACATTTCTGACAATTGAAACATTTTGGTAACTTACGTACTTTGGCATCACGCCCCCGGGGCCTGATGTACGAGGAATGAGCCAACTGCGATTGCATATGTGGCGTCACTTAGTCCAGCTGAAGGTTTAGATCTTGGAAATTGGAACTGACATGGTTCAAAGTGGAGATAGTGCACGGACAGCCTGCAAGTGCTCAGATCTGATATTCGAACAAATAGGATGCTGTCAATGGCAAGAGATAGATCACCCAAAGAGCGGTGAGTTAGACCAGTTTGTCAGCTGCGCGGCCGGGCGTCCCGAGCCGCCAACCCTACAGTAGCGCCCAAGCTCCGAACCTTGATTCATATCCTCTTGATTCCATACGGACCTGCAGCCATGAATACCCGGTTAAATTATCCATATCTCCACAGATAGTCCGGAAAAAAGGTCCGGGCTACCGAATAGACCTCGCTTGATTACGATTGCTTTTTCGGCTACGGTTTACCTGCAGCCAAGGATCCAGAGGTGGGTATTTTACGAGATTTCACATGTAATACAGAGAGTAATATACATACCGCGCTGTAATACTGTATTTACCACTGCCATTCAATTCTCTTGCGCGGTTTACAGTACGTCTGGGAGTTACCTTCACCTCCACCTCCGCATCCGCCACCTGCACCTGCACCTGGACCTGGACCTGGACCTGCACCATCAATGCTCCAATCTCGATAGACCCGCCGAGATCGTCCTTCGCCCGGCAAACGTACCGTACACGCACGGTCCCCAGTTTTCGAAGAGATCAAGGGGGTAGGTGCTTTGCATGTACACTACGTAAGATTATCCTAACACCTGAGAGCTTGCTCGGCGTTCCTCCTAGAGATGATAGGTATTCCGACTGCCACAGCATCAGCTGGGGTACAAGCAGATCCACTGATGCAAAGGACCCAATTCCAAGAACTACTAGCGTGTCTAGTATGAAGGCTCGGTGGTGGGTGATAGATCCGAATCGGCCGGTATAGCCGCTGTGCTCGAGCATCTAGACCGTGTGCTAAGGTGCTAAGAGGACCTGTATGAGAAGATGGGAGATGAATTCACCAGGGATCCACTTGCAAAAGAGAGCAATGATGCCCCCCCAATGCAACATTCGTAGTAGACGAACATGGAAATTGAAGTGGCTTCCAACATGCCACTAGCATCGTGTTCGAAACTGTGATCAATGACGTGTCCGACTCTATTGCTGGATTGCGATAGAATCTGTGCTGTAGTTTAGTTCTACTTTTACCGCAGCTTTCTGTAAAACTACGAATGTAAAGAGAGGTACGAATCTAGGTAAAAAGGTGCCTCAATATACAAGGAATGAAGCTACAGTAGATACCAAAGTGATGGAGATACAGGTGTTGAAATTGAATGTCATAAGGAGGTGGCGTGGATCGAACGTCGAACGACTCAAAAGCTAAGTTGAAAGGTTTTACTACAGTATCCAATCTCTTCGTTTCTGCTATATGATACTAATATTTACAATCCCGGAATAAGTCTTTTGGTTCCCTAAACGTCGGACTGTAACAAAATGCATTCACAGAAAATGAAAGATGATTAGATCAAAGAACATTGAACCCTAACGAAATCATGCCTGATTGCAGTGCAAGGCTCATACCAGCACGAATCGCGAAATCAGTAAGGCTTTATACCTGCTAGTTTGAGAACCGCGTCGGTCAGGATGGGCCTTTCAAATGGCTCACTCCGGTCTTTCGGACACAGTTTGCCATTTCGGATGGGATTATCTGTTGATGGGTATATGTTGCTATGTTCCCACTCAATTAGCCCTTATCCCAACAAGTCACATATGGAAATGAAGTAACCCACCGATGAGGTAAGTGAGTATTGTTCATATAATTCTCAAAGCAGTACTTCTTCATCTCCAAGGCCTTCTCAGTCGCAAGTCGCTTAGGCATCATACAGATATACTGCGCGTGACGGATCTGATATCCCTCCGCAAAACAAGAGTGGTGGACTGTTCGAGAATCCCAGAGAACCAAGTCGCCAGGACCAAGGATGAGCTTGGTGAACTCGTAGCCTCTTTCTTCGAACCATTTTACATGGTCCTCGTGGAACTTGAAGAATTCTTGGTGCTTGTGGTCGAAGTTTGCTGTGTCCTCATTCTTGCGCTTTTCAGCAAAGAATTCGTTGAAAGCTTTTGCGGAGCCTTTCATCCATATCAGACCTCCATCTTTAGGGCCACTTGGGGCAAAGTTCAAAAGTCCTTGGACACATGATATTCTGCAATAACAGTTAGTCGTTAGCCGTAGACAGGAAAGACTTGGCGTACCCCTTCACGTCTGGGTTATGGTCGCAGTGCGGCCATGGGGTCCATTTGACATCTTTTCGCCGTGGTAGATCAATCTTGATTCCGTCAAAGGAGCATAAAAGTTCCTCAGTCTCCCACAGCTTTGCGAAAGCATCCATAACTCCAGGCTCGGTGCGTGCTTCCCAAACACTCTTCTCATGGGTCACACCGTAGAAGTATTTCCTGCCATATCATTAGTAGAAACTTCGCAGCCTTTCCGGTCATCAAAAGCTTCTTACCCTCCCCTGAAGCTAACAGGCAGATGCTCCTCTGTCCAAGTACTCTCATCATTCTCATCAAAGCCAAGTTCAAAGTTCTTGATCCACTCTATTTGCTTGTCGGCGTAATACTTTGCTCGCTCGGGGCTGATAACATTCCTGAGAATAATGCATCCATCGCGATGGAATTCATCACGCCAATCACCGTAGTGCTCCTGAGGGGTGAAGTCAACTTCAATCTGTTCTTTCTCTTCACTTTTGAGTGGCTCATTGGTTGCTTTCGTTGCCGTATTGATGGTAGTTGTCGTAGTCATGATTGCAAAGGGCTTTGGTCAAATTATTGAATCGCTAAGTTGTGGTATAAAGTAAGAAACTCTGGGGTACTTTTGAAACAAATCAACATCATGCCAGCTGCAAACCCGCCCAGTATTCGGAACTACAGCGGGCTGCCCCGGCAAGATGCGTGGTGAGCGACTTGCCTAGGTCCGTGTTGCCACCCAAGACCAGCCCCACGTAGTGCAAAATCAATATGCTCAATTCCTGTTGTAAAAAGAAATGTCATTCTCAGTACCGCCGGGGCATGAAACCCCATCAGTGTTTGGGGCTTGGAGTGGGGTTGTTTGGGATCAGCATTTGTCTGTGACCTGGGGGGCATTAACACCAGGGACAAGTGATATCATTACCGTATACCAGTAGCTTTTATTACTCCTAGTATTAGAGTATGCTCACTGTTACTAAAAACGGAGGTGCGTCGTTCGAACAGTTCGAAATAAAAATGTTGTTCCGAAAACAAGTCTCACACTAGTATTCTGATTGTGACGGTGCCGTTTCTGAGCTGATCTGTTGTACTATACTAGGGTTGCGCTGATTTCTCGTGTCCACCCAGACATGCTGCATAGAAAAGTCGTATTTTTTGGATCAATACAAGGTGAATACTGGTATTCCCTACTATACTTTCCAACTCGAAGTAGTGAGGTCGTCGCCATATATCTTCCTTGGGATGATCTTCACATTCGACAATTTTTGCTCAGCTTCGCAGTCAATTCAAACAATTCATCTATCAAGCTCTATTTCAACTATTTTTTTTCTGTCCGACCCTTGCAACTGTCATCAATCCCATCATGAGGACTTTACCGTCATTGTCGAAAGAGCAGGTGCACGTTGTCATCGGTTCCACGCACCGATTTTCCCACCTAGAAAAGGCAAAAGTCATTGGATCAGGCCTAATTGAACGAGGATACTGTGTCACCATTCTGGCCGGTGAATCGGTTCGAGATGAGGTTGAGTCCATCGGCGCCCTCTTTGCGCCAATGCAAGGCCGTGCGGGCGGGAGCCCTACGAAGACCGAGTACAACCACCCTCCACCTGCGTGGGCCAAAGAGATGGAAATATCTGCCCTCAAAAACTTCTTTATTGGCACTATTCCGGACGAATACAAAAGCGTCCAAGATGTGTTGAAGACACTGCAACGAACAGAAGGACCTCAAACAAAAATCATTTACATCGACGACATCATTTGTGGCGCTATGCTCCCGGTCTACTTCGGTGCTCCTGGCGCCATAAAGCCCCAGGCGGTTATCAAAATCGGCACGACGCCTATTCCGCATGATAGCGCTGATACTGCTACGTGGACCTTGGGCATTCCTTCCAAATCGACAATTCCGGACAGTGCCGAGGATTTGTGGGAAGTAAAGAGAGAAATCTACCGATCAGAAGATGTTCAAGATAAACTCCGAAGTGTACTTCATGAGGCGGGAGTGCCAGCCCATAAGCTCGAATCATTGCCACGGTTCATGCATAGCCAAGGGACATGCTGCGATGCCTATCTTGCTCTGTCGATCCCAGAATTTGAATACCCGCGGACCGAAGCTGCAGAGTCTATTCACTTTGTTGGCGCCCTACCCACTGTTGGAAGCGTTCCTTCAAACCTCCCCGAATGGTGGAACGAGGTCATTCATGCGCAAGGCCAGGAAAGGAAGCCGATTGTAGTTGTCAGTCAAGGGGCTGTCAACAACGATCCGACAGACCTGATTCTTCCCACTATCGAGGCACTGAAGGACGAGAATGTCACTGTTATTGCTACTCTAGTCAGGGGGCCGAAGATAACAGTCGACTTGCCAAGCAATGTGAGGTTGGCACAGTTCATTCCTTTTGATATACTGCTTCAGTACACGGATGTGTTGGTCTCGAACGGAGGGTTCGGAACCGTTCAGATGGCCCTTGCTCGTGGAGTCCCAATGGTTCTTGCCGGTGTCTACTTCGATAAATATTATACAAATTCGCGGGCTGCTTCGATTGGGGCAGCTATCAACCTTGGGTGCGAAAGAGTGCAGCCTTGTGCAGTGAAGAAGGCAGTGTGCGATATTTTGTCTGACAAGGAAAGAAAAGAGCGGTGTCTGGAAATAAAGGAAAGATATGGGGAGTATAACGCATTAGATCAGATTGCTGGTTTTGTTGATGCGTTCTCAGGTTAGCTGAGAAGTGATGGGATACGAAAGCGCAATTGATAAACCACCAGTGGGAGTGTTGGGAGATGTATGCACGGTTATTGGGGCCTGTCAAAGAGATCTTCTTAGATAGTGGTTCTTCTTCCTCTCTTTCTCCTTCTCTCCTCTTTTGACCCAATTTTGTTGGCAATCAATACCAGATTTTAAAGCTACTCCCTCCTGTTTATCTATCACCTGTATTGCATGATTGCAGACAGTACAAGATATTGAAACGTTCTACATAAAATAGTCTTTTTAAATCAGATGAAGCCAAACTGGAGATTTCGCGATAAACGCCATGAACCAAATTTGAAAACTTAAATTATGCCATTATATGTAAAGCAAGCATTGCCTATAGTGTCTTTGCTGAATTCTCATCATAAATGATCTTCTCAACCACAGCCTTCTCCCCACTGTTTTCCACAAGACTCTTGAAGAACCCGCTTTCAATCTCCATCAGCTCTTGCGGGCTCCCAAACTCCACCGCACGTCCGGCATCCATGACCAGGATACGGTCGAAATCAGCGATTGTGCTCAACCGATGCGCAATCACCAGCAACGAAGAGGCATTACGTCCAAATTCAACGCGAATAGACTTCTGAATCAGCCCGTCTGTTTCCATGTCTACCGCCGACGTGGCTTCGTCCAAGATCATAATCTTGGGTTGCGAGACAATGGCACGCGCAAGGCAAAGCAGCTGGCGTTGACCTTGTGACAAGTTCATCCCACCCTCAGATATTGGGGACGCCAGCGATGAGAACATGTTAGTCTTGCTGATGTCTGTTTCAGACAGCCAGGATTGGTTAACGGAACCGCTCGGTGTATCCTGTGAGGAAGGTATCATGGTATCCTCAGTCGATAGCAAATGTACCCTTTGAAGGGCATTGTATAGCTCCGCGTCTGTATGCTCGTCGAAAGGGTCCATGTTGGACCGTAGCGTGCCAGAAAACAGCACCGGATCCTGCGGAATTACAGCTAACCGGCTGCGTAGAGCGTGTAGCTTTATTTGCGCGATATCTAACCCGCCAATGAAGATGCGGCCTTGTCGCGGCTTTAGAAATTGGAATAACGCTAGGGCTAACGACGACTTCCCTGCGCCTGTACGACCCACGATGCCCACTCGCTGGTTCTCGTCGACGGCAAAGCTGAGTCCGTTAAGTATGGGTGGTAGTTCCGGGGCATAGCCTACTACTAGGTCCTGAACCTCTATGCGACCATTGGTTGGCCAAGCCGCAGGGGGTTGTAGGCCGTCCTGGTCCTCTGTCTCTAGAGCGGTGTACTCCAGCACACGCTCAGTCGCATTCATGTCCATTTCCAAGTTTGCATAGGAACGTATGGCGAGGGAGACGGCAAAGTTGAACTGTAGGGCAAAGCTCATCACAAAGCCGGCCATGGAGGCGGAAATAGTGGGCATGTAGACAACCAGCGCAGCGGTGGTGGTTGTGAATATGGCGCCAGCAAACGTCATGCGAAGACCTAGCCAGCGACTGAGGAGCCATGCATTCCATGATGCTCTGGCGTGGCGATCGATACGCGCATTGAACTGGTCGATGTACACATCGGCCTTGCCGAATGCGCGAATGGTGAGAAGTCCGGTGAGACTTGACCCGAAATGCTCCAACACGGGACTCTTTGCAATGCTTTCAAGGCGCTTTATCTCGCGTGCTCCCGCTAGAAACTTGGAGGAGAGTCGCAGGCAACAGACCAGCAAAATACTGGCAAGCACTAGTAGCCATGGAGACACCATCACGGCAGCGACTAGGATCCCTCCAATTTGTGATGCTCTGGCCGCTAGACCAGACAGTGTGAAGCCGAGTTTCGAATCCAGGACATACATGTCCGAAGTAAAACGGTTGAGGATGCGCCCCATTGGTACCGTGTCAAGCCATCGAAGGGGTGCGCGCAGCACCGGGGTTAGGAGGTCGTCGAACATCTGACGGCAGGATGCAATGGCGGCAACTACCACGGCCAGGTACCGCACCGTCGCAAACGCGCAGGCGGCGACAGAAATGGCCACATAGAGGCCCAGGAAATATTGTAGGCTGCTTTCAGTTTGGACAGATATGAGCTTTGTAACTCCATAACTCATAATTGACTCGGGATTTGCATGATGAAGATGGGAATTGGGGGAGCTTGTCCACACATTGAGCCACCAGGTCTGTAGAATTAGCCATTAGCCGTTGCAAGGACAGATGACTGCACGAAAAACTTACTCGGCCAATCATTAATGCCATGTAGAGAGCATACGCAAGCAGAGCAAACACCCAAAGCCATAGGCGGTTTCCTCGGGCGACGTACGCTTTATATAATGACAGGGAAAGGGCTCCTTTCTTGCGCTTCTCGTCTGATGTGAATTTCTGGGGGGAAGTTTCCGCTGCACTTGCATCGTTGGAATCTCCTACTTGCTCTGTGGAGCCGGAATGTACTTCTTCATGTCGCTGGGTTTTTCTTGCTGGTACCACTTTTTCCTCATCTTCGTCTTCGTTTGATGCTGTCACAGTCACCTCATCTAGAAGGTCAGTCAGGCTTCCACGGTCTATTAAGTCTTTCACTGATCCTGCGTCTTTCATGGTTCCCTGGTCCAGCACAACAAAATAGTCTGCTTGAGGCAAGCATAGTCCCACATGATGGGTGACCAGAATCCTGGTGCGATTCTGGCCTAAGGGCCCAGTCAGGCCATGTTCATAGACATGACGTCCAGTAAAGGTGTCGAGGGCACTGAAGATGTCGTCCATGACGAGAATTCCAGCCCGCGAATATAGCGCCCGGGCAAAGGAAACTCGCCATCTTTGACCTCCGCTCAAATTAACCCCGTTGGCTCCAATATCTGTCATGTCCCCATCAGTGAACATACTGAGGTCCCGATCCAGTCCTGATGCGAAAAGTACATTGCGGTATAGCGTGTTGTCGAACGGTAATCCGAACAAGATGTTCTGCCTAACTGTAGCATTTTCGATCCAGGGATTCTGCGCCACGTACGCAACAGCCGTGTCGATGATCCAATCGGCGGACGTGGCTTGATCGTCATATCGTTCGTCTAGCGAGGGTGCGTGAGGTACCTTGATGGACCCCGTGACCACATCAGCCTCCCCAAGGATAGAGGCCAACAGGAGACTCTTGCCAGTCCCGGTCTTGCCAGAAATGACGCTCAGAGCCTTGGGGGGAAAGTTCAATGTCAGATTTGTCAGGACGAACTGATTCTCGCCGTGCAACTTTTCAGGTCCTCTGGCAGCGCCATCTCCTGGCCACATGATCTCTGCGTTTTCAAAAGAGATCGTATTCACATCTGTTGTATGAGACTCTTTCTCAGGAGACGTGATATACTTATTTATGCGATCCATGCTGACCTTGGCCTCCAGCCCGCGTGTGAAAAGATCAGGCAACGACGACAGCGAGGTCTCCAAAGTCGCAAAGACAGACATGGAGGTAAAAGCAATGGAGGGAGTCAGCTCGCCGTGAATCACCGCATATACGGACAGCGATGCGGCCGAAAGCATGATTGGGACCGAGATCCAGATAAAGACCAGGACACTGTTGTACAACGACACCTTCCATAATACCTGTAGCTCTGCATTGCGCTTCTCGATGATGCGATCCTGCCATTGTTGCTCCATGGCAGAGAATTTGATTTGGCGAATGCCTCGCAGCACCTCGGTCAGCAATCTGGTGCGTCTGTCGGTCGCCTTCATGAGCTCCTCCTGTGCGTCGGAGTATCGTCTGGTTGCATAGACATTAACTGGCGTCGTCAGCCCGGCCACGAATATTCCTGCCAGCAGGCTGCGCCACCCGATCAAACCAACCAAGAAAGCCGACGAAATCACCAGTTGCGCGATAGAAGTAAGGATTTGGTGATTGAACATTGCGAAGTCCGAGACGCGCCTAGCATCCACAGCAGCCAAGTTTATCGTGTTCTGTCCGCTTGTCTCCCTCTCTTTAGAGTCCTCCGCGCCTGTTGATTCTTCAGCGGTCGTGGTGTGCTTCACATCCTTGCATCGCATTGCTTTGGCAAACACTATGGCTGACAACTCCTGGTACACTGGAACTGCGAGTTTTGAGTAGATGAGCCACCAAAGCCACGAGTCAACACCGGATCCAAGCAACAAGAGCAACCCTAACGCGGCTACCCACGGCCACGACTCGGTATTATCCCACGAAACCGCTGAACGGGCTTCCAATGACTTCAGAATACCATAAAGTGCGACCTGTGGGCCAAAGCTCAATACGCATTGGGCTAAACTGAGCACGTACTGCTGTAGGATCGACGGCCAGTGTGCCACGAGGATAGCCTTCCATAGATCTTTCGTTCTCCGCACTTGTTCAAAGCGCGTGTGCAGGTTCTCTGTACGGCTGGAAGCACGGAGGTGAGGAAGGTTGTCAATTCCTATGGAACTCTTATTCTGCCGGGTGTACTGCAGCAAGCCATTCACCCAGCTGTACGTAAAGCGGCTCAACAGAGTTTCGGAGAACTCTTGGTCGACGACTTGGCCATCGTGATAGACGGAAGGGCGACGAGGGATCAAGAGGCAGCACACACTTCGCAAGAGTCCTGCTGTAATCTGCAGAACAAGGAGCCAAGTTGTATGATTTTCCCACTGGGTGTAGTATGTGCGAACTGTCGCGGATCTGAAAATACAGAGCTCGAGGCAAGGAAGGCTAACGGTGAGATTGCTGGTCCAAAAGGCGCAAATGGCAAGATTGTAGCGTTTGACGGAAGATGGTTCGGTGAAAAAGGCGACCGTTTCGAGGCAGAGCACAAACTATTTGCAATCATTAATACCATAATACATAACTTACAGTAGGAATGATCAAACTCACTGAATTGATTCCCAGTAGCCAGATTGGGACAAGTAGTTGAGTCTGAGGCGGGATCAATGCGATGATGGTCAAGGACAGCGCGCAACCGAACCATATCGCTGACAGCAGAGCCAGAGCCAATCGCTGCCATTGATCTGAAAAAGCCTTGATGGATGCCTCCGTTGCCACTCCATCTTCGTCCTCATATAAGCTGTTCGTTGGAGAATCACTGAGCGATAATTTTGACTTCCCTGTCAATCGTCGGACAAGGATAGAAATGGATGAAACCCCGCTAAATGCGAAGACTAGGACGCTCACTGCTTGCGTCACGATCGACGCAACCTCAGGGTGAATGTTCATTTGATATGAATTCCCGACCTTTTGTAATGGTAAATGGAGCCACGGCGAACGCTGTGATTCTGGGGTGGAAGGAATGATTCATTCAGAAAGCATCAGCCAAAACTAACTTGTCTGGATTAGAGAAGGACGGGGGGCTCTTAGATTTGTAAACCCAAACTTGATATTTTTGATGCACGAGTAAGGGGTCGGACCTTGCCTGATGATCATTAATATGATCCATACTGTATTGAATCACACATCTTTCAGACGCGTCATTTTAGTTTGAAGGTCCAGGGTCTTTGCGAACTACTATCGATGTGCACAGCCCCACGCTGGCTTTTTGCTTTTTAGAGTTGAGATCCAGATGAAAGGCATGTTATTGGCCATTGGTTCAGCTGCCCTCGGGCTTCTGAATACATATAAGTCCGATCTGATCTAGTCGCTCGCCTAGGGCGGTCGATCAATGCCACCTGAAGCACTCTTGATGCACGGAGTAGTTGAGTCTGACCTGCAAGCGACCATCTTTGCTTTCCGGGACCATTGCCCAATCTGCGACCCAATTAAAAAGGGTCAAAAAAAGCAACAACCTACAACAGCGAGGATTCGCTGGTGATCACCCAACTAATAACCCCCGGCGTGTGGCTTGAGTACGGCTGAACGGACGGGAACTCCTGTTTTCCACATGCTATGATCATACTGTATTTACCAGATCAGACAGGGAAAAGAACATAAAAGTTTGAGGCCCAGTCCGAAGATATGAGAATTTGTGAGCGCCGCTCTCAGATCGCGCGATGGGGAGTGAGAAGGGTGAGGAGCTACTGTAGGTGAAAATCGCCGAGGTTGTGCATTAAGTTCCCTAGCACTTGTATCACCTAACTAATCCTCCCTCTTAAGTGTGAGACTACGCTAGTCTCGGTTTGTAAATGGGTAAGCGAAATATAAGCCTGATATAGCGTATACAATAAAAAAGGGTGTATATTGTAAGAAAGTAGTCTGAACGCTGTTTCCTAGAATCAGCGTAGCTTGCTATTTTGTCCCTGAATTCACATGACCTTTGTTAGGTGGTAATCATGTAAGCAAGTATGACGTCATCTTAAGGAACTGACACTAGTACGTTCCTTCAGCGTCAGTCTCTATTATAGGAGAACATACTATCCTCCTTCCACCTTAAGTCCATCTTATAATCTCCGCCTAATCACCCGGCACTATCCAACCCGGGATTTTCTTACAGAAACAGATTATGTTCACGTAGGCAAGATTCAATCATAGGGAATTCAATTCCAACTGGCTCTCTAGCCCAAGCCTGAAGTATGACCCTATAGACTATGAAGAACAAGCTCTCGCTCACTTTGAAGTATATACCCTATGAATTCTAGATCTTCAACGTAGCCTACTTGAATTATTTCTTGAGAGGGGGGGGGATGAGGCTTTGCAGGTAAAAATGCACTGACGAGACGCGTATTTCCCATCTTTTCAAGATATACCACACGAGGATGATATTGACCGCGATTTTTACGAACATGGGGACAGATTTCGCAATACTCCACGGAATCATTGCTGATTCCTTGTCGAAATAGTACAAGTTAATCGTTTTCTCCGCCTGATGCTCCTCCCCAGAGCCCTACAAATATAAACATGCTCCGGAGTCCTTCTTAGCATATTAAGTGGGAGAAAAGACAATGTGACCCTTCGATCAAATAAAATTTGGTTAGATAGGTTCCCCATACACTTTACACCCACCGCATTTATATTGGTATTTGGTAGGGTATGCAGTCAAGAAAAGGCAATCAATGATACATTCGACTTGACATACGCTCCTAATTTTTTCTCCCATATTTCTCCCCTTAACGCAGAATACTGAAATTGGGGCTGGGATTACATACTTAGCCTTATAGTACTGTTCTGAACTGATGATAGGGATAGTCTCAAATCACCCAGAGGCTAAGGTACCTTTCCAAGAATATGAGAATCTTTGCCAAAAAAGCTGTCTTTGGTACGTCGTCTCTAATCGCAGAGAGTTCAAGAACCAGTCCCCGTTTCTCATTTCTAAGTCTCATGATAGTACCCTCCGCCTCTGATCTCAACCGATCCCATAGCGTGTTTCAGGATAATTTGATCTTCCATCCCCCATATGGCTCCCACCTCATCAATAGCTTTCAGTTGCAACTCTCCAGGTCCGAAAATATGGAGCATCTGTGCATTTGCGAAGAAATTAGTGAAAAATTCTGTAAAAGCTGTAGAAGATGGGAACGCAAACGAGGTATTCCCGGTCTTTAGGAGAGACCCGTCAGTATCGAAGAACATTAATTCAGCATCAGGCAATGCCACTTGGTCAGATTTGTCCCATTGCTTGGTGTTAATGTATCGGCCGTATTGTGATTTCTTCCGGCAGATTATTTCGGTGATTTCGACGGGAGTTGACATCTTGAGAATATTCTTTATCTAGCAGGTTATTTGATGATTATAGGAATGTTTTTGAAATTTTGCATCCTGATTATTTGGGCAATAAGCGTGAATCTGACCTAGGTAAAGCCCCTTCATAAAGGATACAACGAAAAGGACGAGGACGAAGAATTAAAAGATTCAAGGCACACCAAGGAAATGCGGAGTATCCCTGAGAGGCTCCCCAGTTACTGCCCATGCGAGGCTTGTTGGAGCGTTCTGGGCTAGCCTCGTGTCCGAAGTCCCCAGACCGGGCTTCAGTACACAGTAAGGCAGTTGAGGTCGCAAGTCTTCCAGGAGTAAGTGGAACTCGGTTGCACGTCTTTTACTTTCCCCGCACTTTTCATGATGAAGCAATAACTGCGACGCTCCTTTTGAAGTTTGACAAATGAGCTGGACAGAATGAGTGGTGGGGGTGTGTTGCCAAATATTTCGTCCTACGCGGATGGCACGCAAGAACCGCCGGACTGTCCCTCTTCCCCGGAGACAGATTGGACAGGGCACCAGTCAGGCCAAATAGCCAAGCCAATCCACTGCGCATGATGATCGGGTGGAAAGTTAGTCTGATGAAAAATCTTAGGTCGGGGTGAATACAAGGAAGGAGGCAAAGAAAACAACACCATGTGCCACTCTAGCACCAGCAGGCCGGGGACTTCTTAGCCTCGGTGCCACGAAGCAAACGAACTCATTGCCGGCCCCAGAAGACGGTGATAAAGTCGCAATGTAGTCCAGATCATGTCTTGAAAAGGAATGCTAGAAAAGTAGACATTCGATCATGGTTCTCTATCTCTTCTTATGCCATAAAGTCTGAAGGTTACAATATGAGACTAAACCACTCATCCCCCACTCTGAGCCAATACCACTCCATTTGTGCCCGCCGATAGAGGCATTTGGAGCCACTTCAAAATGGGAATTGATCCAGACACTACCAGCTTGAAGCTGCTTCCCAATTTCACTAGCACGCTTCAGATCCTTTGACCAAACCGATGCGCCGAGGCCGCTCTTTGTCGAGTTTGCCCTTGCAATGACATCTCCTTCGTTCGACCATCTCATCAATGGAATAATCGGGCCAAATGGCTCTTCCTGCACGATTCTTGAACTTTCAGGTGGGTTATCAACTATAGTTGGGTGAATATAGAGACCCTCCGACTCAGTAACTGCTCCCCCTAATGCAACACTCAACCCTTCGGACTTGACTGAGTAAATCAACTCCTTCAGCTTCGCGTACTGCATGGCGTTTTGTATGGGTCCAAAAAAGGTACTTGGCTCGGTGCCATTACCAACCTTGAGAGAGGCGGTATATTCAACAAATGCGGTGCGAAATCGGTCGTATATCTTCTCGTGTATGTATAGACGTTTAATCATCATACACACTTGACTAGAATTCAGAAAACACAAAGTAGCAAGCTGAATGAAATCAAGATTAGAATAAGTCAAAATTTCCAAGGTTATATATAGTATAGCAGACAGCATTGCCGTTGGCAATACCTACCTTGGGTACAATATCATCAATGTCAACGTCCTCGCAGACAATCGCAGGGTCATTTCCTCCCAGCTCCAAAGTGACTCTTTTAAGTGTCTTCGCGCTACTTGCAAGAACCAATTTTCCGGTTTCAGTCGATCCAGTGAAGCTGATCTTGTCGATACCCGGATGGCTTGTGATCCAAGGGCCCAAACTATCATCACCATTCAGCACTTGTATCAGACCAGGAGGGAAAACCTTTGCCGCCAGTTCACCGAGCTTGAGAGCACAATAGGGAGTGAACGGTGATGGTTTTATAATAACGGAGTTTCCCGTATATACGGCAGATGCGATTTTGCCAATAGCAAGCAAAACCGGAAAGTTCCAAGGCACGATGCCAGCAACAACACCTAGCGGCACATAACGTTCGATGACTTGAGAATCATCATCATCGATGACGACTGTTTCTGGAAGTTGGATTGCACAAAGCTCTTTGAGCCATTTCATTGCCATGGTGATTTCGATACTCGCCTGGGAATGAGGTTTCCCCTGCTCTTGGGTAAGGAGCTTAACAAAATCATCCTTATGATCCGCAAGGTCATCACTCAAGGCATGTAGAGCAATTCGGCGCTTTTGAATAGATGATTTGGACCAGTCTCTGTGCGCTTTCCGGGCATAGATAACAGCATAATCGAGATCGTCATGGTTGCAAACTGGAACATCAGGATTCCGCTGGAGGTTGGCGGGGTTGATTCCATGCGTAGTTTGAAGAGAGGCGCACAACTTGTTGTTGATCACATTGAAAAATGCCTTGATGAGTGAGCAAACTACTTCTTCTACCCTTGTTTGTGCTCGCTTACCGAGAAATCGGTCTGGGCTGACGGATCCATGTTGATGGGATGAGAGTGTATACAAGCTGCACAGGCCTATTCCGTAGTATAACCACCAACAGGTAGAGACTGAGAATATTCATTTCTACAGAAAGGCAAGCCCCTTTTCTATAAGAGATTGAAGGAAGGGATTCCAAATCCCGGGAATTCTGCCGACGAGAAGCAACACCCGTCTCGCCATGCTGGGGTCATCTCCACGTTCTACCCAACTGGGGCGTGGGGAAATATCCACAAAGTGCGCCATTGCTTCGTTGGCCCCTCTCTCAGTGCTCCCCTTGATCTGGCAACCGGGAAACATCCGGGATTGATTGTGGCTGGCACTGTCAGTATAGTAGTAGCTGCGTAGGTGGACAGCGGGTCGTCTTCTCAAAACCTCTACAAGCACAGACGAAACATTTAGACGCAAGCCGTCTGTGCTTTACTATTTTCATGACAGCACATTGGCTTCATCAATGAGATGAGGGTAAAATTTGCGTGTGCCGGCGCCCGTTGCCTTTCAATCGTACGGTCTGATGGAAATTAACAGGCTGTATTCGACTCGCCACTATCAACTGCCCCCCTGGATCTATTCCCCAGACTTGAATCATATACCCCGCGCAGGGAAGATTCCAGATTACTATAGGCTAATTTTAATTGCGGGGACTCATAGATCTGGGCATAGGCGTTGCGGGCACTCGGTACTTGTTAGTAGTCGGGATCACACAACTCACAACTCGGGAACTACCCGCATATTCGGAAGGGAGTTCAGGATCTTTTTAGGGGGCGATTACTGATGTTGGCATATCAAAATAGGGTCCACAGAACGAAGTTTTTATTTCTTAGAACAGATTCGGTAGCAGAAGCCCTTCGTCTAATTCTTGTAGAAATTGAGCAGGAAACATAATGTCACCCAGTTCCGCATCCCAATTCTTGAAAAATGGACTCAGTGTATTAGGCTCCACATGGTCAGCATGCATTACGTTGGCTTGTATTCCATCCGCCTGGTCATGGCTTAATACATCGAGAGGCGTTTGGCTGTCTCGGGTTCGGTCGGGCCCTATTTTTATTGATCAAAAATGACCAACCATATTGAGGGAAAGAGCAGGCTGGAAAACCTGGACAAGAAAGAATCTTACCTTTATTCATTTCTGACCGATAGGTTGAGCGGATATTATGTAAAGCAAGAGAGTAGTCTCTAGCGGATGGATGTACAGAGACCATTCGGTTCAATGTCTCAAGGCATTCGTTCCAAGAATATTCTTGTTGATCTGCTGTGATACCCTCGAGACTTGCTCCGCTTGACTCGGCAAGAAGAAGGACTACGCCAGCACTTATTAAATCTAGACTAGCGATAAGCAAAAGGTATCAAACATTAGACAACAGATAATTCTAGGAAACACTCACAAAATACCCCGTACCACCATGCACCAGTTGCGTCTTCTGTCGTTGCTTCCGATAATGAATGAACGAGGTCACATGCAGCTCGCACACATTTTAAAGCCGCATTTTGTTGGTACATGATTAACCAAGAGTCAGGCTGTGTCTGATTAAATTCAGAGCTAACACCTGAGCAATATGCACTAAATGCTGGGCGGTACAATAGCAACTTCAAATGAAGGTATCTAGGAAAAGGGCCATCAGTGAGATGATGATTCTGAATACTCTGCAAGCTTACCTAGCGTGTAGAACATTTGATTGGCGACGGAAGGTGTGGTCGGCGTTTTGAGGACTTGACGAGCCCCACGCGAAGATGGGGGAAGTGAAGCTGTGAACTCTTCCAGTAATCTGTCCAGGTCCATGATGGCCTTGAAGCCTTCGGGGGCCGATGACGACTCTTCTGCTGGACCTTCGTCCTCACTGCGGTAGACCTTTAACAAGATCTTCCAAAGAATTCCTATCAGTCTCATATTCTGGTGTAGAAACTGATTACTCGATATAGTCCCTTCGGGCTGCTGAGCCTCAGCGGCAAGATATTTGTCGTCGACCGGTGAGGGTAGTGGTGTGTGCGAAGAGTTCGGTGTCATGGGTGGACGACCCATTGTCATGCTGGAAATTCTGTGAAACGAATCAGTCAATGCAAGTCTCCGAAAGTGGAAGCATTCCATACATATCCATTTGGACACATGCGCACCATGCTCGCCAGCGGATTTCCTTTTCCAAAACAGTCAAATTGTTGAATTGGCTACGGTTCTGTAGACCGAGCCCGACAGCCATTCGATGTGCCATTCCTATTACATTCCAGCATCTCTTCGGGTATGGCGTGCATTGCAAATATATTGCGATCAGCAATAGCGCCTGGACATGGGCCAAGCTTCCACTGTCGAGAATATCAATGTTCATCGAGCTTTTCATTCGTTCGTAAAACATCATGGAAGAGTTTCGTTTTTGGCAAGGATCCATGTTGGAAAATTCACAAGCGATAGCAAACATAGCGTTCAAAGCGCAATGGAATAATCGAGATGGACAGTTGTGACTGCCGAGACCCACATCCGGAAGAACTGCGTCTGCATCATCGGATTGATTCGTCCATATATTCTCGTATGAAGCCATAAACGTGTCCTTGTGCACCCAGGGGTAGAATATATGATTATTGGCGAAATATACTTCTAAAAGCCAGTCTGCCAATCTCCTGGGTGGAAGCGAAAAGTCGTCCGATAGCAATACCGCCATATTTGTCGAAGAAGTGTTGGCGCCAGCCGAATTGGTTGATGAGGCTAGAAGACTTGGTATAGCAGGTCCAGCCTGAGATTCGACTGATTGGCGGCCAGGTGACTTTTGAGCGTATTGGTTAACCAAGGACACTAAAGATGACCGCCCATAGTACTGATCGTAACCCGCTTCTTCGGGCGTACTTGGTAAAGCTGCGCCCATAGCACCGAGAGATATGGGAAGTGTGTTACCAACTGGGGATGAGCGTTGTACTCCAAACCCTTGGCTTGGAAGGATGCTCCCAGTCTGGGGGCGGGGCGGCGATTCGAGTGGTTCGTGAGGGGCTCCTTCTTGCAGATCTGCAACATGGGCACGTAACGAATGGATATACCTAATACAAGTTAGATTTGGACAATCACTCAGGGCCCGGGATATGCAATTCAAGGGCACCAACGCTCTTTCTGTCTGATATTTGGCCGTTTCTGCAATCACTAAATACTCGCAAGGCTGATCTGTAGCTCCGCGTCTCTGGCACGCACCACAAACTGGCCTCGCTCCGTCACACCGTACCTTGCGCTCTCGGCAATGTTGACATGCCAGTGCGACACGCCTTCGTTTCGAGGATGGTTCTTGAGTAAGACTGGGCTGTGGATGTGCCTAGATAGCCAATCGGAATAGGGTCAGTACATGAGCTCAAACGCAAAAAGCAAATTCAATCGGCCTTAGGCAGGGATCCGAGTACATTTTCTTCCGATACGTTTGCCATGGTCTTCTGGAAATATCCGGACAATAATTGCAGCCGGTGGAGTGGAAGGTGGGTAGCAGAGTACCTCTTACACCCGGGAATGTCCCGTTATTTCAAAGGGTGGCGGTTGGCCTCGGGAATTACCCGACGCAAGCTCGAACCAAGAAGGCAACTTAGGTGGATATTTAAGGTTGTGGGATCGGGGTCGGGATCTGATTCGGTAGCCGTTCGGATAATACCCGGTTGGCATCCATTGCATGGCACCGCAACAAATCCCGGCCATTAAAGTAGCGGGGAGTAGAGGGCTGATAGGGGAAGTATGCCGCTTCATATCTCTATCTCCACCAAGCCTACCGGCCCCGAAAGGAAGATCATGGTGTACCGTTTGTCATTCTGGCAAGATACCCCCGAGCCGCAAAGGCCCTCGATGCATATTTCACCGAAAATCAACGGCCACTGGGACCATTGCATGGTCTGTCGGCCTCAAAATTTAGTTTCATTTCAAGAGAGTAGAGACTACCATGGGCCATTTTAGCTGGATTGGAGCCTCTGAGGGGATTCGGAATGATCCCCGCGCGCGGGTTTGCGAGTATATCAGCCAGGCTCTAAAAAGCCATCAATGACAATCCGACCCTGCTCTTGTCCCTCAAAAGCAGAAAGCGAATGGGAGGGGAAGTTGATTCCCGAAATGCATGTGTGCTTGTACGGTCTCATATTTTTCTCTCTTTTCTTTTTTGTTTTCTGTTTCCGTCATATATTGTGTCAAAACTTGAAGTATTAGTGCCATGCTATATACCAAAATATCAACTTGAAGTAATACAAATGAACTAAGGATTATACTTCAATTTTGTTCTTTCAAGTCAATAAATCGTGCTGGTCGAAAAGTTAGAATGTGTAACCCTTCGCTCGATCAATCTGATATCAGACGTTCTATGAGACACAGGAAAGAGAGTTGCCCACAGTAAAACAACCTCTACTGATAAGCACTGTTGACTAAATCATACAGCGACAATAAACTAGCTATAGTAGGCATCCAAGGATCTTTCTCTCCAGGTCAATATACTAGTAAAATTCAAAGCCGAATCGTGATAAGCCAAGTCACCAAGACAGCAAACATCAATAATACAACATCCCGTCGACCTCCGAGTCCTCGTCTACCCTCATACCAAGCTATTTCGTATACTAGACTCTATAGTGCAAAGTGAAAATTGTATTCCCTCCGACTCACCATAGCAAAAGAGCGCACTAGTATGCGAAGCGAAAGTCGGGATGGTCGTCCCCTAGGTTTTGAACCTCATCAGAGCCTAATGTAAATCTCTCATCACGGCCTCCCTGGTCTCTAACTTTATTCTCTCTGAATAAAATCAAAAATAGTACGGCAGACGCGATGACGCATAGCCAAATCAAACTCAAACTTGTACCGTAACCCGCAGCATAAAATGGTGCCTCGGAAGACAAGAAAACATTGCTAGCAACCAAGCCACCGCAGTTTCCGAATCCAATTTGCATAGCTGATGCAACGGCTTGCTTGTAATGTCCGCTCATATTGTTACTCAACCATCCGATGAGAAGAGGCTGAGCAATATAGCCACCACTTGTTATAGCGAAGAGAGCAAAATATCTCACACCAACAGGAACTGATCGCTGTGCAAGTAAAATAGCATAGCCCAACGTCGCTATACTGCAACCCCCTAGGACAAAGCCAAATCGATGTCTCGTCTTGTCACTGATTAGGGCAATACAGAGCGTCATTATTGCCGCCACGATATAGATTGGTATACTCATCACTTGTGCCATTAAGGATGTCCAACCCATGTCGCGAATAATAGTTGGCATGAAAAATGAAGCTGCATACCCCGTGTTTAATGCACCCAAGTACATAATTATGCTGTTCGTCGTAAATTAGACATAAATAGATCCTCCTTCATAGCAAGCTTCAGATAACATACCCAAGATATATTTTTTTATCACTCAATATTCTGCGCATTGCGGTCCGATCGAGTCGGTCCATGCGATAGACTTGCACATCGGACTGTAGTCGCGCAAGAAGAATGCTGCGCTCTCTTTCATTCAGAAAGCGAGCCGTCTCAGGCCAATCAGCAATCAGAAACTTTGCTATTGCAGCAACAACTGCAGTCACGATTCCTTCGAGAATGAATATCCATCTCCAGGAGGAGTAGCCACAGACCCCCTCCATAAAGGATAATCCGTAGGCCAATAGCTAGATTGATGATTGATTAATCAGCTTCAGGTTGTTCCGTATGGGTAGAGTAATTCTCACCCCACTTATGGCCCCTGCTAGAATGCTGGCACTGAAGAAAAGTGTCAATCGCCACTGAAGTTCAAACCGCTTATAGTACAGTGAAATCAAGTAGACGCTGCCTATCATCTTGTCAGTAACCGAGCCTTGGATTTTAGTAGTACATACACCTACCGGGCAGGAATCCAGCTTCAAATATTCCAATCAAGAATCGGCAGGCCATTAGGGCAGACCAACTATTCACGAATCCTTGGCCAACAGTCACACATCCTGAAAAGGTCAACATTATCAACTTTACCAAATATAGCGGGATGGAGGACTTACCCCACGCCACCATGATTCCACTAATCCACGTGGATGGGGCCAGCTTTTTCATTATTAAATTGCACGGAACCTCGCAAAGGATATAGGGAATAAAAAAAATAAAAAAGGGCAGAGTTGTACTGTCCACCTTTCATGTCAAGATCTCTCTCCAGTCCCTGTAACCGTGCATTGCCGATATTGATGCGGTCAAGGAAGGCAAGGAGATATAGAAGCATCAGAATTGGCACAACGCGTAGGTCACATTTCCTGACGACCTTGAGCTCTTCAGCAGCCTCATAGCTGTTTAGAATACTCTCGACTCCTATATCGTCATGATGAGAATGTTCAAGCTCCAACTTATTCTGCAATTTCATATCTGAATCCATGATGATAGCTTCAGATGTACATAGGATAACGTTCGTAAAGATAAATGAGAGGCAATTAGGCAGAAGGGCAGCTACTTGTATTTAAATCATCCGGATCATTGAACATGAATGACTTGAATTTGAAATGCTCGTAAAACTGGATTTGATTGGCTTCGTTTGGATGATACCCCAGAATCCTAGCCCCGGACTTGGCTTTCGTACTCCGCGATTAGGATGCGGGGTAGAACTGACGAAGTCCTGCTCCTATTTAGACTTTGACAATTGCCGCGAATGAATTCCCTGGCCTATGTCGGCAAAAGGTTCGGGATAATGGCCACCGGGAAATACCCGTGACTGGAATCTCACCAGGTCGGACTCTTGGCAGGCAGCCTAAACTTATGTCTTTAACTTCCAGATTGGGCAAAAGCCATTGATCATTTATTAAGAAGTGGATTCGATCCACACCTAACTTGGCATTGTGCCAATAATTGACTTTTATAAAAAAGTTTCTTCATAAGATAACAGGCATTTTGGCCATCGGGAACTACCCGACCCAGAATCTCAGAGGCCGACTCAGACATGAAAGCTTCTTCTGAGATACCACATGAGGCTTGACTAATACGCATCAGACAAACTGGCACTTCTGCTATAGAACTTTTACGAATTAGATGCGACTGAAGCCCCTGGCACGAGGCTGACAGCCCTAAGATAAGGGCCAAATATACAAAACCCCATTCTGTGACCTGGTCTCTCTCTCTGCATCTCACCGGCAACATGCGTGTCAGCACTCTTGTTTCATCAGTACTTGCAACCTGCACCTTTGCCTCAAATGTGATCAAGGTTGATGACGTGCAGTATTATGTTCCCTCTAAGGTTGAGGTATTGAATCCAATTCGGCATTCCAAATTTACCGTACAGTGCTAATGTGGAATGGTGTCTAGTTGATGTATAATTTTAACGCCATTGAGCCATTTCCGATCACAGTGGTAACTTTACTTGATCAATGCAACATTTCTGCTTGGCTTAACAACACTATCTCTGACTTTCTGCTTCGAGATGATGTTTATATTCGGGAATTTTCCACAGGTATACCTCCAATCTCTTTAAGTATTGATCGGACAAACTCGAAACATTACTAACCATCTCCGCAGCGTTTTACTTGCAAGGTATCAAGAGTGCTTACTTCGATGTCAATGCTGAATCTCTACTTGAGGCCTTTGGAACTAACAACATCTTTTGGGCCTCTCCCCAAAACGGTTCTATACTTCCTGATGGTCCGTATTTTGCCACAGTCTCTGGGCTGCACCAAGCCTGGCGACTTTACGACGACCATACAAACTCTTTCGTATTACCGACTATACCGTTTGTTAATGACAGAGATACATATGAGGTGCTCCCTGTCAAAGATACGAACCCACTTGGCTCCATGTCTATCGCGGTGCCATCTAGACTTTACTATAAGCCTACGCCTGAACAGCCTCTTGCTGGCTACCGTGTCGCTGTGAAGGATCAGTACGCCATAAAGGGGCTCATCACAACCTTTGGAAGTCGGTCATACGCAAAGATGTATCCCCCTTCTAATGTCACTTCCCAAGTTATTCAGAATCTTATCGACTTGGGGGCCATAATCGTGGGCAAAACAAAGTTATCACTTTTCGCCAGCCCACTGTTCACCGTCGCGCAGTGGCCCGATTACTCTTTGCCATTCGTATGTCTCCCCTCTAAACCCCAATATTTCCGACCACTATCGCTTACTGAAAGAGAATCCCCGTGGCGACTCCCACCTCATTCCCGGGGCCTCTTCTGCTGGCTCGGGTGCTGCCATAGCTGCGTACGATTGGCTTGACTATAGTATTGGAGAGGATACAGGAGGTTGTGAGTCGAGCTAGTATTTCTCTCCCTCTCTTAGGTTTAAACTCACGATATCAATTATTTCTGACTAGCCATGCGCTTCCCTGCTGCTATGAACGGTGTCTACGGGATCCGTTCCACCAAGAATAGCACCAATAATACTGCCACACAATTTGGACCTTTTGATGTCGCCGGCCATTTTGCTCGTGATGTCGACGCTTTCAATCATCTCGGTGGTGTTATGTACTCCGATCCCGGGATCAAGAACTACACCAGGTTCCCCAAGAGGATCCTCTTCCCTCAGGAGTACTGGGAAAACATCAATCCCGACTACGCCACAGCTTGCAACGACTACGTCAAGGAATTGGAACATTTTCTTGGAGTAAAACGTACTGTTATTGACACAAATTCTCTTTGGCAACGTCACTCAAAGCAAAACATCAGCTTGGCTGGTTATTTTGCGAACGTAAGTCTGCAGAGTCCGATCATATCATTGCCAGGATTTGACATCGATGTACTGTCCCTTATCAAATATCTAACTCAGTTGCACTCAGGTCATTCCCTATGTCTCAGGAACCAATGATTTTATGGTTAATTTCAGGAAGGACTACTTCGAACAATTCGAAAGCTTCCCGTACGTGGCAGTGGACAAGCCGAGCAGCTCCTCTTTGAAACCCCAGAACGCCACATTGGGGCAGATGGGTCTCTCCCTGCAGGCCGAGTTCCAAAAGTTCTACCGGACGTCTGTCTTGGTGCCAGACAAGGAAACATGCTCCGAGGCCATCGTAGTGTTTCCCTTCAATGGCAATGGTGGCGTTCCATGGTATCGGGATACGAACATCTCCTATTCCCAGGACGGCTACGCTCCGGCATTACCTGGTTATATCAGCTGGAATTTGCTCTCGGTCATGAATGAAAGCCCTGAGGTGACTGTTCCTGTTGGGGCTATCAGATACCAGAGCAAGATTTCCCTGGTGGAAGAAGAGTATCCGGCTGCATTGGAGATTCAAGGTGCTAGTGGCTGTGATAAGATGCTTTTGAACCTGATCCGCGAAGTTACCTACGCCCAGGGACTACCGAAAGCTGTCAAAACAGGAAGCAAGATGTATTAGCTCTTTTTCGGGAAATTGGCGACGGTCTCACTTTTCAAGTTAACAGAATGAGAAGTCTTAATGTTGATTAATACTGGACCCACTAGACTATAATCTTGCTAAAAGAAGAAGCGGCTAAAGAAATACCTACATCAATATTGGAGAAGAAGTTTTTCCTACTGAAATATTCTGAGGCAATATTCTACCGTTCAAAGTTATTGGGAATGACTGCCATGATGCATGGCCCATAGTGTCATCCGTGAATGAGTATCTTCAATAGCTCCGTCTAAAAGTATGGATTTTAAATTATGGATTTATCCAGAAAATTTGTAAAACTAGGAGCTAATTCTGCAAATCAACTAACATGAATGAACTTTTCTGATACTAATTAACATCAAGGATCAAACACCTTTCCAGGGTTCATCAGCCAATAGGGATCTAGTGATTGCTTGATCGCCCTCATCACAGAAAGGGATTCTTCTCCTACTTCCCGCACCATAAACTCCTTCTTTCCAAGTCCAATGCCATGTTCACCCTATAAAGATACGGAAGTTAGTAAATTTCCGCAGCATTAAGGGAGAAATAATAGATATCCGATTAGAAGACTGACCGTGCAGGTACCCTCCATTTCGATAGCTCGGTGAACCATGTCGTGAACACACTTGGACACCGACTCATATTCCTTTTTGCCATCGTATAGAATTGTTTCATGGAAGTTACCATCCCCGATATGTCCAAGCATACTGCCGAAAAGTCCTAGCTTGTCGAGGTCTTTCTTTGAAACCTCTAATTCCGGCGTTAGCTGCTGCCCAAAGCCGGTCGCGAATGCAATAAGCGAATTATAGCTTACCAACAAGATCAGAAACTTTGGATAATGGAACCGCGACGTCTGTAGACCAAACCTCATGACCGGACTCTCTGAGACAGAGCATACTCCACAGTGCTTGCTTGCGAGCGAACCAAAGAACTTCTTGCTTTGACATATCCTTTTCGACCTCCAATTTGGACCCGTGATTTGCATGCACAATTTGAGTCACGCCATCGATGTTGTCCTGTACGCCTACCTTGGTGCCGCTAAATTTGAAAAATAGCGTGGGTTTCGCTTTCCACACTCTCCCGGTATCGCCCATTCGATTGATAACATCCATTTGCACGTCATCCAGAAGTTCGACGGCCCCGACGGGGATTCCCTCACGCACAACCTGAATAGCAGCATTCGTCGCATCTCTCATGGTTGGAAATGATGTGACGGCAACTCCGGTCTCTTCTGGAATTCGTGCTAGCTTCAAGGTTGCCTCTGTCACGAATCCTAAGGTTCCCTCGGCACCGGTAAAGAGGCCATTCAGATTATAGCCCGCTGATGACTTACTGCAATTTAATCAGCATTCCATACAAATTTCAATGCGAATGAGCCATACCGGGGCCTCTGTCGTGTTTTAAGGATACGGCCATCCGGTAAAACAACAGTCAAATTGATTACCCAGTCCTTCATGGTACCGTAACGCACAGCGTTTGTGCCACTTGCATGGATGTTAGCTGAGAAGACAGGCCAGAAGCTTGAATATAGGAAACCAGATAAACCTACCTGCAGTTTGTGGCGATCATCCCACCGATTTTTGCCTGTAGGGATAAAGTGAGCAAAAGATTTTATGCTCCTGGCTGCTTGAACAACTTTTGAAGAGGTGGCTCACAGGAGGGCCCGGGTCAATCGGGAAAAACAGCCCGCTTTCTTTGATTTTGTCATTCATATCCATCCACGACACTGAGGGTTGGACAACAATATCCATGCTGTTAAACGTGAGCGGTTCTGTATAGGCTTTGCTCAATGGTGGGATGGGGAAGGCATACTCTTCAGGGTGAAACTCGACGATATCGCACATGTTCATAAAATCAACACTAATTCCACCATGAGCCGCCGAGAAATGGCCTTCCACACTCGATCCGCCAGAATAAGGAACTGGAATTACCGTTATAATGGGGCTCTTCAATAATCAGGGGTTGGGGGCGTATTCACTCATTGGAACTTTGTACTTGGAACAGATTCTCGCAATCATGGCGACTTGCGCGGTGCTATTAGGAAAGGCAACTGCTGTAGGGAGCTGGTCGATGTTGATCGAGGACCACTCAGAAAATCCGTGTTGTCTCAGATCATCATCATCGGTGCTGATGCCTTCTTCTCCGAGTTCTTTTCGGATTTCCAAAAGTGCCTAAGAGCAGGATCAGTACAAGGTCAGCCTGTCAACAGTATCCCATCCACTTACCTTGCCTAGATCTTCCTTTGACGCATATACATAGCTCGGCTTCTTCTGCTCATTGATTCGATACTGCTCGTGCTCCGCGTCTGCGATGGGCACTTGCCCACGAAGGTTGAAAAGCAAAAGCCCGGTGATGAGTGATCCTCCTGCGGCTGCCAGCATGGATCTTGTCCATGATTTGTCGCCTGAAAAACTTGGACCAGGTTTTGCATCTTTTCCTGTAGAAAATTGACTTCTTCCAAGTGGAGAAGTCCAAAATACCCTTTGCCGGAACGTATGTGATCCTGGCCGGGCTGGGAAACGATATCGAGCTGGGACACATTGTAACAGTCGCAACATCTTGAAGACTCAAAATTTGATATCGAATGCGTTCGTTCAATGGATAGGCTCATGAAGTACTATTTAATTGAATTGTAGGTAGCCTTTAGGCCCATGTGGATATGACTACTATTAGTAGTAGTAACTGGTAGTTAGCTCTGTGCATTCGGGTATGTTCCGAGTTTACTGTCAGTATGCATTGCCCAATTTTGTGAATGGAGTATAGCCGATTAACCGGCCCCCGTGGCATTTACCGTTGTCTGACAAAACTGGCAGTTACACTGGTATGTCAGTCAACGACATTGTGAGATTTTACGTCATTGAGTTGACTTTGCGGCAGTCGCTTGCCGCTCATCACGCTCGGGAATTACCCGAGTGGAGCATCGACTTTGCTACACTGCCAGATATAAAGATAATCACGGGTAAACCCAGGGATAGGACTGAGGCAACCTGGGTAAAAAGAATTTCGATAAGTTTGACTATCAAAAAATGTAAGTTAAGAGTTTCCCCTCAAATGAACGAGAATCTTTGCTGAGTATGGATAAAGGTACACAGCGTCATATGCCTTTTTTGAGGCATTATGGGAGTTTGGGGTGCGCAACTGCTTCGTAAATCTGGGATCGGATCATCCTAGTATCATGGAAGCTATGGCGAAAGGATACAAGGAGAAGCCAGACGCATTTCCCAAGATTTACACTTGCCCAAACGAGATGGTCGCTTTGTCCATGGCGGATGGATACGCCCGCGTGACCAACCAACCTCAATGTGTCATTATCCATGTCGATGTTGGCACATCTGGGCTGGGAGCTGCTATTCATAATGCTTCCACTGGACGGGCGCCTGTTCTGATCTTCGCCGGGTTGTCACCTTTCACACTAGAGGGCGAAATGCGAGGATCTCGAACCGAGTACATGTAAGTCTTCTCCAGGTACGAAGCAAATCAAAAATACCTCCAGCTAATATTTTTCCAGTCATTGGTTGCAAGATGTCCCGGACCAGAAGCAGATTGTTGCTCAGTACTGCCGCTACGTGGGAGAGATCAAAACGGGCAAAAACATCAAACAAATTGTCGGTCGAGCTTTGCAATTTGCCACAAGTGACCCCAAAGGACCAGTATACCTTATGGGCGCACGAGAGGTTATGGAAGAGGAAATCACGCCTTATCAAGTCCCCATCGTATCCTGGGGTCCTTGCGGACCAGCCGCACTCCCTGAGGTCGATGTTCGTTACGTTGCGGAGGCGCTCGTCAGTGCAGAAGAGCCGCTTCTTATCACAGGATATAGTGGTCGGAATCATGATGCTGTCAAAGCATTGACTGAATTAGCAAATACAGTCAAGGGCCTACGTGTCTTGGACACTGGCGCCTGTGATATGTGTTTTCCGGCTGACCATCCAGGTTGGCTCGGTATGCGGTATGGATCGGATCCAAGCATTGAAACGGCCGATCTAATCCTCGTGGTTGATTGCGATGTTCCCTGGATACCGACTCAGTGCCGTCCCAAGGAATCAGCACATATAATTCACATCGATATTGACCCATTGAAAAAGCTCATGCCGCTGTTTTACCTCCCTACCACGCGGCGGTATGCAGCAGATTCATTCACCGCACTCTCGCAAATTTTGACATACATCAACTCTGCATCTGACCTCCAAACCGCCCTTGGCTCACCCGCTTATGATGAAAAGTGGAACTCGCTTCAGGCTCAGCATCAGGAGCTGTTGTCCGAGCTTGATAAACGATGCGAGCTCGCCCCGGGTTCCTCCTCGCTGAACACGTCATATCTATGTCGAGTACTCAGGGCCCTTGTGCCTGGTGATACTATTTATGCAATTGAGGCCGTCACCAATTCGGTGCCTGTGGCCGATCAAATCCGGCCTACCAACCCCGGTCAATGGATCAATTGTGGTGGAGGTGGCTTGGGATGGAGTGGTGGTGGAGCCCTAGGAATCAAACTTGCCGTTGATGCTCTCAGCAGCGCGGACAAATCCTCATCCAAGACGAAGCCCATGGTGATTCAAATTGTGGGTGATGGGACATTCCTCTTTAGTGTTCCATCCAGTGTCTACTGGATCTCGCATCGGTACCAGATCCCAATTCTCACAGTCGTTCTCAACAACAAAGGTGAAGCTCCTCACCACAAGTAGATAACCAAAGTGAAAGTCTAGCTAACCACCATGTCTTCACAGGTTGGAATGCGCCTCGGCGGTCCATGCTCCTTGTTCATCCCGACGGTCTCGGCTCCAAGGTGAGCAATGGAGAACTGAACATATCTTTTGAGCCGAGCCCAGACTATTCCGGTATCGCGAGGGCTGCCAGTGATGGAAACATACATGCAGCCCGAGTCAGTGACCGAGGAAAATTACAATCGGTACTGAAGAAGGCTATCGGTATTGTTCAAAATGGGACTTCGGCGGTTATTGACGTACATGTTGTTTAAGTAGTCACTGATTGAGTCAAGGGCGGTTCTTCTTTAGCTGAACAAAAGGAGAAGATCATTCAATCGTGTCGTTTTCGCTGAATTGCTGGCCATCCTTGCACCTGTACTCATTACTAGAAGAGGAACACAGACGGTTCTACTTAAGGCGCGACTTGTATCACAAGCCAATCAGAGTCCATTCTTTCTACTGCTGGAATTGACTTTGGAAGATAAAACTCGGAAGATATCCTATCAGTATACGAGGGCAATAGCACAAAGGCCACGATATTCTGCGCGATCCGGTATTTAGTGAAATACATCTCAAGATTAGTCTGAGTGACCCCAATGGTCCACTCAGATACTAACGCGTAAGTAACCCTTCAAATCGAGACTTGGGTCTAGGTCTTCTTCCGGTTTTGTATTCGATCCCACTCAATACAACTGTGATCTTTGGTCAACAATCTCCGAGAACTGGAAACAAATTCCGTGACTGTCGGATTACCTACCACGTGCCCATATGCATGTAAGGGGTAGTTCCATGGTTGAATCCGTGATTTACTTTGCTAAAAGAGAGATATAAGACCCACACAAATTTGAACTCCCAGGAAGTGCCTCAGCAAGTGCATCATACACAATGGCATCCTGATATAGCGATAGACAGATAAATGCTATCGTATACAGGACGTGCGATATAGTCTTTAGGTATGATGGGAAGGTGCCTCTGAAACCGGTATTTAAGACCTACAAGTACAATCGTACATTCTCTATAAATTAGCCATTGTTACACTTACACGTTACACTCACTATTGGGTTTTTCTAGGAGCTGCAAGCTTATCATCGTTCTTCCTCGTATATGAACTTCCCAGTAAACCTTCTCTGGGAAGGGATATAACTATCTTGCAGGAATTCTCACCTGATCACTCCTCTTTTCTCTGTCTCTATAACGCACTGACCCTAGGTGCGCATGGTGATGTCATGCAAAAGCGACGTCACCCTCCTGCTCGCCTGGGCGACACCCACCGAACTATTGATCGAGCATACTGTACACTCGGCCACACAATCCACACAGCTAATCGTTCTTAATTTTTACCGGTAAATTTCGGGATATTTATTTCTGTTAAATCCACTGTTTTATTCTTGAGAGATTCCAAGGTTCACCCAAGGCTATATCAGTCGTCGGCAAAGATGCAACGTTTTAAGAGAAAGAAATAAAAATGCCGCAATACGAACCGAAATTGTAGTTACATTTGTCATAACTCTTTATTGTGTATGCTGTGTGTGGGGATAACGAGAAAGATTCAATAAGCAAGAAGTCTGTATTGGTAAGGATGAGTGAGCGAAGGTAGATATAGCGAGAGCGAGTAGAGATCACATAATTATCTGCCATAGGCATATCCAACATAAGCAAAATTTCAGGGCTTCGGCCTGAAAGGTAGAGAAAATCTGCCCGTAGCATGTTATTCTATGCTACATAAAACGCGGTCAATTTGCAGTACTAAAGAGATTAGCTATTTCATTTCATTTTGTCGAGAAGTTTGACTCACATCGAGCTTTCCCGAAAGTGCCTGGACCCCCTTCTCCCTGGTGAGGCGCACTAATCTCGGCGCATCATGGTGCATGTTCACATAGGTATGTCTGCTAGTCCACTCGCATCTCTTCGAGCCACCTCGGTTACCCACCCATCTGCTAGAGCCTTCTATGAAGACTGCCTGTATTGCGTAGATTTCGTTGTCCCCGGCAATAATGTTAAACCCCATGAGCTGCTTCCCCTGGATGTTTATCAAAGCGTATTGATCCGGTATACGGTATCCCAAAATCATGCTTGGCTCGCCAGAGTCCATTTCCAGCAGACCAATCCCAGTTATAGAAGTGTGATCTGATTCACGCAGAACATACACCACCAGGCTGCGGACTGATTTGTTCAACGAAATAGCTTGTACAGATGGAGTGTGTTTCATCCTGCACCTCGGGCATATATTCCGACCCCTGCTATCTCCTTGATCACGGAGTCTGTCGCACCTGATTTTCAAAGAGAGACCTTTCCAGGACAGCTCACGAATCAAGCTGTGATGAGATTCTATCTCTTCATCACTGGCCTTGGTCATCATATATCTCTCCCCGAGCCATCGATTATTATGCCATCGTCGGCGGAGCTCGAAGAGATGACCATCAGACACATCCAAATTCACGGAACATCTGTATAACCGTCTCCAATCTCTTCGCCTAGGGGCTCGATATTTTGGACTTTTATCATGTTGGGCCTTCGGCAAAAGAGAATTCAGGAAGCCGCGCTCTCCATAGGGAAAAAACCTTGTCATCCAGAATATTTGAACTTCAAAGACTTGTGCCATTGATCGGGATACTTGCCGTAACCTGAAAAACTCCGAAGTGGACAGGTTGCTCGCGACTATAGTTCTGATCTCCAAAGGAAGTAATCGAAAGCAGTCGGTCTCAGACAAGATATGATCTTGGCTGGCTCCTTTCTGTGTCGGTGGGAGCCTAGGACAATTCCTAGCTAGGAGGCCTTTAACAATAGGTCGTTTTAAAGGATAAGTGTGCATTGCGTCGTACTTCATACATGATGATTCGTCTTTAACCGTGTTAGTTTCAGATTATGAACCCTTTTCAGAAAGACAACCTGCTCACACAAGGCATTCCTGCCTGAAGGAACAATTTCCTTACAGACTTCAAAAAAACGATCCAGATCCAGATCCTCTTCCAATTGTCGACTCAGAACAATCCAGCAGCTCTCATGGAATATGTGAGCCTGGCTAGGTTCCATACAGGACACTTCGTACCAAGGGCCAAACTTTTCTCGAAGTGCTGCCCTTTCGGAAGATCCGAGATGGCCAAAATCGCGTTGCATACTGCTCCAATCAACATTGGTAAAGTGGACATCACTCAATCTTGCACCATCTGAGGTGCAATATACTATAGCACTTGCGTCAGTCACATTGGTGAAGTTAAAGTCAAATCGAATAGGTTTACTCACGCGCTCGATAATATTTAAGCCAGTCGCTATTGGCACCAGGGGCTTGAGATTCTGCACCAATAGCATGTCCGCAAGAGAGGCAAGTGTCGTCACTTTGTCCGCAATAGTTTAGATAGTAAGGGTTACCGGACGGCGCCACAGTAGCGGATGTTTGCACACTCATAGTGAGACGATAGCTAAAGACCAGAAATATCGGTTTGTAGATGAACGAAGCTGGTTCATATGCCCCAATTTCTACGAGGGGAAAACAGTATAAACGTCAAGTTTAGGCACTTTATGCTCTTGATAACTAATTCTCTTGTAATGGTCATAATGACATAGAGGCTAACCTCTGTTAACTTATTAGAAACGGTACTGACTAATTAAGGTCTCCTCCCAAAGGCTAGAGGACGCCGAACGGGGTACGTAATTGGAAAGATACAATGCGTAAGTAAAACCAAGACTACGGCAGTGTGCAGTCACCATCAGCCTAAAAGACCCTTGCCCTTATTTCTGTCTTCAATTGCTTGTCATTGCTGTATTTTTTAACGATAACGTGTCCGGTAAACGAGTGATCACAATGTTTTCTGACCGCGCGTAGCGCGATCAGCCTCCCTCTTTGGTACAATTTTGACTAATGTAGTGGGGAAATCACGACACTTGTATGATTACTGCCTCAGGCAGTGATATCCTCGAGGACGGGTTATGGGCAACCTACGACTGTAGAGAAGGATAGACAGTTACAACAATGCCACTCATTTCCTGATTCAAGATTTATGATCATTATGCTCCTTGATATAGCATCTGATTATCCCTGATAGGCATCATCTGTCTAGAGCTCACAGACCTGACTTGTTGTTCGGTTTTCTTGCCACCATTTGTCGACCCGTCTGTTTTGACCAGACTGCCATCGAGCATCTCCCATTTCAAATTGGCGTCCCCGGGAAGGCTCACGATCGTAAGGTGTCTGACAACTGGCAGAGCCTACAGCAGCAGGAAAGTGGCGATAGCATTTGACCCTGAGAAGCAAGCGTGGAAGAGAGACAGGTCACATCTGTTCCTTGTGTTATCAGCTGAGTTGTTGGCAAAGGTAGCCTGAGTTGGGCTTGCTAACATGCAGGAAACACGGGAACTCACCCAGTTATATCGCGATCTGTTATCCAGCTCGTGCATTGGCAGTGCGGATTCGCTGCTGATGTTGCTACAGGCGAGACCGGCAGCGCTGCGTACGATGGCAGAGAAGAGATTTCCAGGCATTAGCTGGCTATGGCGTATGACCATGCAGCAAATGCTGACTCACGCTATCCTGAGTTATAAGTTAAAAGAAAGGAAGGAAGAATGCTCAAGAAGAGGAAGTGAAAAGGAAGCCCTTGACCAGCTCTATCGACAACCCCCGCTAGCATTGATTTCAGCCGAAAAACAGTCTCCGCTTTCACCAACAATGGACTTCGCCGAGGAGCGTGACCGCGGAAGGAGCCAAAATGAAGGACTAGCATCGTTCTCTGAGTATAGGGAGCCTGCTAGGGAGAGATCGGAGTCAGTTAGAACGACAGGCAGGCGTAGCGCTCTGCACCCTGAGCCGACAGCGCCAGTTCAGTCAGGTATAGCCGTTGCGCCAGTTGCGCAACTCGCGTCTATCCAGCAACAGCAGATGCCATATTTCTCCCCTCTGCCTACTCCAGGAACTCTGGGAGCGCCGTACTTTGACGGGTCTGACGCTACCCTGTTCCTGGAGAAGTTACAGGAGACATGTCGTCGCTGTGGGCTGCGCTCAGAGACTGAGATGCTAGAGATCTTGCCACAGTACTGTGACCGCATCACAAAGCTATGGGTTAAGAGACAAAGTCTGTGGGTCGCAAAGGATTGGGAAGGATTTAGAGAAGAGTTCTTAGAGCGATTCTATGAGACCGATGATGAACGCCTTCGATACACGAAGACGTATCTCCAATCTCTGGCCCAACAAACTCGGACAATGAAGGACGACATTCAGTCGTACTTGAGAGAGTTTGACGAAGTCTCGGACCGCGTTCTCCAGAATGGAGAGATTAGCGACAGCGAACGAGCGAACTTGTTGATCCAGGGACTGCCCCAGGTACTGAAAGAGAAGGTAGTACGACGCCACTCACGGCGACTACTACCGAGAGGAACGCTGATCAAGTATTCCGAAGCCTGGGGTTCGATCAGGCTCTGTGTCCGTGAGGAAGAAGATCTCCAGAGATACCTAGGCCAAGGAGGTGGTCGAGAAGGCAAAGAACGGTTAGATGGACACCAGCATCGTGTCACAGCTGAGAGTACACAGGGTCGAATTCACCATGATCAGAGCAAAGAAATCCGCGATATACGGTCGCAAATGGAAGCTCTCACTCTGAAACTGCAGGCTAGCCAAGACCTACGAAATGATTACCGGTATGAGCCTGATAGACGTACGCCGACAAACAACCTTGGAGTGAACCCGCCAATAAGCTGTTGGACGTGCGGAGGAGCTCATCTTTCGAGACCAGATAAATGCGAGGCACTCCGTGATATGCAAGGACGTGGCATCATGCATTATGACCAGATGAATCAAATGATACTAGGGACTGCGGACCAACCAGGGCCGCGCCTACGTGTTACGCCTGGAAGGTTGAATCGTGAGTATTTCCAAGAACAGTATGACCAGTGGAAGGGGTATACCACGGCAACGGCACCTTCTAGCAGGGTCACTGCTATAGCTTCGAATAGTGCTATCCCTATGTCATATTCAGCGCCGGTTCAATCTGTTGCGGCTACCCTCTTAGGTTCGGCGCCTGTGTGGGAAATTCTCGACGAGGACGATGAGGATCTAGCTGGACCAATAGGAAGTGTGAACGCGATTGAAGGACGCGCCGCGAAGCGGAGACGTGAACCTGATATCGCAAGGACTCGCAGTATTCACGCTGGAAGGTATCAGCCACAAGTTGAAGATGATGTTATGCAAGATGCTCAGCCTGAGGATTCCCAAACCCAGAGACAGGAAGATATATCTCAGGAACAAGTTGTTAGAAGAAGGGGGCCCGTGGACCCTGAAGTTGCAAGAAGAAAGTCACAATTATCCGACATCGTCATGCAAAAGATATGGAACACGGAAGTCACCCTCACCATTGGAGAACTTGCTGGCTCTGCCCCTAAGATCAGGATTGGCATGGGGAAAGGAGTTAGCATGGATGTTATCAATCAGCGGATCACAGACGTTCTCTCGCAAGCGCACACGCAGTCCAACTTTACAGGGGCATCTATGCCGGCAAAAGTCGAGAAACAGATCAATCAGCTTGCTAGCGATGTAGCAGACTATCACGCAGTCACTGGGAGCCCACTGCAATCCAGCACCCTGGCTTCTCACGTTAACTTCCAGGAAGTGCAGCTATCGGACTCGGCAGCCGGGCCCGTGTCCCGAGAATACTCCAGAGACTTGTTATTCGCCACGGTAGTGATCGGCAAAAGAGAGGTGCGAGCATGTATCGATACCGGGTCATCTGTTAACATTGTTCGACGAGAGATCGCGCAGTCCGTGCAGGCAAAGATGCGCCTGAGGCCAAGATTGAAGCTAGTGCCTGTTGATGGAGGAGAGTATGCGGTAGGCGCATGTGTGGAGAACCTGCCAATCAGCATCGGAGGAATCACGACAAGGACGCATACCATGGTTGGTGATGGATGCACGAATGATTTGCTGCTAGGGAGGATTTGGGCGAAGGACTCTCTACTGCAGACGTCCGAGAAAGGAGACGGCAGCGTCATCTGTACTATCTCTAGTCCAGACCGACGGACAAGCTATTCTTTCCTGGCGTACCATCCACGAGGGGGAGGCTCCTTTTATGAGGATCAGCTATGGCCGGGTGAAGCGAAGAGTGATGCTTTAAATGCTCAGGCAGATGTCTAAGTGGCATCGCAGCATCTGCCAAAGACCCGGATGCCAGACAGAGCTCATTTTCTGCACTGTCAGTAGCAGCAGGCGAGAAGCTGCTCAGGATGGTGGATAAGAAGAAGAGAGACGTCGCTGGTGGTTGTCAAGAAGAAGTTGTCCAGAGCGGACGAGCTGAGAGCGACGTTAGTTTAGAGAGGGGTGGTATTTCGGCCGAAAAACCGTCTCCCCAAAAACCTGAGGCACCTAACTGGGTTCCTACCCCGAACCATAAACATTACGCCGGCCATGCCTCACCTACCTACCCCGACATTGAATATAGGACGTCATTTGCAAGGACTGAGACGCGCCATGGACTGCCAAATAAGTGGCGAAGAAGATTACTGCCGCGACAAGGATCGCGCTGGGCAACCTTCAGACCAGATCTACGCGCGCTACACGCTGCACCTGTGAACACGCTATACAAACGAAAGGCAGATAAGGTTCAACCTGTGAGCTCGTCAGAGTCCGATGGCTCTATTCCTGCCGGGAACCCTGACTGGCAGAGGATTTGCCTGGAGAAATACCACACCCGGTACCGCGCAACTGACATCCAATCCGAGTTCGATGACCTACTGCATCCGCGAATTGCTACGATTGCGAGAGGTGCCCGACTGACCCCTGAGAGAGAAGCAACCATGCTTGTGGGAAACGGATTATTGCCGCGAGAGAAGCTGCTGCTACGCGAACTACTGTTTAAGAGGGAGGGAGTGCTGGCTTGGAGCTGGGACCATATGAGCCGGATTCGACCAGAGGTCATGCCTGCTCAGCGTATCAAGACCGTTCCCCATGAAGCATGGCAACATCCTGGGTTCAAGATTCCCCGCGCCCTAGGCCCTGTTATCATTGAGATGTTACGCGAGAGGCTAAAGAAGGGAGTCCTCGAACACTGCGACGGACCATACAGAAACCCCTGGTTCTTGGTCAAGAAGAAAGGTATCGGCAAATACCGACTGATCAATGCAGCAATGCTCATCAACAAGGTCACCAGAAGAGATGCAAACATGCCTCCGGACGTTGATGAATTTGCCGAGGAATTTGCCGGCATGGCGCTCTCTTCACTTGTTGACCTATACTCAGGGTATGACCAAATCACGCTAGCTGAGGAAGATAGAGATCTCACTGCCATTCAAACCCCGATTGGCCTCTTGCGGCAAACTACAATTCTACAAGGAGGCGCAAATTCTGTTGCGCAGTTTCAACGTGTGATATCATGGATCCTTCAATCTATCTTTGGCATAGTTGCTAAACCATTTCTTGATGATGTTGCTATCAATGGCCCACGAACAAAGTACGACGGTGAATTTGCCAGGCCAGGAATCCGCAAGTACGTCCTGGAGCACCTTCAAAATTTGGACAAAACGCTATATCTCCTAGAGCTTGCCGGAGCTGCTATTTCAGCCGAAAAGTCACAATTTGCTATGTCAGGCATTGAGGTCGTTGGGTGGGTCTGCGACTTCTCTGGCAGACACGCTGAAGAAAGCAAAGTTGCCAAGCTACTAGACTGGCCAACCCCTATTGACAAGGATGCACTACGATCATTCGTCGGACTAGCGGTCTACTTCCGTATTCTTATCGAAGAATTTCAGATCATCATGGAACCGCTCTACAGATGCCTCAGGAAGAACGTCACATTCGCATGGAAGGATGACCAGCAACAAGCGTTCGATAGAGTGAAAACTGAGCTATCCACGACTCCAACTATCCTGCCAATCGATTATACCAGCGATCCTCTTACAGTCATTGTCGCCGTTGATGCTTCTGGAAAGGGGTGGGGTGCTGTGCTGATGCAGGAAAGAAACGGTGTCCGAAAGCCGGCGAGATATGAGTCAGGAACGTGGTCTGAATCACAGCTTTCCTACGATTCGGGAAAACTGGAATGCCGCGCAGTCCTCATGGCACTGAAGAAGTTTCGCCACTGGCTATACGGCATCCACTTCATACTAGAAACCGACGCGAATACACTTGTGGCCCAATTGAATAGACCGGCTACTGATTTGCCTGGTGCATTGGTTACGAGGTGGATGGCTTGGATACGCCTGTTTGACTTTGATGTGAAGCACGTACCTGGACGGAGAAATAGCGCAGCAGACGGTTTATCGAGAAGGAGTCCCACGGCTAGCGAGCTAAGCGCCCAGCGGCGCGAGGTTGACGTTGATGACTTTATTGACGCGGAGATCTCTTACCTTAGGGCGAGCTGTCTACCAGCCCGAGCAGCTATGATATCCGATGACAACGCTGACGACGGAGAAGAAGACGATTTACCTGAGCAAGAAGCAACGTTGCTAAGACCTTTAGGAGATGGTTATTCAGCCGAATCACAGCAAATTGCGCGTTTCCTTATAACGCTACAACGGCCTCCTAAGATGTCAAGGTCTCAGTTTTACTACTTCCGAAGGAAATGCACAAAGTTCGTGGTCCAAGACAGTCATTTGTTCTATCGCTACAAAGGAAGAACAGAGATTCTCCGAAGAGTCCTTGACAACAAAGAAGACCAGCAACGAGCCCTAGAAGGGACGCATACTGAACTTGCCCACAAAGGACGCGAAGCCACTTACGCACTGCTCAAGCATCGGTACTACTGGCCACGTATGTATGAAGAAGCGGCTTCGTATGTTCGTACGTGTGTTGAGTGCCAGGCACGGGACCCTGTCAGACTTAGTGAGCCCGCGAATGTCACTACTCTTCTTCGCATGTTTGATAGATGGTACGTGGATACAACTCATATGCCAGCAGAAGATGGCGTCAAAATCGTCATTCAGGGAAGAGAGGCAGTCAGTGGATGGGTGGAAGCCAGGACCCTGGCTAGTGCAGATTCAGAGAGCGTTCAGTCATTTATCTTCGAAGATATCATTTGCCGGCATGGTTACCCGCGAGAGATTGTTATGGATGATGGTCCGGAGAACCGTGCCAAGACGCTAGCATTTCTCAAAGACAAAGGAGTCAAAAAGGTGACAATATCGGCCTACCACCCTGGCTCAAACGGACCCGTGGAGCGAGCGATGAGGACACTGAAAGATGCTCTCTCAAAAATGACGGGAGGTTACCCTTTTCAAAGACATGCACCTATCAACAGTTGGAGACCTCACTTTCATGCCGCGTTGATGGCGGATAGGGTTACAGTCAATGCCACAACAGGGCTCTCTCCATATTATTTCCTATACGGCATTCATGCAGTCCTACCAATAGAGCTGGAGATGCCCACGTGGAGCACACTGCCATGGGAAACTGTCCGTGACCGCTCTGACCTTATTGCCATGCGGACAAGACAGATCGAGCGCCGCGAGAAGGATATCGAAGAAGCCGTGCTACGCATGAATCGCCTTAAGGAGAACAATGCAAGTTACTTCGACGATCACCGCCGAACAAGACAAACCCCTCTGAAGAAGGATGACTACGTGCTCTTACATGATAGCCAGAGGTCTACGGACATGACATCTGTACAGAAACTCCGCTTCAGGTGGCTCGGACCTTATCTCATTGACTCAGTGAAAGGGAATGGGTCTTACTCGATTAGGGAACTCGATGGCACAGTGCTAAGCCATATCGGTGACAAAGGAGCAGATGCTATCAATGGTGATAGGCTGAAGAGGTTCTACCCTCGGGGAATCGGGGATCGTGATAATGATGATGGTGATGGCACAGCTCACGGAGAAGCTATACAGCAACCCCATCAGCTACGTACGCGTAGGCCTGTTGGAAGACCAAGGAAGAAGAGGTAGTGATATGGTAAATTTTCTTTACGTTTTGATGTCTTTTGATGCTATTTCGGGTTTTCTTTGTCTCCAAGTTGTAACCGCCGTACTCAGTTTCTCTCATGCGTTTGCGAGTCTTTCATTCGAAGTCCTTCATTCATTTCATTTCTACGAGTCATCTGTTTTTCAGCCGAAAAGTCATCTCTCCTTACCACCTATCTCCCTACCTCCCACTGTTCTTACCCTCTTCCCAAAACCCACGAGCCGCAACGATGAGCGAAGAACGGTTTCCCCAAGAACTGCAGCTGCAAGGACAGCAGATCGAGTCTATCGAGGACGCTCTCGAGATCCTACGCGGCTGTGACAAACCTGCAGCCTACCAGCTTGCTAGCCAGCTACTCGAGAAGCTAGAGAACTACCACGAACGCGTCGAGGACGCGATTAGCCGCCTTTACGGATATGTTGACGAGCAAGAGCTATGGAAAGGACAAGAGGACCACGCAGAGTTCAGGCGCAGATGGAAAGAAGCAAAGAGGGTCCAGGAACGACAGGCATCCACAGAGTCCTACACTGCAAGCATCAAGATGAAGGCCATCACTGCATGGGGAGAACAGAACGCGAATGCCTTCTTCGAACACCTTGGGTCCAGAACCATGGTCGAACTTGCCAGCAAGTTCGTGCGATCCTCTCTCAGCTACGAAGACCTCAGATTGTCTGTCAATAACGAGGTCGTGCTACGTCTGTCATCTTCAGGACGTGGCATTCGCACCACCAAAGAAGTGATCCAAGGAGACTTATCAAAGGCACTTACCCGCAAGAACACCCGGCCACTGATCATCGAGGATTTAAGAAGACTGGGACTGCAGCTTGACCAAGATGGATACTGCTGTGCCCATGGCATGGGAAACCCGTTGCCAGTTACAGACACGGGGGCAGCCGTACTACAAGAAGTCAGTGAGGAGATGGACATGGACGAAGAATCCGACTACCCTCAGGAAGATGTTGAGATAGAGCATGGGAGTGACGTCTCTTCAGCGCTCTCAGACGCACCCTCTTATCTTGAAGATCCCGATTTTGACGCCGACGCTGACACTGGTGATAATGATTCGCTGGCTACACGCCGTACCCGCGTTGTGGACTGCGGCTGCGCTATTGAGAGAGCTGCTATGAACAGAATACTAGCGCTGCCTAAGGACGCTACTGAGCGGCAAAAGCTGATAGCGCTAAGGAAGCTAGGCCGAGGCATCTTGTCCGAAACTGTCACTATTGTCACGGAGATTGAGATATGTGAGGACCATGCAAAGAGAGTGTTTGACCTCTTTGGAATGAGAAGCGCTAGCAAGAATCATGCGGCATTAGCATGGCGTGTTGACTTCATGATCAAGAACCTTAACGACTGGGATACTGTGATAGCAGAACACGGCGCCTGGTTTATTCAGCCGAAAAACCAGGTCCCTAGCACTGACACTTTGAGCTTTTACCGCTTTCATCATAAGACTAGACAGCCACTGATCGCGAACTTTGATAAGGATGTTCCTTGGCTATCATTTGAGAGTCTTTACCGACGTATGCAGCCGTCCCTTACCGACAATGGACAACTCCCTACCGACTTGTTTGACCGCATGAACCAACAAGGCACCGTCGTTATCCCGCAGCTCTTCGGATGGCTCAAAGAGGACTTCGACGGCCAGCACCCAGGTGGCATTCTTGCTATGGCAAATGAGGAGATAGACATGTATGACTACCACTATCAGCCACGCCCTCACCGACCACGCCTGGGGTGGTTACGCGATATGTGGTACAGTATCATTCAACAGGTCGTGAGACAAGACCCTGCCTACTACGCATGCTACGTTTTCCTACGACCTGATCACGCATGGCGTCTGATTTCTTACCCTTACTACGCCAAAAGCACTCTGCCAGGAGAACAGACCTTCTTTCGGCACATCGATGTGAACCTGAATGACTTGTCTCACTCTGGACGTGGGCGCGCCATTTTGCAAGGCAGCCTTTCGCTTACCGATGAAGATGAGAATAACTGCACCGAGTTACTCTGCGGCATGCACCCTCACGTACAAGAATGGTGGTCTGATGTTAGGCAGAGGCAGCAAACTGCTGATGGTCCTGTCAGCCGTATCGAACCATGGATGTGGACGCGTGACGATGTTGCCAAGTACCATACGGATTGGACGAAAGAGATCTGTCGCGCCGGAGATGTTAGGGTCAGCCTGCCTACGTTACCCCACGGTTCTACAGGACCTGCCACTAAGATACGCCGCACGATACTGCCATGGTTTGTCCGCATCAGAGAGGATCACTCAACTCTCGACGTTCCTGAGTCAAACACATGGGAAGAGCTTGCCGCCGCCCATAGAGACCTCATTCCTGCATCAAGAACTCCCTCGGGGTTTACTAGTCAGAAGTATGGGCGTATCCCGTACCCATTCCCTGCTGCAGTACGTTTCTGCCCAGGCAACCTGATCTCTCGCTGCTTGGTAGGAGGTTCTCGCTGGACCGAAGCTGGTGTTGCCGACGAGCTCGATACCTTGTTCGGAGAGAATGAGGATGCTGCCATTGAATACGTAAAGTCATGGAGATCCAAGGCACAGCACGAGTATGTCCGTCTATACCAGACAATGGTAGACAGTGAGAAACGCGCCTTCGGCAAAGACTCCTTCTTCAGGAGAAAAGAACTGGGTCTGTCAGTTGATCCTCCCCTACCGCTTGACCGCGAGGACATTGCTTGAGTTATCATGATGGCTTATTGACCAGGGGACGGTCAATTCATGAAGGGGGGTGGTATGTAGTGGGGAAATCACGACACTTGTATGATTACTGCCTCAGGCAGTGATATCCTCGAGGACGGGTTATGGGCAACCTACGACTGTAGAGAAGGATAGACAGTTACAACAATGCCACTCATTTCCTGATTCAAGATTTATGATCATTATGCTCCTTGATATAGCATCTGATTATCCCTGATAGGCATCATCTGTCTAGAGCTCACAGACCTGACTTGTTGTTCGGTTTTCTTGCCACCATTTGTCGACCCGTCTGTTTTGACCAGACTGCCATCGAGCATCTCCCATTTCACTAATTAATTTCTTGTATTCTTAGTTAAAATAGTAAGTTTTTAAGGGGGAAAAGTAAGGAACTTAGTCCTAATTCTAAGTAAGTCATTAAACCGGTTAAGTTATTCTAATGATAGGGCCACCACCGACTGGGGCTGTCGAAGCCTCGATACCTGACCTATATATAGAACGAGTATGGAGTCCTTATAAGTTACTAAATTTTAGGGACTAGGTCAGTCCTTCGTGATACATTATGCGTATACAACTAGGCTATGTGAGCCTACGTTGATTCCTAGAATCAGCGTTCAGACTACCTTCTACAATATGTCTCTCTTATTATTGTACACGCTTTATCAGGTTTCTATCTGGCTCACCCATTTAAACCCTAAAACTAGCGTAGTCTCACACCGACACTCATCGAACTATTGACCACGGATGAGCCACACAAATTGCACGGAGGGTAAGTAGTAGTTAGGTGGGTGACCACTAGCGAATACTTGCTGTTGTATGTTTTTTGCTCTTGATGTTTTGTACCGGAAGTGATTTTAATGATCAAGTAGTCATTGATTCATGCGATAATTATCATTGAATAATGTACGAGAACGAGGAACTCAACTTGGGAATGCTTGAAAGAAAAACGCTCATTCAGAAAAAGCACTGTAGATCTCGATAGGACTAGGGCACCCTGACCTCTGCTGGGAGCCAGCTTCGAAAGTCGAGGGGCTGGCTAACCACCCGCTGTTACAGAACCAGCTGCAATACATAGTCCATTCTCAAGTGTCAAGCCACTGCTTCACCGTCACTGTCACCATTGCCGTCAACTTCACTGACAAATTCACTGATAAATTGAGCTCACACTCCAACCGACCCCTTCAACCGTGACAGAACCAACGAGAAGTAAAGAGAGCAGAGATCCAAAGTTCTAGCGACCAAGCCGAAGACAAAGGAACGAAAGGATAGATTTAATCAAGACTGATTGGTATCCAGGAAAGATACAGAGGAGAAAGAGAAAATCTAGCCATAAAAATAAAACAATATCGTTCCCGTAAAAGGTAATCGACCGGGGAAAGCATGGTCGTGAGAAAAAGAACAGAAAGGTGCAACAAGTATGGATTTCGGTCCAGGTCACACATAAAACAAGATAGAACCTAAGATACACAGAAAAGAAAACACGACACTTCAGACAAGTAACCATGGTATAGACAAGTGCACGTGTGGGAGGGAGATGAGAGCGTTCCTTCTTCTCGCCTTCGTGCCATTCGCTTTGGGGGCTGCGGTAAGACTGCCACCGACTATGTTAATGAGACATTTAGTCGTAGAAGACGTAGTAGGCGTTGCCGGAGGTGACACCGACCTAAGAGGCTGGTTAGTATGGATTGAATCCAGAAAGTGGAGAAGATAACTTACAGTGCAGCCGCTGTTGCCGCTAATGGCACCGTTGGAGTCGTAGAAGGTACCGCCCTCGTAACGGCACTCGTCGCTGAGGTTGTCACCGACGAGCTTGACATTGAAGTCGAGCTTCTCGGTGGTGGTGGGGGTGTTGGGGAAGATGGACAGGAACTTGCCCGAGCTGGTGTAGCCAACGCCGAGGTTCAGGGGAGCCCAGTTACCGATGGGCTCGCTGCCGTCACCCCACTGGCAACCCTTCTCAGTGGAGACTCCCTTAGGGTTGACGTAGTACTGGGCGGAGGTGGCCTTGCCTTCCCAGTTGAAGTAGGTGTCGCCGTCGGGGCAGGTCAGAGGGTGAGTGGCACCAGAAACGGCAGACAGAGGAACGGTCTCGGACTCGGTACCGGGGTAGTCGGTACGGCAGACGGCGACATCGTTGGACATCTGGTTCTTGACGTGGACACCGCCAACACCGGGAATGCAAAGCGTCTTGTGAGCAGAGTTGGTCAGGTGGAGCTTACCGCTCTTGCACTCCAGACCACCGACGGACTGGCCAGTGCTACCCTGGGTAGTGGGCCACTGGGACTTTTGGTATCCAGCGGGACAAGCGTAAGAGCACATGGCACCGCTGTGGCACTCATCGCCAGTAACGGCGGTGACAATGTCACTGACAAGGTCATCGATCAGGGTCACGTACTGGATACCAGAGTAACCACCAAGACCGAGGTAGTCGAGAGCAACGGCACCGTATTCGGAGGGGAAAGTACCGCAGTCAATTTCTCCATCGGGGAATTCGGCAGTGACACCAGTCGCACCCGAGTTGCTGGAGCTGGAGGAGCTACTGGTGGCAGCAACAGTGGGGGTAGCAGTAGCAGAGCTAGTGCTGGTGGGCTCGACGGTGCTGCTCGAGCTCGCGGGGGTGATCGCGGCCGCGGTCTCCTGGAGGATAGCAGGAGCAATGGTGGAGGTGGGAGCAGTGGTGGAGGTGGAGGTAGGAGCAGCAGTGCTGGTGCTGGAGGAGGAGCAGGCAGCGGCAACGGCGCTATCGAGCCACTTCAGCTTGCCATCGGCGAGACCCTGGCAAGCCTCACTGATGCCGATGGCCTCGGGAGCACCGTCGTTCAGCACGACGAATTCGTACTTCACAGCATCGGTCTCAGCGGTGCGCTTGTTATGGTGGTGAGCGTGTCCGTGGCCGTGAGCGGTCGCGAGACCAGCCGTTGCCAGAACGGCAACCGTGTTGGTGAACTTCATTGTTTCAGCTGAAGACTATTGATGAAATGTGTTAGTCGCATCCAGTTCATGGTGTCATCGCTATATTATGTCCATCTTGCTCGCCAGCCCATATCAAGTCGCATAGCTCGAACACGCTCCACTTTTGAATAAGTAGCGCATTGTCGCTTGACTTTGCTGTCGCACAACATTGGAGGGCTTTGTTCCTCGACCCAGCAGACGATGGATCCCCATCGCGCTACTTGTCGCAGATATAGAGAACGGGAGATTGCACGTACATCAAATTAAGCAAGCGCGGGATTTTCGACAAGGCTGTACAGTAGAGAAGGACAGTTGAGCTTTCGGGGGGGTCAAAGGAGTGTGTTAGAGAGACTAAATCTCTCTGGTCGGATGGGAAAACTTCGAAAGGACTGAAGACTGGGGAAGAAGGGAGGATACAAAAAGGAGGGGGGTCGGGCCATGTCCCAAAAGCGTTAGCGTGATTACTATCCATGACCAGAAAAAAAGGGGGAGCAAGTTTGTATAGTCTCACACTGCCTAGTGGATGCCCTTGGCAACTCCTAGTCACTGGCATATCATAAGTCTAGAACGCCATGTCCTCGTCCTTGTCCTCTCCCCTATTTACTCTTTTCTGGTTTCCTCCTCTATTTTCCCTTCCCCGTGGTGCTCCAAGACCATGCTTTGTTTACTTGGTCCCTGAGGCCTTGGCGTTCAAACGAGATTAAACTGCCAGGGGGCCACCAATGAAAACATTACCCGCGCCCCTTTGGGGCCCCCGTTATTCAGGTACGCCAATCAGAGTCAACCTCAAATTCCTTGCGTATCCATGGGTACCGGTTCATTTGATGAATTCAATTCCCTGTTCACATTGTACAGTATTCCAAACTTCTCATGATCGTCAAGGGGGAGGGCCTATCTAGATCACTTGGGACTTACAGGTACATGCATCTCCATCCCCCTGACTGAACAGCAGGGGATTTCCCCTGACTCTGTTCTCTTAATATCCGACTTGTTCATACGGTGAAAGTATAATAAAGTATCCGAATGGAGAGTCCAATGTGATCTCATCGCAGTTCGTAAACGAAACCGTGCGATGACGACTCCACGTTGATCTAATTAACCTCTCAGCCCAGCTCCATTACCCACTCGACTTTGCATTAGCGCTTGATTTGCAGTGATGGCGGTCAAGCACTGTACATCTACTGTAACATGCAGCATTCAGGCTATTGGAAGTAAAGTAATAGCCGAGCTAGAGGCAGGTCGTGTTGATCCACAGCAATCTTAATTGCGTACACGGTACGGCTTTTTCCGCGTCATGGCTCTACTAGAAATACGCTAGAGGTATCCTAGTTCACCCACGTTGTTCTCCATTTCCAGTCGTGTTTCCAGCTTCGGAAACATACTTTGTGATGACAATGCTGCTCGAACAGAACTTCAAGTCCGATATAGGGCTCCATTTACTAACCCTAAATGACAAAAGCCGCAAGTCTTGTGATGTATAGTAGGATACCGGAAGCTCCACACATGCTCCCCTATGATGCCAGTCTATTGTTTTGCTGGTGCCTGCACTACAGTCAATGCCACGCTACAAACACTAAATACGACGGATCTTAACTGGTACCGATGCTAGCTCCATCGGCCCGACTCTTTTTCCTCTACAATTCTCGTTTGGGCGGACTCGGCTACCGTTATCAGACAGATCGTGGGGAGAGGCGTGCGCGGCTCCTGGTTTAGTGACTGCTGGCGTGCTTTCCCCCTCTCCACGTTCATGCATTCATATATGATTACCGGAGGTGTTTCCATGGTTTGTCGGTTATACAGCTACTGTTCATATCACTGTTAATTAATTCCATCGAATTGTGTTCCAAATCGCTGTCAACGCCAGTCATAGGGCTTAGTGCCTATATATACAACACCAACGTTAATATAACACTTGAGCAGTGCTCTCGCTGTAGCATTTTCCCAGATTTGACCATACTTGTAACCCTTGCGTATTTTGAAACGCACTTTATGTAACCTCCTGTGCCAGCCGTATCCTCACCTTACAGCATCAGCACTGCACCTCCTATCCCAGCCCTCAACACTGCCAACCTAGTCATCAAAATAGCCCCTTGGCTCATGTCGCTTTTCAACAGTACATCCCCTTCATGTGCAGTAAGTACCGTGGGGTCTATGGTACTCTTCACAGGCGCTCCTTGACCGCCCGTGGATATCTATAAATAGCCATCAAACCAGCCGCCGCGGACTTGGCAATTTATAGAAAGGCGATCAATTCTCATATCCATGTTTAGCTCGAAGCGAGGGGTCTTCTCTGGAGTAGCTCTAGACATCCTGAAACACGCTAACATCGTAGTGACAGCAGAGCTTATTCCAAACTTATTTCATCTCGAATCACGCCTTGTTGATGTGCAGGTCGTGAAACATCATGATCAGCTGTTAACATTTAGTTGATCAACTGCTTGAGAAAATCCTTGCGTCCGAAATTAGATCTCTTCTCTGGCATATATGCCGATGTAACCATGATGGGAATATTTCAGGTTAGTAGATGAATCGGGTTGTCTGGGGCTTACATGGAGAGACCTCTCATGTTTGTTGTCTCAATTGCTCCAACAAGGCTTGAGATTGGGTGTATAGAATTTATTTTCAATCTATTTCTGCATGTTGCATCTGCTCGTTGCCACTTTGCGATCCAGCTTAGGAGAGACATGGTAGCCTGACAAGCAGACAAGAGTAGAATATGGGCATTCTCGTATCAACTCAAAATAACATCCAGATATCACAGCGGGCTCTGGTGAGATCGCTTGCCTGTCGATGTTTTCAAGAAGTTTTGGGGTATGCAATGTCTAGCGTCGTCAGACTATTTCCACAATATGAGCCTGAATACCAGGAAGCCTCATAATTCTGGATTTTCATGGCTAATCGCTCCATTCCTAGTTCTCCTATGACCCAACTTACATCATTAAACATTCCAGATTTGTTGACTATGAAAATTGGCCTGATATCTAAATAGTTGGCGCCTCAGGCGGCAAGGCACCAACTGGGGTCTGGACTGCCAAGCCGGACAAACTGCCACCGCCTTCCGATTTTTTTTTTGAGTCCCGATATCATCGCAAAAAAATTGGAGATGTTCAACGAGTCTACAACTTGCTAAAATGGGCTCCTCTACTACTCAACTTACCTCAAAGGTGGCCTCTGGCTCACCCTATCAGCTCGATAAGCCCCAGGTTAGTAATAATGACTCCGGAGACGCAATTGCGCAAAGTACTTATCGGAATCGAATTAGGCCCTCAAAGCTTCGTCGGCGCTGTTGAAGCACATCAAGTCCTCCCAGGATGAGAAGGAGAAGTCTGCGACCAAGAAGACTTTGATTGGTGACGACTCCGATGACGAGGACAGCGCCATCAATCACGAGGCTGTCTGGCTCGTCCTCACCACCAAGCAGCACGTGGTGGACAAGAACCGCCTGAAGCCCGGAAAAATCGCTCTCCCTCACTCCCTCAACACATCTCCCTCTCTCAGCATCTGTGTGATCACCGCCGACCCCCAGCGCGGTGTCAAGGATATCATTGCCGACTCCTCTTTCCCCCAGGAACTTTCCGGCCGCATTGAAAAGGTCATCGGTTTCTCAAAACTCAAGGCCCGCTACCAGAGCTTCGAGAGCCGCCGCCAACTGTTTGCCGAGCACGATGTTTTCCTGGCTGATGACCGTATCGCCATGCGCCTTGTCCAGACCCTTGGCAAGATCTTCTACAAGTCTAGCAAGCGTCCCATTCCTATTCGTATCGCTGAGATCGAGAAGGTCGATGGCAAGCGTGTCAAGAAGGACCCTAAGAAGAACAACAACTCCAAGGATGATGAAAAGAACTCCTCTTTTGCCGCCCCACTGATTGTCGCCAAGGAGATGGAGCGCGCCCTAAACTGCGCTCCCGTCCAGCTTGCTGCCTCTACCACCGCTTCCGTCCGCGTTGGTTCATCCAAGTTCACTCCCGAGCAGCTGTCCGATAACATCGCTGCTGTTGTCAACGGTCTGACTGAGAAGTTCGTTGTTAAGGGTTGGAGGAACATCAAGGCTCTGCACATCAAGGGTGCCAATACCATGGCTCTGCCCATCTGGCTCGCCAGTGAATTGTGGGTTGAGGACTCCAACGTATTGGAGGCCGCCCCTGAGACCGAGGCTATCAAGGACTCAAAGAAGCGCAAGTCTGTTGTTGAGCCAAAGGCTATCGAGGAGAAGAAGACCAAGAAGACCAAGTCCGCCGACGACGAAGAGGAGGCCGCATTAGTGGCTGCCCGCAAGGAGAAGCTCCAGAAGCTCAAGGCTCAGGCCCTCGAGGATGGCGAAACAAGCAAGGTTGCCGCCCCGAAGACCGCAGGCAAGAAGAAGAGAAAGTCGACTTCATAATGGTTTTAGCTCTAATGTTTTCTGCATGTAAAGGTATTTCTGGCGTACAAAATATCACGTGTGTCTATTGTTCCTGCATTTCTATATTACGCTAGCAATCGAGATCAAATGATTCAACCAAATGGAGCTCCAAATTCCAGTAGACGCCGTAAAGAAATTCTCACTCTCCTATCCTCATTCCTGATCAGTCGATATGATCACCGCATTAACCGAGTCCGACCTCGGGCGGCGGTCTTGGCATCCCGACGATAGCCACCATCACATCACCGTGAATCGCCGAGCTTCAATCTTGACCTTTCCACCTTGAAAGAGCAACCACAGATTCTTTCATCAAGTCGTCAGCATGATTCCAATCGCCAGATACTCTGTTTTGCGGGCTGCCCGCACCCAGCTCCAGCCCACCCGCACACTGAACCAGTCGGCGCTCGCCCGCCTTCTCTCGACCCTCGCAGTCCTCGAGCAGCGCGATGGCAAGCTGCAGTCCTCCTCTTTGTCCGCAATCGCGGCTGCACAGAAGCTCGGTGGCTCAGTAACAGGTTTCGTCGCCGGCTCTGGTGTCAAGGCTACCTCCGCTGCCGAGGCTGCTAAGATCAAGGGCGTTGAGAAGGTCCTGGCTGTTGAGAACGATGCCTACGAAAAGGTATGGTTGATTCGCTATACAGAGAATTGCATGTTTCTTGAAACAGCAGCTAATGTCCCGCTTTTCCCACCTGCAGGGCCTCCCCGAAAACTATGCGCCTCTCCTCGTTGAGAACATCAAGAAGGGCGAATTCACCCACATTGTCGCCGGCCACTCCGCCTTCGGCAAGAGCCTGCTACCCCGCGTGGCCGCACTCCTAGATGTGCAGCAGATCTCAGATATCACCAAGATCGAGAGCGAGGACAGTACGTGAAGACCGACGAAGAAATATTGACATGTGACACCGCCAACTAACACCCGAAACAGCCTTCGTCCGCCCGATCTACGCTGGCAATGCTATCCTGACCGTCCAGTCCACCGACAACATCAAGGTGATCACCGTGCGAGGCACCGCCTTCCAGGGCGTCGAGACTGAAGGCGGCTCCGCCGAGATTGCCGAGGGCGCTGATCCCAACGCCCCCGCCTCAACCGAATGGGTGTCTGAGGAATTGGCCAAGTCTGAGCGTCCCGACCTTGCCACTGCTACCCGTGTCGTGTCCGGAGGCCGTGGCTTGAAGTCCAAGGAAGAGTTCGACCGTATCATGCTTCCGTTGGCGGACTCGCTTGGTGCTGCTATTGGTGCTTCCCGTGCTGCTGTTGACAGTGGCTTTGCCGATAACAGTTTGCAGGTTGGACAGACTGGTAAGAATGTTGCGCCTCAGCTCTATCTCTGTGCTGGTATCTCTGGTGCCATTCAGCACTTGGCTGGTATGAAGGATAGCAAGGTCATTGCTGCTATTAACAAGGATCCCGAGGCTCCTATCTTCCAGATTGCGGATGTTGGTCTTGTTGGTGATCTCTTTGACAAGGTCCCTGAGTTCACTGAGAAGGTTAAGAGTGCTTAAGCTGTGTGTGAATTGTTTGTTCTTTGTATCATGACCTATTGAGTAGGTTGGTGCTTTTTTTTTGTCTGTTAAAACAACCGTACAGTATACCATTGACTAGAGGATTAGGGTCTTTTTTGGCTTTCTGAATCCAACATTTTCTTCATACTTTTGGTGTCTTTGATATAGCCGGTATCGCCGAACAATATCACTTTGTAGAACAGGATATCTAAACTACATATTTATTCTAAGCTGCCACAAAATTACTGTGCGTTTTATATCTGTTCTCTATCTTTGGTCTTTTTTTATAACATGCAGTACATGCACTGTACGAAGTACGAATGTAAATGTTAAACGTAAAGCACTATGTTACCGAATCGGGACTAGCGCGTCTCCAGCACGCGTCGCGTCTTTATCAGAGGGGAATTACATCGGACCTTCAATTGACAGACATGACAAGTCCGAACGCTTGAATGCTTCCGTCGTCGCCATCGTTCTTGTCCTCATTCGACCCCGCTCTCCACCTCCACTCCGAAGGAGCTGAAAACACCAACACCGCCAATCCTCCGTCCGAATCCTTCTCCGACGATCTCGACGCAATCCACGAGAACCGCCTCGACCAAACACGAAATCGGGTTGTAATCCAGCACCGTGCTTGGGATTTATCGGATGTTTTTCGCAGTGAGGACGATATAAGACCTGGTTCGCTACCTCAATATCAATTTACCACGTTTTGGCGCTGACTGGCGCTTAGCAGATACACCTACTAAGAATACTGCTACGACGCCCAGAGCAATTAGCGGCACTCCCATTCGAACTTTATCTTTTTTGCCTTCTTCGCCACCCGTTTCGAAGATGCCGTTCATCTCCTTGCCCGGCACGACAGCGTCTGAAAATGCCGCCAACGATGCGCAAAAGAGAAAAGCCGAGGCAGGCCCGAAATTAACGGAGCCAAAGCGACAGCGCATGGTTGGAGGTTTTGTTGACGACGATGAAGATGATGAAGACGACCTTGACGCATTCCGTGACGAGCATATGAACAGCCAACATGACTTGCCCGCACATTTCTTCCAGGAGCCCGCTTCGACCTTACCTGGTATACCGCCAGTAGAGAAACCTACAATTCTAAATGGAATCATTGACTCAACACCAAAGGCTTCCCGTCAGCTCCCCATATTAACACCAAGACCTGCGCCCACGGCCCCCCAGAGATTCCAGATCAAGACTTGCGCCGGCAAGACACATAGTATTTCTACGAAAAAGGCCCGGGCCCTTCCCTCCTATGAACAAATGATTGCTAGTCGATCCGAAACGGAACCTGGAAAAGCGAAGAAGAGTTATTATGGTATCGACATACATCAATTGCTAGATGATGCGGCCAAGGAAACCGAGACATCAAAGACGAAGCCAAAGCCTCACGTTCAGGAGAGCATTGAACCAAACAATTTGAACTCCAAACAGAAAAAAGTTGATTCTGCAATGTGGACTGAGAAATACCGGGCTCGCAAGTTTACAGATCTCATTGGTGACGAGCGTACCCATCGAGGAGTGCTCCGTTGGCTTAAAGGCTGGGAGCAAATTGTCTTCCCAGGCCTGGCCAAATCTAAAGCGAAAAAGGCTTCCAAGGACGATGAAGATGACTATGCGCATCGAAAGGTTCTTCTGCTGAGTGGCCCGCCCGGTCTTGGAAAGACCACACTTGCACATGTATGTGCCAGACAGGCCGGTTACGAAGTCCTTGAGATCAACGCCAGTGATGACCGCAGCAGGGACGTTGTCAAAGGTCGTATTCGTGATGCGCTGGGAACAGAGAATGTCAAGGGTATGAACGTGGAGGTCGGCGAGCAAAAGGTCCGTCGTGCCGGCAAACCCGTCTGTGTTGTCGTTGATGAAGTCGATGGTGTTGTCGGTGGCTCTGGAAGCAGTGGCGAGGGAGGCTTTATGAAAGCTCTCATTGACCTCGTCTTACTTGATCAGCGGAACTCGAAATGGGCGACAGAGAACAGCGGCAGCAAGAAACGCAAGGGTGATAACTTTAGATTTATGCGTCCGTTGATTCTGGTTTGCAATGATCTTTATCACAGCAGTCTTCGGCCTCTTAGAGCATCTTCTATCGCCGAGATGGTCAGTGTTCGCCAGGCACCCCTGGAGAACGTTGTTCAGCGAATCAAAGCGATTTTCATCCGCGAAGGAATCGCCTGCGACAGTGATGGTGCTCGAAGACTATGTGAAGCAGCTTGGGGTTTAGCTGGCAGAAAGCAGCGCAGCGGTAGGACTACCGGGTCTGCTGAGGGAGACATCCGTAGTGTGCTTGTTGCCGCAGAATTCGTGGCACACAAACTTCGAAACGAGTCTTTACCATCATCACTCAGGCTTAGCCGGAACTGGCTCGAGCAGCGAGTCCTGAATGCATCAGCTGAAGGCAGCTCTTTCTTCAAGGAGCTAAGTCGCGGCGGTGTCCGCGAGATCGTGAACCGCGTCTTCACAGAGGGCGCCGGCTTCTCAGATGGACCTGTCGGCATGAGCTTCCAAGATAAATATGACGGCCCCAACACCCGTGTTCCTGTCGGCGTGGCAGATCTTCGCAAGCGACACGCCATTAACCGATTACGGGAAATGGTAGATTCCAGCGGTGATCAAGATCGCTGTGTGTCGGATTGTTTCGCCTCGTATCCTATACAGCAATACCAGGATGACAACTACTTCTCCAAGCCCAACACTGCGCACGACTGGCTCCATTTCCATGACACGATGTCGTCCAAGGTTTACTCATCTCAGGAATGGGAATTGATTCCTTATCTCAGCCAATCGGTCGTCGCTTTCCATCATCTATTCGCGACGGCTGCGGGCAAAACCGAGATTGAAAAGAATGACGATAACGAGGACGTCGAAGAGGCACATCCTTTCTCTGGACCAAGAGCCGACTTCGCTGCCTTCGAAGCCCAGAAGGCCAACCGCGCGACATTGATTGCCTTCCATAACTCTTTCTCTGCACCAATGGCCCGAATTTTCCGATCATCCGAAAGCGTGATCACAGATCTGATACCGCACTTAACTCGAATGCTCGCACCAGACGTGAAACCAGTCATCATCCGCGGAAACGGTGACCAGCGCAGTTCCGCCAGTGTTCGCAAAGAGTCAGAGCGGGCACTCGTCCAATCTGCAGTGGGCGTCATGAGCGGGATGGGAGTGACATTTGAAAAAGTTCGGGTTGAACAAGACGGAAACTATGGAGGATGGGCGTACAGAATGGAGCCGTAAGCGAACCAACCTCCAAGAACGCAAAGACGATCCATAACAGACATACCCGCAATACTGACCAAACTCACAGACCAATCGATTCACTTGTTTACTTCTCAAAAACAAAAGGCAGCACCATCGACTCATCAGGGAGCACAGCACCAGTCCGCTATGCCCTCCGCCAAGTTCTTGACCAAGAATACCGCAAAGCAACAGCACGCAAACAACCAGACGCATCAAAACTGGGCACGACGGGACCCAGGAAATCAGATGATGTCGCTGCTAAAGCAATCAGAGATGCAGCTGTCCAGCGGGATTTCTTCGGTCGTGTTGTTGCGACGCCTGTTTCCCTGGCTGCGGACTGTGAGGGTGCTAATTCAGCTGCGGATGAGTCTTCCAAGGCTGGGAGGAAGGTTTGGGTTACTTTCCATGAGGGATTCTCGAATGCTGTTCGTAAACCCATTTCGATGGGTGAATTGATGGCAGGCTTGTAATTTAATTAGGGGCTGTATTATTTTCATGATTCCAGCGTTTGTGATGGTGTTTGGATTTGGGTTTTGCTTTTGATGTGAATGCATCTACAGTAACTTATTCTATGATGATTCCAGTTCTATATGAGACAATGCACGACTCTATTCAAGTGATATTAAAATGAAATACGGTTAAAGTAAATGTATAGAAATAATTTTATTGAGAGCCAGTCAAATTAGTGACAATGATAAAAAAACAGTTATATATATCCCTCTCATTCCCGTACTTGAAAGTCACGTTGGCAGTCACAAGAAAAGAGCAACGTGAAAAGAAAGAGATTGAAATATGAAAGACATAATCCAGAACCAAAACATGCAAAGCAAGACCATAGAAATTCAAATATTAAAAGCGCGTAAAAGTGGTATCGTATCTATGCAATCATTCCATCGTGGAGGACCCAGACAAGAGACCCGAAGAACGCGTCCAAGCAAGGGCAACAAACGCGCCAACAGAATCAGCCCGGCGAGCAAATGCATCTCAAAATTGACAGTTGCAGACTTGCCAAGTCAAGAGAATGTATCGACTCTTTTTGAGAATGGATGACAGTATGAAGAATGTTGTCATTTGTTCCCATTCCATAAATGCATGTGAGCATGCACCAGACTGAAGCTGTATTTAGCGCAGGGCTAGATAGGTTGCAACAGCTTCGTAGTGGATAGCCTTCTTCTCGGCTGTGGACTTGGACTTGGGTTGGGATTCGGTTGTCTTTGTTGTCTTTGAGGGAAGGGAGAACCACTTCTTGTTCGAGTCTGTTCCCTTGAGGGTGGAGGAGGTGGAGATTGTGGAGGCTGCGCTCGACATGGTCTTTGTGGACTTTGAGGAAGAAGTGAAAGGCATTTTCGCTGGTTTGAATTGTGGTAACGTGGATTGAAGACGGGTTCTTGGAGGAAGTGGATGGAGTTTGGAGATATGTGATGTTTGGTGATTGTTGACGAAGGTAGGAGTCAGTAAAGTATGACTTTAGGTTGAGAAGTGAAGTCGATGGTTAGGCTGGGATGAGAGGGAGCTCTGATCTAGAAATGATCTTGATTTGTATTGAAATATGATCCTTTTTATGGGGATGATCTAGGGTTTTATATAGCGATCCATGTTGATCATGCCCAATATAATTTACTCCGTGACTCCGACATACTATGACACCCAAGAAAAAAAAAAGAAAAGAAAAACTAACGACTGATAGATCAGACTTCGACCCACAGACTCCAGACTTCTGTCTACAGTACGAAGTAAAAGCCTCAGAATCGACGTCACAGCCTTATAATGTGGGGCCGAGAGGTCGGAGTAAAAAATCGGAGTTCAAAATTTCATCGAATTAGCTGCACTGAGACCACGCGAAGGGCACCCGTGACTGGCCACGAGCCTTGGATCAATCAAACTGCTTACAAAACTTCTGATATTATCCACGTTGAGACCACTAGCCGCGTCCATCATCTTGCCTAAATAACAACCCCGATCAAAGACGGCGTCCCGATTGGGCAATTCAAGCACAAGGCCTCGGGTGCGGAGTGTAGCCGTCTATGACTGGATTCCCAGTCGAGAAGCATTATGCGAAAGGGCGTGGTTGGACTACGCTTGTGAGGTTCTAGTCCTTTGCTGAGCCACGTTTTGGGCCTAAACCTGGCGCTAATGTGCTATATCCACTAGGGTCAATTAACCACGTCGGTCTGAAAATCTGCACATGTCTGTACAATGTAGTTTTGATCTCTGAAGATTGAGTATTGGGGCTCTGGCCCCATGACTCCACCAGCCTTGGGGGTTTTAACAGTATTAGAAACCTACAGTACCTACAGTAGACGAATCATTAGGGTCTTGAGATTCCGACATTTGATATTGTTTAGAACCGCCTATGTTATAGCGACATATTTCCATGGATGATCATTAAAACCATATTAGTTCGTATATTAGTTCGTATTTGGCATATGACTTTGATTTCCAAGCGTCGCTTACGAAGTGTGGCTTGAAATGACTCAATGCGCGGGGTTGGTTTCAGACCCTGCAAGTATATTCACAAGGCTCAACTGATCCGAGTCGGATGATCGGAAATAACATTTCTATTGGAAGAGGTGACAGGGATGAGTGCATCTACTTTGATCCAGAGGCTCTGGCCAGTAGTCCGATCTTACTCCGATATTTATTCCGACGCCGATTTTTTACTCCGAGTTCTAATCCGAACAATGAGATCTAATTATAACGTTATCAACCAAGTGTGTTGTACTGTAGACCTATTAGGCTGCTTTGAAATACTCCGATGCAAAACGTATTCCGAGGTAGCCTTGAGCTCAGGTCGCCATAAGCCAAACATGTGCTCAGACACGCCATCGGAGTTCCCTGCAGGGATTGTAGTCCGGTCCAGTCCAGGGTGTTACTTAGCCCAACCTTTTTCTCACTGCATCTCCTGGTTGTCGACCTTTCTCTCCCTCTTCAAGTCAATACTGTGGAGTTAATGATAATCACTGATCGCCAATAAACCCACCATTGCGCAATCTTCTACTCTAACTAGAACAATAGTTCCACTTTCACTCGCATGGTGCAGCAGCCTTGTTTTTGAGTTCTTTTTAATGCGAATGCATCAAGACAATAAAGGGACAGCCATGGCTCGACGATGTGTCACATCAATGATACTCTTGCCAAAATGCCTAGGTGAAAGAGTCGTACTCCTTGGTAGTCTTCACACCGCCAGTCTGCAGTCTGAGGGGTTGGGTGGTCAAGCTGCTTGATCAGCGCCAATGCTGAAATACCCAAGCCAACTTCCACTATTATTGACTGCATGCAGATTTGAATTAGACATGGCTTACTATAATGACTTTGTTACGTTGTTGCAACTATGATTGATGGTCTCCAATGCTGTCGATCAGGGCTTTGACATCACCGTCAACTCTGAGGCCGAACCCGCAAATCCACCTTGATATCAATGATTCAACTCTCAGATCTCCTAGAGCTACGAGTCGCAGCTCTGATATCACAGAAAATGCAAAGTGCTACCTGCGGGTCAGTTTCAAAGCATTGGCATGTTCACGGCGCAATTCCGCACTTGAAGTCTCCGATATCCCGCCCCGTCATGCCCTGTTATTTGTCAGCTATGACCGAGCCGGACGTGATTAAATCATCGTGGGGAAGTCAGGGTCTTCCAAGGTTTGGAGAGGAAATCATTTAAGAACGTTCAATTTCCCCATTACTTCAATCAGAATAATCCCTGCAACCTCAAAATGTCTCTCAAGCCCATCACTGTCTACGGCCACGCCGGTGGCCCCAATCCCTGGAAGGTGATCATGATCCTCGAGGAATTGAACATCCCCTACAACCACAAGATCGTCGATTTCCCAGACATGAAGAAAGAGCCCTTTGAATCAATCAACCCCAACGGCCGCGTTCCCGCAATCGAAGACCCAAACACCGACACTACCCTCTGGGAATCCGGCGCCATTGTCGAATACCTAGTTGAGACCTATGATAAACAAAATACCATCAGCTTCGCCCCAGGCTCAAAGGACTATTTCCAGGCCAAGCAATGGCTACACTTCCAAGCCTCCGGCCAAGGCCCATACTTCGGCCAGGCTGTCTGGTTCACCCGCTTCCACTCAGAGAAGATCCAGAGTGCTATCGACCGCTATGTCAAGGAAATTCGCCGTGTTACCGGCGTGCTTGACCGTGCCCTTGCTGGCAAGGAGTATCTTGTTGGTGATAAGTACAGCTTTGTGGATGCTGCCTTCGTGCCGTGGTATGTCCTTGCTGCCATGTTTGAGATTGACATGGAGAAGGAGTACCCCAACACTGCTGCTTGGTTGAAGCGTGTGCAGGAGCGTCCTGCTATTTCCAAGACAATCCAGGATCGGGCTGAGGCAGTTTCCAAGCATCACTAGAGGGTTGGGGTTGGTTTCACACTTTAGATCTCAGACTTAGCCATAGAGAAATGATATATGGATAAAATTTAAGTTAATGGTTGATGACCACTTGGTATTCCACAAATTAAATAGCGATAAAGGACCATGATCATTGTGGAAGTGTGACACAACACCTCGTGCAATCTCCTAGATACTATCACAGCGTAACCCATTGAATACTTTTAAGCGCATAATCAATCCATATTGATACCTGAAAGTGTAAATACTCAGGTCTAATGCCCCTGGCGATTCATATACTTCAATGAACAAAGAAACCACGTGACCATACCATACACACTAGTCCATAAACAGTTAGTGGCGATACAGCTCTTGGCGCTCACCCGCGAGTTTTGCGTGTCGCGACATCAACCTCCCCCAGCTGTCCCCATATCCAATCATCACTTTCGGTCTCGTTTTCTATCTACACTGGCCCTATTTTAAGCCATTGTTGGATTGCTGCTCTTGGAACTCCGCAACACAGTTGCGCTTTGCAAGGACAGATTGACAGACGGGCAAGGAGTTCACCTGCCGACCGCGACAACCTTCTTGAATCAATCATGGACGACACTTACAACAACCTTACCGGGGCATCGGATAATGGCCAGTCTATGACTGGCATGGGTGCCTCAGATGCCAACCGCGCCCCCAGCCATGCTTCAGGTATGTCACTTGAATGCCACAGTGTTACATCGCATGCTCATGCAATTGAATAAAGCGCAATCGCGCCAGGATTCGCCTGTGAAGAAAGTTGAAGACACCGCTGTATCTGACGACCCGCTAGACGCCCCCGCATCCCCCAAACCCCAGAACGGTGGATCTGAACCCCAAGACGCCGAGATGGGTGGCACCGACACAGATGCCAAGCTTGACACCGAAGGATTGGAGGATGCAGTAGGCGAATCGCACCCGCCAGTTGAAGGAACCGAGGGGCTCGAAGATGCCGTGGGAGAAGACCAACCTGCACCCACCAAGTCGTCCCTGGAGGCCGCTGCGCGCGAACAGCTTGTCACTCAAACACACGCCATTATCCTTCCCAGTTATGCCACATGGTTCGACATGAACACGATTAATCACATTGAGAAGAAGGCTCTTGCCGAGTTTTTTAACGGTCGCAACCGCAGCAAGACTCCTGCTACCTACAAAGATTACCGTGACTTTATGATCAACACCTACCGCCTTAACCCCATCGAGTACTTGACCGTTACTGCCTGCCGTCGTAACCTTGCTGGTGATGTGTGCGCTATCATGCGTGTTCACTCCTTCCTTGAGCAGTGGGGCTTGGTCAACTACCAGGTGAGTAACCTCGTGCTTCCTCCGAAGCCCCCGTGCTAACTTCCGCAGGTTGACCCCCAGACACGGCCTTCCAACATTGGCCCACCTTTTACCGGCCACTTCCGCGTCGTCGCCGATACCCCTCGCGGTTTGCAGCCATTCCAGCCTGGACCCAACCACAATGTCACATCTGGCAAGGCACTCCCCGCCACTCAGCGTGCCGCTTCCTCTACTCCTGCAATTAAGGACGATCTCAATCTTGAACTCCGCCGCGGTATCTACGACGAAAAGATCAAGGATAGTGATAAGGATAAGCAGACAAATGGCGAATCCAACGGCGTGGATGTTGCCCAGGAACCCAAGAAGAGATCTCACTGCTTCTCTTGCGGTATTGATTGCACAAAACTTCGATTCCACTACGCCAAGTCTACTGCGACGTCAGCAAACGCCAGTGTCCCAGACACCAAATATGACTTGTGCCCCAACTGTTTCCTCCAGGCAAGAATGCCTTCCAGCCACAACGCCTCAGACTTCGTCAAGCTCGAGGATAAGTCCCACTCCCATGTTCCTGATAAGGACGCCCCGTGGTCAGACTCAGAGCTGGTCTTGTTGCTGGAGGGCCTGGAGAACTTCGACGAGAACTGGGAGCAAATTGCCAGCCACGTTGGCACCCGGACTCGCGAAGAGTGTGTTATGAAGTTCTTGCGGTTGGAGATTGAGGACAAGTTCATTGACGACACTCCCGATCTGCGTTCTGGAAGCGGCCGTGACCCCATTAGCCAGTCCGAGAACCCTGTGCTTTCTGTAGTGGCCTTCCTGGCCCAGATGGCAGAGCCCTCAGTGGCTGCTGCCGCGGCTGGTCGTTCCGTCGATGAAATCCGCAAGGAGCTGCGCGCCCAACTGGAGAAGGGATCTGACAAAGGAAAGGATTCAGTCAAGGCAGAAGACTCCATGGACGTGGATCCCGAAGCCGTGCAGCAAATTTCCGATAAGCCCAAGGAGTCTCTTGGCACAATTGCTCTGGCCGCGTCCGCCGCCCGTGCTGGCGCCCTGGCTTCCCACGAGGAACGCGAGATGACCCGTTTGGTCTCCGCCGCCGTCAATGTGACCCTGCAGAAGTTCGAGGTCAAGCTGCAGCAGTTCAATGAGATGGAAGAGATCATCGAAGCCGAGCGCCGGGAGCTCGAACAAGCTCGCCAGCAGCTCTTCCTGGACCGAATGACCTTCAAGAAGCGCGTCAAGGAAGCCCAAGATGCTCTCCAAACCGTCAGCCTGCAGGGCCCTAACGAGCACACTAACTCCATGCTGGCCGATGCTGCCACCACCGGCGTCGGGCATCACTACAGCTTCCAGCCTGTCGGTGGAGACATCCGGGTTGGAGCCCAGCCCCTGAGTGCCCAGCCTGGGGCGGATTTTAAGACGCTTGATCTGTAGCTTTCCTCAATAAATGTACGATATCATCCCATGGATCCATACTGAGGGAGTTGCTTTTCGTCTTCGCTGAGTTATGAATATTCTGAACTTTCTGGCTAGGAAAAGGCGCACGCTGAAGTTTTATTTGTTCCCTGTTGGAGTTTGTTTTTTCTTGATTCACCCTCCTTCCAGAAAGTGGATTGTTCTATGGGGTAGAACTAGGGGGTTGGGAATACTTCTTTCATTTTTTTCTTCTACATCGACGTTAACATGTTTACCTTTTCTCTAATCAGATGTCTTTGATGGAATGTATTTTCTTGCTGTGAGAGTAGCGCTAGTAGGGTATAGTCGTCGAATCGAGGTTAAGTACATGTATGTTTTCATCCCATTGCCATTGCCATTGCCATTCCCATTGCCATTCTCAGTCGCCACCGGCGGGTTTCTGATCAAACTTCTGATCAAGAGGCTGTGATTGTCCAAAATGCGTACGATAGTAGCCAAGCCAGCTCTCTTCACCAGCCGGCAGGGCTGGTTCACCTGCAGAAAGTTCTCCATCATCACCGGAAGAACTACCATAACCAACCAGGTCTCCATCGGATGGAGACGGAGACAGGGACTCGTTGAATCTGGTCCGTTTCCGCGGAGGCATTTCCACTTCTGCTTCCAGATCAGGATAATCATATCCATATTCCTCCCAATCACTGCGGTAGAGAGTCCGAGCCCGCCAGTCAACGAGTTCTTCTCTGGCGCATCGCTCGGGGGCTTGTTTGGAGGCTTCGTCCTCGGCGTCTTCTGCTTTGATTGGCTCAGCGAGATGCGCTGGAATGGGTTGTTCTATTAGTTGCAGGATGTGGGCTTCGTCGCGACGGTCGTGGTTTGCGTCTACCATATCTGCGTGCTGTTCTTCTGGGTCCAGGGCTGATTCGTGTTCGTCGGGGTATGTTGTTGCTGAGGGTGGATGAGGGGGTTCGTCGGTTTCTCCAGTCGGTATGAGATCTGGATCGAGATCTTCTTCGTCATCTTCTTCCATGTCATCGTCCTCCTCATCGTAGTTGTCTTCGCCGCTGGCGTCTTCGCTGTTTCTATCCTCGCTATCATAATCTGCTTCTTGGTCTTGTTCTTCTTCTTCTCCTTCTTCTCCTTCTTCTGCTTCTTCTCCTTCTTCTGCTTCTTCTTCTTCTTCTTCTTCTTCTTCTTCCTCTTCGCCGTTCTCGCCATTCTTTGTTGCTTCCCGGGGCTGGAAATAGTCCTTGTCTGTTAGGGCTTTCTCCGCCTCCTCGTAGCTGAACCTTTTGATTTTGAAGCCCTTGCGATGATGATTGTCTACTATGACCAATTGATTCCGACGAGCGATTTCAACAAAGCAGGGTGATTTGTGTTTCATGTTTAGCACCTCGATGGCAGCGCGAACATCCTGTGTTCGGACTGCACTGGCTCTATCCCGACCACGACGGCTCATCGTTCGCAAACGGGACATTGCAAAAAAGAGCGATGACTGGACCAAGCGGCGTGTGACGCTGACTGTCAGGGCGTAGAGGTCAATGGCACTACCTGCAGTTATTGACGGCATTTGGTGTTGGGCAGTGATATTTGTCGGTGATACAGAAAGGTGGAACCAATTATCCTCTTTCTTTGAACCACCATAATTCATAAGTAGGTTTCTAGACATCCGGATCCAATTACGGAGGTGGAACATATCGGCTGCTAGACGCAGATCACCTCGAATTGTGTTGTTCTCACCCTCGTCCTCGGCTAGATCCTGAGCACGAGATTCGGTGATAATCCAGTTGTCTCCATGCTGCACCCTTCCAGCCGAGGCTTCAGTAAGGGACTCTTTGAGGACCGCCAGATCCGCATACTCATCAAGTAGCGCATTAGACTCCTGGCTGACCTGCGCAGCAGATGGGAATTCACCCAGGATGGCTGCTCTGGACTGTGGATCAGACGCATTGTGAGCTTCCAGCTTCTGATGCAAAATCCTGATGTATTCCGAAACTTCCAGCTCAGACTTGGTTCCAATTGCAGTCGCGAGCTCTCGGATGCCGCCTTTGCCTTTTCGATCAAGGCTGTTGAAGAAGACCTCTTTTTCCGTAGAAGTCCAGATCACAGATCCAAGCTGACTGACTTCAAATACCTCGTCATCCTCCTTAGTTGCAGCATAGTCGAGACCGGTCTTCAGTTCGGCCAGGAGCTTGTTGTAAGGTCCGAGGAGATGGAGCGAAGCGCGCAACAGCGGGACGCGGGACCCAAGCACCTCGCCGAGTCCCCATTCGATTTTATCGGAGACATTATCGAGAGCTGGTTCGTTATATTCGTCTTGTATTATTCCATTTATAGTCTGTTCGGGTGTTGGCGAGCGTCTGTCAGAAGCGCGCGATTCAAAGTCGGACTCGGACTCGGCGTCGTCGGGCTCATAAGAAGTGTCGCTCATCGTTTGGGCTCGCAGGTTCGCAGCACATGCGGTGTAATCGGAAGCAGAACATCACAGCTGCCTCCAGACCAGAATGAAATGAGCGAAAGCTGTGGAGGTCAAAAAAAGTTGGAGAGCTGAGATCCACTATCGATAAGAGATTTGCACTGTTTGCTCCGATTGGCCTTGAGCTTCGTGACGAGTAATTTCCTCTTCGTCATGGAGTTCTTACGCTGTGTCTCGCGATTGAGACTTCCGAGGACATATCTGGCAAGGAGGTCTTTGGCCTTGCGTTCCTTGCGCCATGTGCGGTTTAACTCATCCAAGCCTTCCCTTCCGACGGGCATTGTGCTTCGCGACTACCAGGAAGAAGCTATACAATCCGTTTTGAAGTACTTGGGTGAAGGCCATCGGCGCCTGGGGATATCACTTGCAACAGGAGCTGGAAAGACAGTAAGACTCTATCCTTTGTCTATCAAGTATAACACTAACCCCCGCAGGTCATCTTCACACAGCTCATCGACCGAATCCCTCCGCCAGATGCGAAAGCCACCAAAACCATGATCATTGTTCATCGACGAGAGTTAGTTGAACAAGCCGCCAAACACTGTCGTCTTGCATACCCAGACAAAATGGTTGAAATCGAAATGGGCAAGAATACCGCGACAGGCGCCGGGGACATTATCATCGCGTCGGTACAGACATTAGCGCGCGGGCGCGTTTACAAGTTCGACCCTAGCGCATTCAAGCTCGTATTAGTGGATGAAGCACATCACATTGTTGCAAGGTCATACCTCGATGTTTTGGGACACTTTGGGCTGAATGAGCAATCGGCAAATGGACCGATATTGGTTGGAGTCTCTGCTACTTTCTCACGGTTTGATGGTCTCAAGTTGGGTGCGGCTATTGACCACATCGTCTATCACAAAGACTATGTGGATATGATACGTGACAACTGGTTGGCAAACGCTGTCTTTACGACTGTCAAGTCTGGGGCCAATTTGTCTAAAGTAAAGAAAGATAGTTTCGGCGACTTTGCTTTGGGGTCGCTTTCTGAGGCTGTCAATACTGCAACTATCAACAGTATCACCGTTCGTGCTTGGATGGCGAATGCTGAAGAGCGAAAGTCTACTTTGGTCTTCTGTGTTGACATTGAGCACGCACGCCAGCTTACTGCTGCCTTCCGGGGCCATGGTGTTGATGCGCGGTATATTACTGCCGGCACAGCCAAAGGCAAGCGCGCAGAGGAGTTGCGGGCTTTCAAAGATCAAGAGTTTCCGGTCTTGTTGAACTGCGGTCTCTTCACAGAGGGCACAGATATCCCGAACATTGACTGCGTGCTTCTGGCTCGACCGACCAGATCTCGAAACTTGCTCATCCAAATGATCGGCCGTGGACTGCGACTGTTCCCTGGAAAAAAGGATTGCCATATAATAGATATGGTAGCCTCCCTGGCAACTGGCGTCTTATCTTCGCCGACTCTATTCGGCTTAGATCCCGATGAAGTCCTGGATAACTCCAGCATGGAAGATATACAGGAGAAATTGAATAAGCCCGCAGAGCAAGCACCCAGTTCTGATATAGCCGAGCCATACGACGGAGCAGACAACGACATGAAACTTCAATTCACAACATACGATAGCATATACGATCTCCTCGGAGACATGCAATCCGAGCGACACATCAGGTCACTCAGCCCGCACTCGTGGGTCCGAGTCGGCGACGACAGATACATGCTTTCCGATGCATCAGGTTGGATGACCATCGAAAAAGACAACGACCTGTTCACCGCCCACCACGTCATGAAATTCAAAGACCCTGTAACGGAAGTCATGCAATACACGCGCCCGCGCAAGGTTGCTTCCGGCTCTGATTTGGAGACCATCGTGAGGTCGGCAGACACGTTTGCCAATAGCAAATTCGATCAACACTATATCTGCACGCGAAAACCCTGGCGTCGGGCTGCGGCCACGCCTGGTCAGATCAAGATGTTGAATGCAGCTCGTATTCGGGACCGTGCTGTGAACGGACAGGATTTGACTCGGGGACAGGCTGCTGATATGATCACGAAGTTGAAATATGGGGGTAAGAAACGCTTCAAGGATTTGGAGGCGGTCAAGAGGAAGCAGCTGCGCCGAGTGGATGATATGGATAAGCTGCAGAGGAGAGTTGATGTCAAGGTTGGGCCTGTAGATGCTTGATCAGTCAATTCGTGTACATTATACCATTTGATCTTCTGATACCCAGTGAATTATCATGTGTTCTCACCCACCGGTACTCCGAATAGCAGCCAAAGAACCATTGATGACCATTTATATTGGTAAAGAATCCGTCCAGAAAAGAATAAAAAAGCCCGAGGCGCAAAAGAAGAACTAAACCAATCACTCCAGCTCCCCGTCCATCAACAAGAAGGTTTCCTCCCATAAACAACAACCCTAAAAAAGTCAGCCCAAGCCCCCATCATCCCTAAAAAAAACCAACAACAACAAAGAAAAAACCCACTCTTTAACATAAGAATGCAAATGCTTATCCCTCATCTGCTTCTTAACCATAGCCTGAAAAATCCTAGCAGGCCCCTCTCCCCACCCAAGAACCTGCGTGAAAATGCGCAAAGAATAAGACTCAACCGCCTGCTGAATCATACAAGCCTGATACATGCCCACCTCCTTCAGATGTGGATCGCGCGGCCAAGGCGAGTACGGCAGGATATAGGTAACCTCATGGACATCCTCGAAGCCAGCCTCGATCATCCAATCCTTGAGCTTGCAATAGATGTTCATTTCGCGGCCTAGGATACGGCCCGCTGTGTCGAGGGCTTGCATGCATTCTAGGATGGGCGAGCCGGGCTTTAGCGTGCCGTCGTCGCTCCAAGCCCAGATGGCGCTTTCTTGGATTTCGAAGTAGCCGCCTGGTTTGATGTGCGTGTATATCTTGCGGTACATTTCTGGCCAGTCGGCTACGCAGCTGGGGGGTGTTAGATGGGGGTTTTGTTTGGTGAGGTTAGGGTTGAGTTGGATTGGGTTGTTGGCTTACCCGGCTAATAATCTTGCGTGAATGAAATCGAAGCTATTGGGTTCATAGAGCCATTCTTGTTCGAAGTCTTCGACGATGAACTCCACGTTGGGCGCGACCCAGTTCGGTTGGATGGCGCTGATATCGTTTCCGATGACCTGGGCTTGGGGGAATTTCCTATCGTTGTTAGTTTTGTAATGGATAGTAAGTAGGAACGGCATGGGCCTTACTCGGCGATATCCAGAGCCCAGATTCCAGTTCCGGTTCCCAGATCTAGAATCTTCTGGGGATTTGTGACGGGGGCTAGGTGTAGCTCGCCCTTCATTAGGAGAAGCCAGCTTCTAGGTCATCAGTAATGCAATGCATTGAAAGCTCAATAGAACAGGCTGAACTGACATATGATGTGCCTGGTATTTATTAGCTATTAGCTATCTGCCTCTGCCTCTGTCTGTGAGAGCTATGCATGATCACATACCAAGTCCATCCGGTCTTGCTCTTCTTCGTCGTTTGGCAACCTGTCGGGTCAAAATGTGCTTATCTTGTAGGAGCGACAGTACAATACATATAGTGTCCCTTTCAGGGTTAGCAATTGAGCTCATTGCACACGGAAAACGTAGAGGGATTTACTCACAGTTCTATTACTGTGATAGCGCCGACCATTTTCATATTCATAGTCAAGCACACTAGAAGAAAGCGAAGTCATATCCGAATCCTCGCTAGCAAACTCATCGTTATCATCCTGCCAAGGTGGTAAGTTAAGCATACGGAGCTCGGGACCTTCGGAAACTCAGTACATACGCCGCTGAATTCATCCGCAACAATTGGGCCTTGAGTATTGACCGGGGCAGTATTCTCATAGTCCCCCGTATGGGGAACTGCAATTGCCGCCTCGGCCATCTCAGCGGATTCGGCTTGTATCTGGGGATCGGCACCTGGCGAAGACATAACTTGGTTGATTGAAGCAAGCTATGGGGGAGAAGAAAAAGCTAAAATGCGGATGTGGTTCTACCGTGGCGAATTTTGGAAGTCTGGCCATGATTACGCTATGCTCGATTTCTGGACTGCAATTGCTGGAAGATTGTGCGTCTGTACTTGATCGGAATTATTATCGAGGCTCTGGGTTCCCGATTTAGCTATGGTCCTGTCGGTGAGAGATGCACGATGAATCCGGATTATGTGAGGTGTCGAGTATGGGACCCGTTGCTCTGCAGCAGAATTGGCGCGGAGCTACTACTAAGTGGGAAGGGAGATCTGTTTAGCATTGTTATGATTAACTTAAAATACAGATTTGGTGAATAGCTCTAATTTAGGTTGGGTCGGGGAAGCGATAGTGTGGGAGGGTTTGTGTTATGTGGTTGAGCGGCTATCATAGAGGTCTAGAATTACTGTATAGTTTGACTAGGAAGTAATACCCTGAGACTTGTCTCACACTCGGGATTGGAACATGCCTGTAGATGGCTTGACACATTTATGAGATTGACCGAGAGCAAATGGGGGGAGTACGAGTGGAATACAGGGGAATACGGAAGGAGTGAACGAATGTTTGAACAGGAAATGTATTTTGTTCTCAGCATAAGCATATGAAATTCATCAACACATCATAATATGCATCCATCAATAACAGCACAAAAGCGAATAGCTTAGATGTCATCCTCATCGGAGAAGACCTCCTCACCACGCTTGCGGCGGGCAGCACGCTCCTTCTTCTTCTTGCGGAGCTCGGAGCCTGTAAAAAGGGAATAGTTTAGTAACTGTAGATATAGTAATAAGGGGTACGGGGAATAGAACTTACCAGTAAGCTTGACCTTCTTCTGGACAACGATCTTGTTACCCATGGCATCGAACTTGTCCTCATCATCGTCACCCTTGGCGTCGAGACGGGGACCGGAACCCTGACCCTGAACCCAGTTGTGACCGGAGGGAGTCATGACACCGTCGTTGACAGCCCAGACTTCCTCAGTGAGGTGCTCAGTGAACTCGCGAGAGTGAGTAATGATGACAACACCACCCTCGAAGGACTTGATAGCCTTGGAGAGGGCACCGAGGGAGTCACGGTCGAGGTAGTTGGTAGGCTCATCGAGAACGATGACGTGGGGACGCTGCCACGAGCAAGCGGCGAGGACGACCTTGACACGCTGGCCACCGGAGAGACCGCGCATACGGGAGTGAGAAACCAGCTCGGCATCGAGACCGAAGTTGGCGCAGTGCTGCTCAATCTCCTTACGGACAAGGGGACGGAACTGACCGGAGGCGAGGGCCTCCTTCTGATCAACCTCAGCGACCTGCTTGGGGTGAGAGACAATGATCTCGGAACGGGGCAACCAGGTGTTGTCGTTGGACATCATGGGAACCCACTTCTCGGACTTCATGCCGATGTTGTCACCCAGAGACCAAGAGATCTCGTACTCGTAGGTGTTCTTGAACTTTCTGCGAGAGTGGATGCCAATGACACGACGCATGGTACCCTCGACCTTGTAGATCTTGTCCATGGCCTTCTCGTCCTCCTCAGTGACGATCTTGTTGGCGCGGTCCATGGTCTCACGGTCCTCACCGGTCTGGAAACGCCACTGAATGTACTCGGAGGGAGTAGAGTCAAGGTGGTTATCGATGTGAGCGAAAGCGTGCTGCTTGATGTAGGCAATACGGATGTTCTCGTGCTGGTAGACATCACCGGTGGTGGGGATAAGTTCACCAGTCAGGACGTTAACGAGAGTAGACTTGCCGGCACCGTTGGCACCAATGACAGCAATACGGGAACCAAGGGAAAGCTGGAAGGTAATTCCGTGGATCTGGGGCTTGGGGGTACCGGGGTACTGGAAGGACATGTTGGAGACACGGATAATGGCCTTGGACTTGGTCTTGACACCCTCAAGGAAACCGGGCTCGGGGAACTTGAACTCCATGTCGGAGGCACCGAGCTCGTAGTAGGACTTGGCAGCGGGGTGCTGCTTGACGAAGTCGGAGAGGGTACCGCGGTAACGGCGGAGCTTGAAGCGCTCGTAGTGGACAACGTGTTGGATGACGTGGTCAAGGAAACGAGAGTCGTGGGAGACCATGATGGAAGTGCAAGGGGAGGTCTTAAGGTAGTTCTCGAGCCAAGCAACGTTCTTGACGTCCAAATGGTTGGTGGGCTCGTCGAGCAGGAGAATATCGGGGTTCTCGAAGACGGCACGGCACAGAGCGAGCTTCATCTTCCAACCACCGGAAAGAGCAGTAATGGGACCCTCGATCTGGGCAGCCTGGAAACCGAACTCGTTGACAAGCTTGTCCTTGAGCTCCTCGAGAGGAGGGTGTTGGCCAACCTCAGCAAGCTTCTTCTGGGTCCAGGCAATGACAGTCTGCTCGGTATCGGCAGAGTCGAGGTCGTGCTCGACGTAGACGGTCTTGACCTCATCCTTCTTGGGGAAACCCTCGAGCTGCTCGTTGTTGATAGCGCGCATGAGGGTAGTCTTACCGGAACCGTTGGGGCCAAGGAGACCGTAACGCTGACCACGCTTGAGGCGCAGGTGAGTCTGGTTAAGCAGGATCTTGGCACCGTAAGCCAGGGAGAAGGTACAGTTGCAAAGATCGACACCCTCCTCCTCGTCAGAGGCGACGGCATCGGCAGCCTCGGCGTCGGGGCAAGCCTTCTTGCGGAGAGCCTCGGCGACGTTCTTGGCATCCTCCTCACCAACGATGGCGGTGATGTAAGGGAGGGTGTTCTGGGTCCAGATAACGTGGTCGGCCTCCTTCTCGTCAACGAGCTGACCGGAGACGGCAGCGACGAAGTTGATGATCTCCTCGGAAGAGGCGATGGTGGCCTTGTGCTTGGAAGCCTCAATGACCTCCTTGAGGATGGCAGCGACGGTGGAGATGTCACCAGCGCGGGAGACCTCGGGGATCTTGCCGTCCTTGATCTCACCAACACGGGCGAGGGTGTCAAGAGCCTGGCGGGTCTTCTCACGGGCCTCGGGGTCGGCAAGGGTGTCGTGGTTCTTGTTCAAACCCGGCAACATCTTGGGCAAGAAGGGAGCGACGAGCTGGGGGTCCTCGACAAGCTTACACATGTTGTCGACAATGACAGCGGTCTTACGCTTGATGGCGGTCTCACGCTCAACGAGACCACGGTCGAGCAGGGGAACCATGATAGCGAGGGTAGGGCTGGTCACGTCAGTGACGAAAGTGGTGGCACCGAGCAAGTGAATGGTCTCGGCGACGTTCTCGGGCTTAGCAATACACTTAATAAGCTCGGGAATGAAACGCTCAATATCCTTGTTGACAATGAGGCCGCAAACCTTCTCCATGGTGGAGTAGGCAGCCTTCTTGATCTCGGCCTTGGTGTCCCACATGGCCTCGGAGATGACGGGGATGAGAGTGGGAACCTGGTAACCAAGCTGGGCGCGGGCAGTCTCGACAAGGATGTTAATGCAGTCGAGAGCGGCCATCTTCTCGGGCCACTTCTGGGCGTTGGCCAGAGAGTCGATGATGGGGGTGATGACGGCCTTGACGGCGTTGGGGTTCACAGCCTGGACAATGGCGATGGCGGCGCTCTGGGCGGCCTGCTTGACGGGAACCATCTTGTCACCGACAGCGGCGAGGACGGGGCCAAGGAGGGAAACAAGGTGGGGCTCAACACCGGGAGCGATTGTGTTGTGGGCGGCAATAGCACGGATACCCTCGCAAGCACGCTCACGGGCAACGGCGTCCTTCTTGTTGGCGAGCTGCTTCTTGAAGATCTCAGCGGCCTTTGAGGGAAGGGCCTGCTCGGGAATGGGACCAGAGAAGAGAGTGGCAAGGGTGCCAGCGGCAGCGAGAGCCTCATCAGCGCTGGTGGAGATGTTGAGGTTCTTGATGAGATCCTCGAGGACAGCGATCGACTGGGCGGTCTCCTTGCCAGTGGTGGCAGGAGAGGAGGCGACGTTTGCGGCAGGCATTTTGGAAGAAATTTTGGCGGTTTTCGTAGAAAAACGGGAAGGGGTATTAGAGTAAAGAAAGAGAAATCCTTCCTTTTTTTTTCTATGAGGGGTATCTTTTTTTTCGTGAGCAACAAGCTCAACGGGCGTCTAAAGATCAGACGCAACGCTCAAGGAATCGAGCGTGGTGGTATTTCTATCCTGTTCTAAACAGAAGAGAAATAGAAAAATAGAAAGAAAGGAGGTCCAACCCTCGAAAAAAGATGCAGTGGAGGAGGGGAGAAGTGAAGGGAAGGGGGGAAGATATTTATCGTGTGGCTCTGGGCGGCAAAACCCTACGCAAAAAAAAAAAAGATTAAAAATTTTCATTGTCCCGCGCTAGAGCTGCATTAGGCCTAGTGGCTGAATTTGCAGAGCCCCGATTGGCTGCAGTCGAACTTGTGCCCGAATCCAGCGACGGTGATTGGCTGAACCCGTTGTCAGGCAGATTGGGCTTACTTATGCTGTCTATTGTCGTCTCTTAACTAGAAAACAACAACGATGAACAAGGAGAAAGCCTTGTCTCCAGTGTGGTTGGGGAACCCCCGAGATGACTGCCCCGCCGAGACGACTCTAACGTACAAGTTGGCGGCCCCGGTCGCCACTCATGATCGGGTGGCGCAGTCTCATATCGGATATCCAATGAAGAACTTTAAGATTTTTTTGAGGGCCATATTTTTAGAGAATACCGAGTACTGTACACTGAACTGACTCTCAGGATCTCCGGATTTGTCCGTCTAGACCAGACTTTCAGTGTCCTGATTCAGCGGGGGCTGTACTAAGAGCTAAGTCGACCAGTCTGCCATAAGATCTGCAGGTCATCTCCGACCTGATCAGTAGAATCAGGGGTATTAATGTGAGAAATAAAGATAACTTAGTCTGACATTCAGGGCTGTTCCCAATATGAAACGGGCTACTTGTGACCGCATGTCGCTCACCGCTTAGTCTTATCGCTTATCGCGGGCAAAATTTATATCAAAGTAGACCTAGGAAGTATGAGTGGCAGCAGTCCCG